TATTTTATTCCCATTTAATTCATTATTATTATTATTATTATTATTATTATTATTATTTTGGCTTGCCCTTGTCTTGACTTCCCCTAGGCTCGTTTCAAGCCCACCCACCCCCTCCCTCTTTCTTTTTTTTTGTTTTCCAGTCCCTCTTATTACTATTTGAGAAAGGGAGAAGAGGAAAAAAATTGGAAACTTATAGTGTATATTTCACAATTCCCCAACCACCCCCTTCATACAACCCATTCCACACCCCCCCTCCGCCTCTTTCTCTCCCGACTGTTACGGAGTAAAGGGAGTTCCACACCCTAATTTTTGGGGGTTTTTTATTTTTTATTTTTATTTTTCCTCTTTTCTATTTTTTATTACAATCTTCCCCTTTTGATGTACAGATCATTTGGTATCATCAGGGCTTGATTGACTTACCCACTTTTCACACTCTTCCCGAAGTCTGGTTCACCCAAAAGGCAGCAAAACCATTCAATGCCAACCCTACCCTCCGTGAACCACTACCGAGAAGAATCTCTTCCTTCCCTTCCTCCTCAATCTTACTCACGCACTATTTCTCCGTTCGCCGACCCCCCAGCGACTGATCCAGCTTCAACTTATTCAAATCCGCCTACTACCTTCTCGGGGTCAGTCGTCGGATCTATCTCCCGTCGCAACCGCCGCTCGTTTGCTGCTATAGCACAACGAACTTCCAGCGCCTTCGCCAGTCTCTCTACCATCGGAACTCCGACTATAGGGACTACAACTCTTCGATCTTCGGCTTCCAATAGCAGTCTCGCCAAACAGACTCGACCCGCGAGCACTACCCCCTTGACCCCGCCATTTTCCGACGAAGATACCTACGATCAATTGTCGGGCCTTTCGCGATCTGGTTCCCCGGAACCCCAAACCATTCAGAAACGACGCCTGACTCTCCAGCGCGTTCCGACTCCTCCCCTCGAATCTCGCCCTGTGCATCCGGGCCTTGCGCCAGCCGCGCCTCCCAAAATGCATCAGACTTCGTCCCGCCTATTGCGAATGACCGAGGATGAAAGACCTTTCACCAAGGTAGGTTGGAAGGAACAGGTCACAATTTGTGAAGGAAATATGGCAATTGGAGGCTTACACTGGTTTTTTTCTTTTATAGGATTTCATGGACCTCTTCTCCACCTTAATGGTGAGCTTGAAGTTGGACTCGCACCGTGTCCGCTTCACGAGATATGACCACACCTTTACCTCGGAAGAAGCGATCAACAACCTGGGATCTCTAAAGTTCTCCCAATCGAACCGCATGCCCGACCCCAAAGACCCCTCGCGCATTGTCACTACTACCACTACCACCACTTTCTCTATGGCCAAGGAAATGGCACGTTCAGTTTGCCAGCGATTTGTGGACGCTCGTTTCATCGAATCGGTTGATGGCAAGGCCTTGCCTATTTTCCCCCTCAAGGGCGCCCTCTTTCAGCTCACCCCCAAGGGTATTAACATCCTGCAGCGCTTTTGTCAACGGAACGGTATTACCGCTCGTCACGTGATGGATGTGTTGGAGTCGCCCCGCAACACCATGCAATTGGTGAACCTGGAACGCGACACCGAGTCCGATAAGTTGTCGCACGACCGAGCCACCGTCGAAGTCATCTTCCGCCGTTTCGCCGGCCAAGATGGCCCCAACATCAAGAGCAGCATCTCCACATCAGACTCCGATTCCTTGAGCGATTATTCGAACGGTATTGTGGGTGTGAAGATGGCCCGGGAGCGGAAGTTGCAGGATGGCAAGCTCTACAACAACACTTTTACCGGAAAGGGTGCCGTCGACTGGTTGATGGATTGCTCAACGACAATCGAGCGTCGGGAGACTTGTTTGATCGCGGAATTGTTCCTCAAGTACGGCCTTATCACGATGATTCAGGATGACAAGTCCTTCCCAGACTCCGATGTCGTCTTCCAACCGTCAAAATACGCTATCTACTGCATCACCGAGCGAGGCCAGCGTGTGTGTGGATGGATTGCCCGTGAAAAGACCCAGAACAACAACAACACCACCACATACGATAGCCGTGGCATGCCCCGCGATTCTAACAACGCTCGCTTGACACATATTCTGGGTGACCCCGCTCTCCGCCTTCTTTTCCGCGAGTTCTTGCGCTACTCTCTATGTGAAGAGAACCTGTCTTTCTACCTCGACGTGTCCGAGTTCACTGCCAACTACCACAAGTCCGAGAAGGCTGGTGCCTTTACCAAGGTTGACTCCGTTCGGGAAACGCTAGCAGCCGCTTATGGTACGTTATTCCCTTAGCAACTGCTATCTCTAGTCAATAGTCTCTAACATGTAATAGGCCTGTACAACGCGTTCTTGGCCCCCGGATCCCCCCTGTGAATTGAACATTGATCACGCCCTGCGCAACAGTCTTGCCAGCCGTATGACCAAAGCCGTGGGTGACGACGAGTCGATGTTCAAGAGTCTTCAGGAGGTGGTACATTTGTTCGAGCTTGCCCAGACCTCAGTCTTCAAGCTGATGTCCAGTGTATGTTCCATTCTGGAAATTCCAATTTTTTTGGTTCTTTTATGCTAACTTTGATTTCCAGGACTCCGTTCCCAAATTCCTCCGCGATCCCAAGTACTCGGTGGTCCTCCAAGAACACGATGTGGACATTTTCGGCGGGTCGCGCTCGTACTCACCGACACCCGGCGGTCCGGAACGCAGCATGAGCCGCTCCGCACGCTCATGACAATCACCGCGGGCCAGTGTCGACGTTACTTGCAACACAGCAAACAGAGACCGGCTTCGTCGTGATTCGAACCCATTCAACACCCCTGCCATTTCTTAAACAGCCAAGCTTCAACGCTTCTGCGGTCTCAGATCAGAGTTTCGCGGATGCGATATGGGCCAATCAAGTCCTATCCGCTCCCGATACCTGTGTGACTGCAACGCGGTAATCACACCCGCAACAGGGGTTGTTTGTGTGTCTTCATGTCTTATCTCCGGGAAAGGAAATAAGGAAGTGTCTCTCTTTCTGCTTCTTTTCTTTCCGGGACATGATTTCATCAATCTCGTCATGAACGTTTCCGAACCACGAAACCTTTTCTTCCATTTTGCTTCACATCGCATGCAGCCTGGAACTCGCGCCACCCCGGACTTTACCTTCTCGGTTTAAAGTTTCGACAAGGGGTTTTCCGGGTTGTCATTTTTCTCATCCCGTTTTAATTTGCCTCGCCACGAGATTCTCCTTTTGTCTCCCTCTCGATGAAAGACGTTACGATCGATGCCTCATGTTATAGAGAAGGTTCGGATTTTTGGGACCACTTGTAATATTCGGATGACGTTTTTCTTTTCCCCTTGCATCTCAGACACGATATCCAGATCATTTCATTCACCACCTTACCCACCCTCTTCAACGATGGGCTTTGAACGAGCCAAACGAAGGAAGGAAATCAACAACACGCGAAAAAGGATAAGAAAAAGAACTCAAAAAAAAGGAAGAAGAAAAATATCAGCACTAAAGATCTCCCCTGGTGGTTGACTCGATTCGACTCGTCCCATGCCTCCAGTTGTTTTGTTTGAGCATCAGACACGGCGTTTTTTTCATTTTTAATCTGCATGTTTTCCTTTTTTTTTTTTTCTTCTTCTTACTCACACTTTCCATTCCATATTTTTTTCTTCTTTTCTTTGCATGATATTCAAGCATTTTATTTCCTATCTGTTCTCATCCCTGTGTGTGGCACTGCATTGTTTCTTTTGGGCACAGCGTGTGAGTTCTGGTCTTCTTATGTATGTCATATTATCTCGCTTCAGACGGGAATTGCAATGGACACGACGATCTTATAAGCATCTACCTTCTGCCAGTGTAAACTGTAAATTGTAACTGCAACTTTGAACCTGTAAACCTCTTCCCCCCACCCCCACCCCCGGCTGTTGATTCATGAATGGTATCGATATTGAGCTTTAGTATGTGGGGTTTTACTGGGGATCACGCTGGCGAGCATTTCGCCAGGGAAATGGGTGGTATCACCTACTAGTATGATGGGGGCTTGGTAGAGAAGAAAGTGAGCTTGTTGGTCATAGTGACTATATGCCAACCCAACAGGTGGGCCTATGACGATTCGCGAAATCACTGGCAGAAAGAAATTTGTTACTACTAGCATCCTTTACAATTTGTTTATTTGGTGATATGTTCATTGTTTGTTTTGGCATCATAGTGTATCCTATCCAGTCATATACTTGGTACTAGTAAGTACTACTCTGGATTAGTAGGATGGATCAAACAATTTGTATATGTAGAATAGCTTCACTGAGGGAGCAAAACGTTTATAATCCTGGAATACCTAGTCAAGGGTTGTTTTTCTTTCTCGAATTCGCGACATCACGCAGGACATAACTTTCTCGACATGCTACACCTCCATGGAGCTGAAGAGCAACTTTCACAAACAGGGAGCCGGAAAGGAGATATACAAGGCGAAGGGCCTTTGAGGTCAGATAGTATGATCTAGGTGGCGTGAGACTTAGACCGCTAAGTTGTCAGATAGTGATGCCTAAACATCATTTAGCCATACTTATCTTGACCTCGGGAGTAATCAAATCTAGTGGTTGCATACTTTATAATCGAGCAACTGCACCTCTTGATGCTACCTTAGCCCTGGAGGGATCCGAGCTGAGCCGGGAGTTTACTGGCTGGGATTTGGCAAACAGAGCCCTGATTGCCTTGAAAAGCTAAGTCGCTCTTGCCATACCCTTGGGATAATGAAAACCGATCAAAAACTCCAAGGAGAAAGATGAGAAAAAGAGATATATCAGAGAGACTATTTTATTACACACCGGAGACAACGCCGAAAACCACGCACCCGAGTTGTCATATGTCATCAGATTCCAGATTGAAAGGTGGAGGGAGGAAAAGAAACAAGGAATCCAGAATGAAAATAGAAGCAGGGGAATCGAGGAGGACCAAAAAAAGTAGAAGAACAAGAAGAAGAAGAGGAAGAATGACGAAAGAGATGCAATGCACAAGTGGATGATAGGATTTTACTTGGATCCCCAACCACGAAGCTTCATGCCCTCCTCAATAGCCGTCCAAATACCCTCAACAACCTCACGATCCCGCCAACGTCCAGAACCCTGGACCCCACCCTTCTCATCCCACCGCTCGACAGCGAAACTATTCACGCCACGACCCCATCCCTTCACGGACGGAGGGGTCTCCTCGCCACGCCAGCCAACATAGATACCCGTCGCATGCTTGAAGAGCTCCGGCGGCGAAGACCACTTATAAGACTTGAACTGCCACGTCTGGCCAGTCGTAAAGACAGCCACCAGTCGCGACCAGTACTCAGGCTTGAAGTTAGTCGTGCCGTCGACAAGAATAAACTTGGTTGGCTTGGGCCCGCGACCACCACCGTGCGAGCCGATCGAGGTAGCGTTAGGATTGGAGGGATCGGACTTGATGCGCAATGGACGCTTGATCTCCATGAAATTGGCATCGGTCGACATGCTCAGTGTTGGGTGGTCGGGTGGCACGAAGATACCTTCGCCTAGGAAAGATTTAATATTCGACATGCGGATGAGAGATGAGGCGGATGGGGAGAGAGGAGGATGATGGGATCGGGGCGGGAGCTCGGCTTGCGCGATGGCACAGAGAGTCCCGCGGACGGCGCAGGCACCATAGCGGAAGTTTTACTGCCTGGCTTTACGCCTTGTTGGCCGGGTCGGTTTCGGTTTCGATCGAGGAAAAGCTCAGCGCTTTTCCGGACGTGCGAGAAGTCCTGTTTCTCGTTCAATGCGGTATTAGTGTCTTGTTTCGCGTGGGTATATGGGGATGAGATGGGGATGGGGGTGGTAATCGAGAGTGGGTATCTTGCGAAACCAAAAGGAAACTTACGGTTGGTTTGATCCCTCGTAGCACGGTGTTTCGATCTCCGGTCTTTCTTTCGCCATTGTAGATCTCTTGTAGTCGGGGGTCGATAGTCTTTTGCGCACGACTTCCGTGAGCACCTGTCGTCACGGCTCCGACGGGTCCACTGGGGACCGATGAGATGCCCCCAGTTGCCCCAGAGGCGATTCCGGCCGCAGCATCCGATTGAACAACACCTGCGGCGACGGCAGCCTCAGCGGCAGCGGCAGCGCCTTCCAGAGGCTTGATATATTCGCTAGTAGCGTCGGCACCTTCCAGCCAGGTGAGCAGATCCAGACGCTCGACGAAAACCAGGATCTGGACCTGTGTGTCATCACCCTCCTTTGACTTGAGAGCCTCATTCAGTTCCTGCGCCGATGCGATATATTCGGGGATAGCGACGTCTTTCTTCTGCCACGCGAAAAAGATGCTGCGCAGGTCGACGGGGGAGCTGGTTGACGCGGAAACGAATCGCGTCGGTGTTGAAAGGGCGATGACTTGTGGAGACGGTTGAGAGAAGAATAGATGTGTCGCTTGGGCAAGATCCTCTGTGGCATGTTCGTTGGTGAGCTCCGAAGAGGTCGTCGGGGTTGGGAGGCTGCCGGAGGCGATGGCGCGCCGAAGTGAAAGGAGAGGGTCCTGCAGAGCAGGATCGACCGCGGCCATGGTTGGTATTGATGGTCCGACTGGCCTGGAAGAGGCTTCAATCGGGCTGATGGAGTTGGGAGGGAGATTGCGATTTCGAAGTTGTTCGTTGCGGCGGACTCGAGGTGAAGCTCGGGCGCTCACGTGATCTGGTATAGACTGGTATAGATCGGGTTCTCTTAGAAGCAGATTCACTTGAGATTAGATTTCACTAATTTAATTTACGGGATTCTTAAACTAAAAGAACTTAAGAAATCCTATTGACGGCCTAACTACCCCGATCCACTCCACTATGGACTGAATTGACTCAGTTTCAACTCGTGCAACGCATCGCTGGACTGATATACCGCCACATCCAGCCCCATGCTCCGAGCAATGCCGTGATTCCAGTAAACAAAATAAGAGCGCCATATTGAGTTCCAAATCCAGATCCAGGTTCTTGATCATGGGAGTCACCGATTGAACCTTGTCGAATCAATACGGAACTGAGAGGTCCACTAATAACATTTCCAATTCCCCTGCCCCCAGCAAGCAGGCCAAACACCAACCCCGTTTCCATCGAGGAAGAAGAGTCACTTTTGATTTTCGTAATGATGCCCGACCAGGTAGAACTAAATCCACCGGCAAAGAAACCATAGAATATCGAAAAGACGGTAAGCAAAGCTAAAGCCGTCTGTGATGGACCATCATCTGAAGACGATGCCATTCCCCAAAAGAGGAATACAGACAACGCTGATCCTAAAGATGAGAGGAGTAGGATGTTAGTGACAGCGAAGCGGTCGCAAAGCATTCCTAGTGTAATGCCACCGACTACAGCGGTGGCGTTGAAGAGCGAAACGAGCATAGTCCCCATGGCCGGGGGCAGCCCGATTGTACTTGTTGAGTAGGTTGGAAGATAAGTTGTTGGTAAGAAGTAGCCGAAGCTCTGGATGATGTTGCCAACTTGGAGCATCCAAAAGGTGCCCAGTTTGAGGAACCCTAGATCGAGACGACGAGCTGATGCTGAAGGCGAGACTGGAATCCGAGGCTTCATGAATGGCAGCGATAGAAGTGTCGAGATCAACTTTGTTTGCGGGTAAGTATTCATATTGAAGGGGTTTCCGATGTCAAGTCAATAAAGTAAGGGAACATCTTACCGTGATGACTGTCCAAGCTCTGAGTGTTGTGCTCGAACCGAATCGTACCAAACAGCTCGCTGCAACAAAAGGCAGTACTACCCCCGTAATACTTTTCGCAGCCCACATAGTTCCCAGCGCAAGACCTTTTCTCCGGACGAACCATTGATCCAAGTAGAGAGACGACGGACTGAAGAGTAGACCATTACCAATGGCACACATCACACCCTGTGTCGCGATCAAGTGCCATACGTTTTCCGAGAAGGACGAGAGCAGAGACCCTATGACCGTGATAACGAGCCCTGCTGGAGCGCAGTAGGTTTGCAGTCGGGGATACCGAGTCAGCAGAGTAAAGGTAATGGGCGAAAGAAGATAGAGCAGGCCCTAGAAAATGGATAAGACACAGGCCATAATATCGCTCGGTGGGTTTGGCATACGGTTGAGGTGGTGCCCACGGTAGCCAAGTCACTCTTGTTACCCTTGAGGACATTATGAGTGGTGTAGTATTCTTGGAAGACTCCGAAGACCGAGGAGAAGCCTAGAATTCCTGTATTAGTGAGTGCCAGTCTTGAGACTGGGTACATCGCCCACCCCAGACTGGTAGCTGAATCAAACAGCAGGATGCGAGCATCAGCCAAGCTGCCCGACCACCATCTGCTGGAAGCAAAGTGGGCTGTTCGATCTCGGTGGTTATATCATCTCCGGACTGGGGTGATCGGATCTCGTGTAGGGAGACAGACTCTCGGTCGGAAGCATTCATGGTGGAATACCTATCTCAGAGTTCGCTGGGATGATGAAGAGGACAAGAGAATCCAAGATCCAAGAAATAGCCGGGCACTCCCTTGAATGCTCGTGCGCATGTTTTCCCATTCTGGTTGATCCCTGGATGATCTGGTTGGCTCATCTTGCAGCTGGGCCTATGACGACGCAACGGACTTCGTGCCGACGCGAAAATGGAGCTTATTGCAGCCCCGATGCTGCATCTGATAGGGCGACATCTACCTATCGGAGGTTACAAAATCAGAATCCTGACTTGGAATTTCGCACTTCTTCCCTTAGACATAAAGTGGAATGGTAGATTGTCAGTCCATTCAATGATCCATAAAATAATATATGATTGTAACTAAAACATCTTTGGTTCAGTCTCGTGGTCACAGAACAGAAAATCGAAAAGCCCGGTGGTATGCAGGCAAGTAGGTCGAGCTCGCAGTCGAAACCTTCAGAGATAGAGTCCACACATCGCGATAATAACCAGATTGGATTCCTCCGAGGGGTTGGCGTCGCCCACGAATCCCATATAACCGTTCTCAACTTGTGCCATCGCGACAGGAGTCGAATCCTTAAGAACAGTCCAAGCCGGCGGTTGCTCATCAGACATTGCGTCCTCGTCATGCTCCTGCTTGCGCTTAATGATATGCTGCAGACGATACCAGGCAGCATCTCCGACATTCGTCAAATGGACCGCTTTTGCAAAGTGCGTGGCGGGCAGAAGATCAGTGATTTCCTTGGGAAGAAAATCAGAGTTCAGGTTGGACTGAAAGAGGTCGAATGTATCGTACTCCCAAGCAAGACCGGCCCTTGAGAAGAACGTACGAAAATGTTCTGCCCGAAGTCGACAGCTGAAGTCTCCCATGCAAATTGCGGTTCCTCCATTTCGCATGTAACGAATAACGGCACTCCACACGGTTGAGTATCTTGGTGTTGCAAGGGCGTCGTCAGTAATGATCACAGCTTTGGGGTTCTCCCCAAGCGCACGCATAGCAGGAATCGGTTTGTTGGTTTGCTCGAGAGAGGCAACCTGAAGTACCCGAGACACCAGATATCTGTACTTCCGATAGAATCCAGGGTGGGGATTCAGCGAGATGAAAAGTATTCGTGAGTTCGACTCTGTGGACATGATTGGCTGCGCTAGAAAGAGTGGTGTCAATGGCCGGGGCCAGAGATGAAAGAAGTGAGAGATACCTGAGTTGGAGAGAGGGGTTCGAATGTCGAGATACCAAAGCGCGGGGTTGGAGTATCAGAAGTGAAGGTGGAGAGGAGCATTACAGGGAATGACAAAGAAAATGACAGTGAAGATGGATGAAGAGGGAAGATGAAGAGAAAGAAGAGAAGAGAGAAGAGGAAGAGAAGAGGAGGAGGGAGAAGGGAGAAGGGAAGGAGCGAGGGTCATTGCAATGACAGTGAATGAAGGCGAGGAAGGCACAACCAAGGACTTCACTTTTTGGCCACGCCAGTTGGTACCTTCACTTACCAGCATATACGTACCGGCATATATCACCAGCAGATATCTACCATCTGTCACGCAAAGTAGGTGAGTCAAACGGTAAAAGTTGCCAATAATTGGATGAGTAGGGTAGCCACGATCAACCCAGTGTTTCTCCCAGGGTAGCAGCGTCACAAAGTTACTAGTCTTTGCAATCAAAATTTGAACACAGACTATAATAATGTGTAAATACTAGTAGCTTTAGAATACCTATAAACTACAATTAGGACCAGGAAGTACTTATTTGGCGCTGGTATCAGTATACCGGTAGTACCTAGGTATATATAGCTTTCTTGAGGGGGTCGCAGAGCCTCATCGGAAATACTATCTAGCCTTGTTCTAATTTCGAGACGCTGCCGCCCTGTGAGAAAGAAACACTGGGTCGAAATATTCTTTCCAAACCGAAAGAGGCATATTCACCCTACCTTCTCCCGCAGATTCGGCATGCTCCGGTACAAATGCAGTAAGACTGTCTGGTTGGGGATTTGGTGTGAGGAAGGATCGAACTTGGATTACATGGAACTCAGCCAATCTATTGAAGTTGCCATCAGTATACAGGATGAGCGCCTTTGCTGTATCCGAATCCAGTATTGGGATTGGCTGTAGATCAAGACATATCATTTTGTTACATGCTGCATCTCACGGCTCGCCCCAGGAGGCAGATAGCTAGACCGGCGAAATAGAATGGAGTGAAATCAACTACTTTCTTCAGATTTGTATATTCTTTAGGCGGTGAGAAATTGAGGTTGGACGAGTTATTTTGGCCTTGTTGTAGTAAGACGAGGTTTGCCACCGGCACAAATGCCGTGGTGGGCCCGAGGTCGCGCAATGACTGCGATCAATGAGCGATCGGGAAATGAACACGACCCCATCTCTTGACCACTACCCAACGAACGCAAACACTTGGCCGTTTTCGCCATCGTTATTCATCAACGCCCATGCAAGTTGTATTTGGACCTGTGAGCGTGAGCTAGTCCAGATATTCCCTCTCCCACCATGGCTCCAAGGTCCGAGTCTGCCGCCATGGCGCTTCGCGAATCGTTCGGTGACAGGAAGATCCCCGAGATTTCGCGGAAAATCACCGCATGTGTTTCCTGTCGCAAATTAAAGGTTGGATGTACCTCTAAGTCTGTGTATTACATCCAATGATCGAACTAATGTCAAGGTTTGAACACTACTAGATTAAATGTCATATGAATAATGATAGACCGCCGTGTACCCGCTGTAAAACGCGCGGCAACCCATGCACAGTGAACAAGAGTCTACAAACCCTTTTAGAAGGTGATGCTTCGTATGTCATCAGCTGGTTTTCCACCAAGCGAAATTATCAAGAGATTAATCATCTAACTGATTGAGATAGTTGGAAAGAGCAAATGGAAGACCGAATGGCCAAGCTGGAAGCACATATCCTTAGCACTGCAGTCGACTCATCATCACAACCGCCTGATACGACCCGCGGACATATTATGGATAACCCCGCAGACCCGTCTCAAATCGTCACATTGAATCTTTCCTGCAGTCTCGGGGCATTCCCCGCATCTTCAATGATCGATTTCACATTAACAGACCCTCGAGGCACATCTCAACAATGCCCAGATCTTATGTCACGCCAAATAATACCACAAGAAGCCGCAGAAAGTCTCTTCTCATTCTATAAACAGAACATGGACTCTTTTGCCTACAATGTTCTCGCCGATGCTGATTCTCTGGCCTCCATTTCGCAAAGGTCGCCACTTTTAACAATTTCTATCTGCACAGTTGCGGCTTTCTGCTCCGGGTCCCCGCACTATCGAGCTCTGTTCGATCACTTGAAGAGTGAAGTATCCGGCAAAGTGTTTTCTAACAACCATGAATTCGATGATGTGCGAGCTCTTTGCATCGGCGCGTTGTGGCTCAATGACATTTCCACGGCTTTAAATTCACTGGGTATGCTGGTGATCAAGAAGCAGAGAGAGAAGGGGAGCGCTACTATGGAAAATCCAACTAACAAAACCGTTCCAGCCGTACGAATCGCAACCGAACTAAATCTCCACCGCTGCATCACCAAAATGCCCCACAAGAAACGAGCCTGCTACGACCGGACCCGATTATATTTCCTCGTATATCTGTGTGACCACCACTGCTCCTTGAGCCACGGCAAACCACCCCTAACACGAGATTTCCACTCCCTGAAAAGCCCACGCGATTTCCTCAGAACAGAACTTTCATCCCCATCCGACTTGAAATTAATCAGCCAGGTCGAATTATGGTCGATCAGCAATCGAGTCTTCGACATGTTTGGCGCAGACGTCGATAACTGTGTTACTAGCCAACGATTAAATGAGATTCCTGCTCTAAGTGAGGCTTATGAGCAGTGGTATCGTGATTGGCTCGGTATCTTGACTTTTGTCGAGGGCTCGGGCGAAGAGCCATTCACTCGTCATGTTTTTGATTTTTATTATTATTCGGCGAAGTTATATCTCTTCTCTCATATTTTTCGTGGCCAGGCAACTGACGACTCGGTGGAAGGAAATTCTTCCTTTTCAAATCAAGCTAACAATGGTGCCGAAGACTTTGCCGATGCTGCGTTGAAAACTGCCCTTTCGATTATTTGTCTTATCACAAAAGAGGAGGGTGGTTTGCAAAATTTACCCTACTATATCAGAACGGTCACTGCTTTTGCTTGCGTTTGTCTCGTGAAAGCGTCTAGCCAAAGCGAATTAATCACCTGCGATATGGATGCGGATGATGTTTCAACACACTTACGTGAACTTGTTCGGGTTCTTCAAGCCGCTGCTTCTGGGGATCAATCCGGTCATGGTCATCCATTGCAGGGTATCGCAGAAAGTCTGGGAAGTATTTTGACGGGGGAAACTGAATTGCACGATAATGGACCGTTGAATGGAGTTTTTGGATTTGATGATTTTGCTCTTGAAGGACTTGACATGCTGTCGGGGGATTTTGAGCAAACGCCGTCAACTCCTTCATTTGGGACAGAATGAACTTGAAGTGGCGTGACATACTAGTTCAAAGGATACCTAGGTATACCAGCACTATTTGTGATGATCCTCAATAGTAATAATGCATCATATAATGAAATTTAAACAACCTGACAGCTTGAAATGACCTAAAAGACCCACCAAGTACTCAACACCCTAGTAATTCAAAACAAGATCAAAAATATCAAAATTCCTCCACTTCTTAGACGCAATCCCATCAACATCCCCAAAACAAACAGGCGTAGATTTCAACAACGGAATCCTCTGCTCCGACAACCCCCCCATGCGATCTCAGCCTCAACCCGCCCAACTGCGAAAGATCATGCTCATCCGCCCGACTACCAACAACAAACCCTTTCTTCGAAACAACAACAAAATCCCCCTCCCGATCCCGGGGCATCTCAAACAAAGCCGCAGCATCATCACCGGTAAGCGCAACCTCGACCTCTGGCAATTTCCGACATTCTGCCACGATTTCCTCAATTTGGAGCTGGTCTGATGTATTCCCGAGACCGCGGAGATAGACTCGAACAAATCCACCCAATGCACCATGATGTTTAACAAAGGGATCAGAAATAGGACAAATAACTCTAGCCCGGGCATCTGGCCACCCTTTGTGTAAGAAATCTTCAAGAAAGAGGACATTCGGATTTCCATCTTCGGCCGACTTATCGCTCATCCCATGGTCACCGGTTACAGCGACGACGGCGCCAAGATTGACGAATTCACCGAGTCGGGAATCAATAGCGGCCATGAACTGATTGGCCTCGACTGACCGAGGTGCGTATTTATGCTGGATATAATCCGATAATGTGAGGTAGAAGAAATCCGCCCTCCCCTCTGACAGAAGTTTCACGCCTGCGTCGAGGACGAATAGTGATAAGGCACCGGAATACTGCGCCGGTGTGGACTGACCGAGCCAGCGTTCGACGTCTTCGATTCCGTTTTCGGAGAGGGTGCTTTCATTCGCGCATTGTGCTGAGAAACAAATCGACGATTTTGAAGGCGAGAGGCCATGGTTGATGATCCTTCTTAGTTTATCTTTTGCTGTGATTGCAGCAATGCGAACGCCTGCGTCGGCGAGTTTTGCTAGGATCGTGGTACCGTGCATGGTTGAGTCGTCGACGACCATGTGCTCTTCCCCGGTTTCTTTGTCCAGGTAATAGTTTCCTGAAACGCCGTGGATGCTGGTTGGTGCGCCGGTGATGATTGAGAGGTTGTTTGGATTGGTCAATGATGGCATGGCGCATTCTGCCGTGATGTGGAAGCCGGATTGAAGGAATGAGGCCAGGTTTGGTAAGATGCCGTCTTCAATTCCTGCTTTCAGGTATTCGGGGTCGAAGCCATCGATGCAGACTACCACTGTTGGGCGTTGGGGCAAGTGGTATGTTCGTCCGTGGAGTTGGACGGATGGGGTTTGCGGGGAAGACTCGGACATTTTGGATTGCAGCGGATGATCTTCGATTTGTTGAATGCTTAGGGGTGTTCAAAGAGAAGGAGTAATATGTCCCTTTAACCTGGATGGACTGTTGCTGTGTTTTTATACATCACTTCGCGGTTTAGATGCCGCGACGGCAAGAAGGCCGCTCTACCGGACCAATCAAGTGGGTCGGTGGCATACTATTGGAACGTCCAATTGAATACCCTGTCGACCCTGGACCACGACAAACCGGAATAAATGTCATCAATTACTGGTACAATAGTGACCGCTATTGCCTTCCATGATGAAACAACATATAAAAGCTATTTGAACCCAAGGAGGTCACCTTCGTCGCTAACCTAGAATAAGTTCGTAGTATATTTTTAAAGATAGTAAGTTCTGCAATTGAATGATAGTATGTCACGATTATTAGTAGAACTCAAGTATACTGTACATCAATGTACTATTGTCACGGGCCATGAATACCCCGCTCGATATCGCATCAACTCAATCAACTTGAACCTAACCACTACTTCAAACTATCCCGGACCCACTCATATTTGGGGCTTTCAACTCTCTAACAGGAAGATACAATAAGTACTGCTACAATGCCCCAAACCACAACTATATTGAATCTCCCAAATGAAATTCTACGCATGATAGCCGATGGGATGTTCCCGCCGAGTCCTACATCTAGTGAAGAGTATATGGATATGATCCAGGCTGAGGCTGATACGTACATGAACAGTCCTGGGCCTTCTGATTAAACATTGTTCGATAAGTTCAAAAGGTATGAAGGGCTAATTAAAACGAGAAAAGCACCTTGCTATCGAGATTTACCTAACGTATTGAGATATTTCCCACCACTATAAGTATAGCAAATTGACGATACAATAGCTCAGGCTCTCAAGATCCATATCAGCCTTCTTTGTCTTTATTATCTACACCTTTCATCTTCGTCCTCCATCCCGTATGCCTTAACACCATGTGACCGGGATTTGAAAGTATGCTTCGCTGTTTCTGGCATGGGAGCCCGAGTCGATGCTGGCCGCTACTATACCCGTCATCATCAAGTATACATGTAACTAGGAACAGCCCCAACTGAGACTCCTATTATACAAGAGAAAACCAAGTGAAAGTGACTATCGCTATATTGTTCATACAAGCTATCTGTACCTCGAATGGGTAAGCCATATCGAAGGAGAGAAGAAGAAAAAATTGGTAGTAGAGTAATCTCACAAATCATAAAGATCAGCGCTGCTCGCTAGCAGCTATACTGTCGAAGGTTTCCTTAACCTTAATTCAACCGATTCCTGGTATTTCCGTATCCATAATCCAATTCCTGTATCGCGCCGCTGTACGCCATTCGGAAGCCAAAAGTAAAAAAAGAGAAAAAAAAAAACCAGAGAAGACCGTCACACACACAGTCCGAGAAACGCCTTTGGTACCCAGCAAAAACAGAAAGAAGAGAGTTTCCAATCAAGTCACACGAGAAGAAAGATTTTTGGGGGGTCGTAAACATAAAAGTCGAAGGTCGGGGAACGACCAACAACGCCGTAATTACCACGCACAAAAAAAGGGGAGAAAAAGATGTCACGAAGAGATGGAGGGGATGTGTGAATGGCTCGATTCTGGCGCATCCTTCATCTTTACATCTGGCGACTCCAATGGCTCAATCTTGCTGTCAGGGGATGCTTTGGTTGGGGTCTGCATGCCATCCGCACTGATTGTGGGTCCTGATTCAGGTGTGGTCGGTGATTGTTGTGGGGCGGACAAGGCGACGGACTGTGTCTGGGACTTTTCCGAGGTTGGAGTCGCCATGGTGCGTTTTTGAATGAGATAATCACCGAGACTGAGCTTTTTCTTCGCGGGGGTCGGAGTCGGCACACTGAAGCTAGGCAGTTGTGCACTAGTTTGCGGAGATGTAGAGTCTGAAGCGCTAGGCGAAACAAGACTTGGGTTGGAAGTAGAGCCAGGGCTGGCCACAGAAGCGATCAGTGGGGCGTTTGGTGGAGGCATAGAAATTCGAAGACTTCCTTGTTCTGCCAAAAAGGTTCCAGGGATGCGAGAATTGTGTGCAGCGGTAGACGGCCACGGGGGAGGAATTATGGGCCTGCTGATGTCTCGACCGGTGGAAGGCGATTCTGGCTCCGAGGCCGCGGACACATCTTGCATCTCGACATCGCCGGATACAGGCGGTGCCTCTGTTTGCTGAGAGCGGTCCGAATCGACCACCGGCATATGAATCTTGTCTTGGGTTATTACCGGGGATCGGATGAAAGCAGGGGATCGAGGAACAGAGGGCGAGGAAGCGCGCCCCACACTATCGGACCCGGCAGAAGATAATTGTTGACGAGCGGTTTCTTCAGACCGGAGACGATCCATACTGAAACGTTTCAAAAGTCGCACCGTCATGGGTATATAGAGGGAACGTTGACGCGGAGGTGACGGATCCGAGACCGAAGGCTCTTCAGGCTCATCCATGTCGACCTGGACCGACGCATCGACATAGGCCGGGCGTTGGGTAGCCTGTGCTGGCGTGTTGGGGCCTGACGCCTTGCGTGGTGAACCAGAGCGACCAATTGACGAGGCAACTGGCGATAGGGCTGTTGTCGGAGAGCGAGATAGGCTCCCGGTCTTGAGATGAAGACCCTTGACTGATTTCTGCGAGCTGGAGTACCCTACCTGAGTGGAGGTTGAAGAAACAGCAGCGGGCGAGTGCACCGATGTGCCGCCGCTCACACGTTTCTTTTTCTTCTGTGCCGTGGGGCGCTGGCCATTTTCCAATTGTTGGAACATCTTTTCAGCGTCTGCGATCTTGCGCCGCTCTCGACTAGACAATTCATGAAGATGAGAGGTGGATGGGCTCATGTCACGACTTTGGGGTTGCTCTCGCGCTGAGCCAGACGTGGAGCGACTATCGGCGGCCGCATCGTCGTCTTCTGGATGCTTAGTTGTCTCGCTACCAGCACGGCTGAGGGAAACAGGGTCGGTATCTTGTGGAGATGCCGTAGACTTTGTCTTCGCTTTCTTCCGCTTGCCGTTGGGTTGCTTCGCACCAGTTTCTAATAGTTTCGGGTGTCGACGGCGATCAATTTTCGCGAGCAGACATCCCTGCGAGTTTCCGCATGCACATCCACCGAAATTTGCGAGGGTGTTACTGAGGCAGGTGGAAGCTGCTTCTGTGGCACTGTCATCAGACTCCTGCTTGACAAGACCATTGGACGCCTCAAACAACGGGGCATCCAGATACCACATGATGGTAATCTCAGAGTTCGGTGGGATGTAATCCTTCGCGACAAAGCAAAAGTGATACTCGACGTCATTGGTGATGTAAATCTTCATCGTAACGTTCGGACGGCATGATCGGCGAGTGTATCGGAGGACACTGCCTTCGTGTCGGCTGTCGATGTAGAGAGGGAGGTGAGAGCTGAAGAAAACAAAGGGTTCTGGGTGGCGCAACTCTTGCCATCGATTATTCGGATCAAGGCAGTACTCGTCAAACATGCCCACCTTGCCGGTGAGCTCTCCAAGAATCGAGTCCTTTTCTACCCCGTCTTGGGTCTTGACAATCTTCCACATCGGATTCCGGCCACCGAGGTCGATGGTGGGATCTGTGATTGTATCGGTCGTCAAGGTAGGCCACTGTGATCGGTCGAGGGGTGCATCGGACATGTTGAAAGTATCCGCTGTTGGACGACGATTGGAGACTCGCGCCAAAGCGTCTGGATCCTTCACCCACGATGCCATGTCACCGACTAGGCTCACATTCACAAATAGATTACTGTTCCGGTCTTCGTGTTCATCGTCACGGTCATAGAGGTGGAGGAATTCGTTCGAGTACAAAGGAATGGAGGGGGCAAAGGTTTTAGTAGGACTCGAAGCAACGGAAGTGGAGGATCGCCTTTTGCGAGATTCGGGAAGGAGGGCTGGGGCGCCTGGGATGGCACTGATGGATGCGGATGAGCGGTGCGAGACCTTGGCTTTCTTGGCCGGGGGCTGTTCGCGGGCCCCTGATTCGCTTCGCTGGTGGTCTAATCCATTCACTTCACCATCCTTACCCTTCTTCCTTTGAGTTTTGGAGCCTGGACGCTTTTTCCGGTCGCCGCCCTCGCTTTGATCCTTGTTTCGTCGCTGACGCTGACGCTCTGTGGCACGGCGACCGTCGAGAACGCGAGGTTCACAGTCGACACAGTTGTGCACGTCCGGTACCCGCTTGTCCGGGTAATAGCAGCTGATATGCTGCCACGTCTCGCACCGTTCGCAGAAGACCGTGCTTCCATCATCTTCCTCAAAGGAGCAGATGCATTTGATGGTGTACGGCTCTTCCTCGTCGGGAGCGACCGAGTCAGAAATCGCGCCATTAGCGATGGGAGAACCCGGAGGAGCGGGGACCGGATACGAATCCGTGGTGGCGTGCGTGATGGCGAGGGAGGAGGTATCTGTCATAGTACGACAGATTACCCCCTCTCAAATGGCGACAAAATGAAATATGAGGGTATGATGCCGGGGTGAATCCGTCACCATTCAAAGAACATGTCAACGAGCCCAGCACGAAGATGAAATTCAGTCGTGGACGAGTGCTGGGGGATGTTCAGACGCGTTCGAGTCAACGTGGAGACAGACGACAGACGACAGATTTCAAGCAGGGGACTCAGTGGCAAGAACGACTCCAATGTTGACTATAGAGATAGAAGGAACGTCTGCACAGATCTGAGGGATCCTTGATGATGGGACTCGGGTCCTGTAGGATGGTAGAGGGTGGGTGTAAAATCCTGGCCAGTTGCGCTCAACCTGTGCCTACAAGGGTAGCGGCGGGAGGGGAGGCAGGGTCGACTCGAGAAGAACGGTAATGGGTTGTTCAGAACACGGCGATTCAAGATCGAGATGGGAATCGGTTGCGATTTGCGTTGGAAGGTCGATTAGGGGAGGGTGAGAACGGTTGGAGGCGATTTGAGGGTCCAGTCGAAGATGGGAAAAGGGTGAGTGACCGGGTCGCACGGGGAGAAGAAGTGAGGGAAGAAGAAATGATAGGGGCGAGGAAGAGAATGGATGGCGTAGAAAGTTAAGGAATGGGGAGGATCCGAGAAGGAGGAGGACGCGCAAGGAAAAGGGAGAGGGAAAAAGAGGGTGGATCGAGAGAGCCTGGAAGGAGGAGGAGAGAGAGAGAGAGGCTGCAGGCCTAAGGCAGCGAATGGGCCCCGAACCAGCAGGAGCGAATCGGGCCTAGCGCGAGGAAGTCGCGCCTGCGACCGACGAGTGAGTGAGCCAAGGGGAGAAGGAGGGGGGGACCCAGGAGAGGGAGAGAGACTCGACCCGAAAACGAGCTAGCGAGAAAAAAAAAACCTGGTCAGTGGCATTAAGCCCGAGACCAGCGAAAGGGTGCGTGGCAGTGGTAGTAGGGGCGTGGCATTGGTATTAGCAGTGGCAGTGGCAGTGGCATGGTGTGTCCAGTGTACCCTGTGCTAGTCCTGGTTAGGACTAGCGTGGCAGACCCAAGGTGGAGTGGAAAACGCCCCCGGTCACGGGAACCACATGGGGAAGGGGGAAGGGATCAACTGGAAAGAGGGGAGTCGGGTGAGCATCTAGATCATTAGTAGAGTTGTTCAAATGGAAGACACAAAAATCATTCCTGGTCTCCCGTGAGATGTTGGCCCGAGCAACGGGTTCGGCCGAACATTTCCGGGATGCCATGCAGGTCGGGGCAGTGTGACTGCTGCTGCCATTCGATCCATCTGCGACCGGAAGAAAAGATGCAGTGGTCTAGCATCGCGAGCAGAGACATCTTCTTGTCTTCGAGGAAAGCAGACAATAGTCTAAAAAAAATCACCTCCCGATGATGAGAAAGCGAGGGGGAAAAAGAGAGGGTGGACGAGAGAGGGGAGAATAAAGAGAAGAAACAAAGGAAAGAAAATAAATGGGCCATCTCATCTCCCGTCAGGTGGTCAAATAACCCATTCAAGAATGAATAGAAAGAGATCCAGGAGATGGAGGAGGAGACTCAGCAGGTGTTAGCCAGATAAAACCCATCAAAGAGGTATATATTTCCCTCATAATAGAGGACGTGAGGTTGGGGGAAGGTGAGGAATGATGTTAGAAGAGAGAACACCCAAGGTGTATACAAAGGGAAACGGGAAACGTAGGTGCAAGAAAAGATCCATGGGAAAGGGAGATCGCCCGGGAGTGAAAGGCCAAATGGGGCAGAAGCGTGGCGCTGAAAGATTTGGTCGGGGGAGAAGAGGGGGAGAGCAAAAAGTCATTGGGCTTCCCCCCCCAGGGCCCTGGCGGGTTTTTTTTTGCCCATCAGGCGAAGAAAAAAAAAAGTGTAACGACGGCGGCACGGCCCTGAAGGAACCACTCGGGAACGGCCAGTACCATGGAGAACTGCGAACCTATCAAGCTCCCGAGCCTGGTGGAGTGTCCAGATCGGAGAGAGATATCCCTTAGAGAAAGGAGTTCACACACGAAAGGGGGAAGGGGAGGGGGGCGGCGGATGATATGAGTCCCCTGTGATTTGGCGGCCTTTTTTTTCGCCACTATAGAGAGGCCGTAGGTGCGACAGAAACAGGGCTAATCAAAGCCAACCGTTAGTCGATCATGAGGCGGAAATGAGTATCGATACTGTACTCCGTACGGCCCACATGGGATCCGCTTTCTTTCGTCCTTGCTGACACGACGGCGGCCGTGAATCAAACCAACCCAAGACCTACTCACAAGAAGGTTACTCAGTAATAGGATGCTGTAGACTCGGAGTAGTTGTGTTAGCCAGTTGAGAGTTTGCTAGAAGAAGGATCATAACTCCAGGGCTCACTTCGTGTGAGGAGTTGTTGGGCTCCAGCTCCAGAGCGGGAACTATCGTAACGCAGGCGACAGGCCCGACCTATTTAGGGCTGATGGTCAATCGATGAGACCAACCATCGATGAAACTCCATTGGCCCGATGCATGTCATGGTCAGTCTCGATGGGGAAGCATCAGCGTCGAGGTCTTGGAGAGGCGTTGGAAGAGGAAAGTGACGGAATGGGAGAGAAAGAGTGACGCGATGGCTGAGGTTGTTGGACAACTGCCTAGTTGGCTATTGGAGGAGGCCGAAAAATACCGAATCAAAATAATCAAAATAATGCTAAAAACCACTAAAAATAAAATCGCAGAGACAATACAATACATACACGAGTGCCTGAGAATAAAATATACAGGTCTCCCGAAAGGCTTACAGACAGTCTCAACTTGCATCGCCGCTAAAGGGCCAGTGACACATCCTAGTCTGACGCAACAACCACCCTCCAGCACCCAAATCAGACTTGTTACATACAACTCTCAAGCCTCTACTGCTATCGACCACACCTGCTCCAGCTCGATAGTTTCAGGTGTTGTGGCAGGCTGCCCCTGCTGTATGTGGAACGCACCCGTGGGACCCTCCGGCGCATCCTTGTCGATGGGCACCTCTTTGGCCTTAGACCGATACGGGACCATGGTTTGAAATCGATGGCCCAAATAGATGGCTCCAAATGCTGGAATACTAAAATAGGCGGCCACAAGTCTCGACGCTCTTGACCCAGGCTGAGGGCCTGCTGGGCCTCCAACTAGCCCGTTGGCGAGCAGCATTATGGCGCTCAGCATGAAGCCTATGTATGTTCCCATGGGTTGAACAGAAAAGCGATAGGTGTCACTCTGTCCCCGTTTATGAAGGTGGTGACGAAAACGACGGTAGGTCACGCAAGATACCATCCAGGAAAGGTACCCGCAGCTGTTGACAAAGACGAGGAAGTATGTCAACACCGTGGAGCTCGAGATCGCGACGGACATGAAGGCGAGCAAGGTAAACAGTGCAGTGACTATAGTCGCCACATAAGGTACACCCCATTGATTTCGGGTACTGAACGTCTTGGGGGCGTGGCCGAGCTCAGACAACGCTACTAGCGTGCGCGTGGAGTAATGCAAGAATGACCGACCAGAGGCCACCGAGGAAAGGAAAATCGCGACGGTTGCTGTTACTGGAAGAATGCGTATCTTCGCGGTATTGATCCCGATGACAAACGGAGAGAGACCACCGCCAGCTTTGTTGTTGCTCAACAGAGGCTCATTGTAGGGGGCCATCACACCCATGGCCAAAGAACTCAGTATATAAGGAAATGCGGTGGTCACAACATCGTAGACGACCGTTCTGGGAAGCACAGATCGAATGTTCGGGTCCGCTGAACCCCCGATTTCCATGTCACTGGCCGAGACTGGAGTTTCGGCTCGATGGACGATCAGTTCTGGTGCGAAAGTGAAAGCAGCCGAGCTGTGCAGGAGGCATTGCAGTAGGCCGAAAAGCTTTCCCAGTGAGCCTCGAGCTAGGTATTCATTCATAGCACCTGGCTTTCTCCAGTACTGAAATCCCCATTTATCATGACCGGTGGCACCTCCCATGCCGATTGACAAAGACAGTACAAGGAGACAAATCATTGTGCCGATTTTGATTCTGGTGAAGAGTTGTTCAGTGCCGCGAAAGGTGCGCTCAGGAAGAAAATTGAAGCCGACAATGACGCTAGTGATGATGAACAATCGGATCGCGACTGTCGAGCCAGGCTTCCATAGGCCGAGGTTTACCATCGCGGTCGTAGTTTCATAAGGGACGAGAAGAGCCAGGCTATACCAACGAAGGGTAGCAGTGGCGAGGCCAAGACTGGATGGGAGATATCGAAAGCCATTGGCAACCATTGAGCCATGTCGAGAAGGTGAATAAATGGCGACCTCGGCGACAGTTGTGGCCATGAGATAGGTTAGGAGTGATAGGAATACATAGGAGATGAGCAGCGAAGCTGGGCCGCCGATAGCTAGGGCTTGGCCAGCGCCTATGAACAACCCCGTTCCAAGAGTTGGGCCGACAGCCATGGCAGACCTGAGTAGTGATATTTACGGCCTGAAGGAGTGAAGGCCATCAGTGTCGAAAGGAAGTCGGGCGACGTTCGAATTCTTCATCAAAAAGTGATTTCGCGGAGAAGAGTCGCCCCTGCCCAAACTTCAAGTTGCGTCAGCGTTGGCGGCCCAGCCCCGGATCGTATACTACCGTGACCCCTATCAGAAAATAAATTTGGAAACATGGAAGTGATAAATAAAGTAGTTTGAGTCAATTAAAACACAAGGGTATCATTTCTCCTATGCACCAATTCGATCATAGGGATGAACAAATGGCTAGGAGGAGTTTGGTTGGACACAAGTTCGAGCGGAGGTTATAAGAGGGGACAAGAGTTTAGGACACAACCATTCACAAACAAATTATTGTATTGCCATGTCTGTCTCGGCAAATTCAAGCCATTCTCCGGACAGTGATTTCTTCCAAAACCGAACCGCACCATCGTCGCCAGCAGACATCAACGAATCACCTGTTTGAGAGATACGATTAGAAATTATAGGGTAGCCGGGAAAAAATGTTACTCACCAGCAAAGGAGAATTCAACCTGCCAAACATCAAGATGATTGCTTTCGATACAGGCCACTTGCTTGAATGAGTGACGGAACTGGGAATCACCACTAGCCTGCCGGTTGGACGCAGAAGGGGGTCCACGACTAGCCAAGGCAGAGCTGATTCCGGATTGAGACGTGGCTCGATTTTCCGAAGATTGTTGCTGCTGACGTCGTTCGGCCTTGCGGGAATTGACGGTTTGAGATGTCTGGTTGGTAGGTATGGTGAATACTTCAAAGATGCGAACCAATCCATCTTTGCCTCCGCTAGCAATGAGATCATAACCTCGGACCGATCCGTTAGCCCAAGAAATATCTCTCACAAGTCCCCCATGTCCATTCAGTTCGATAGCGTGGTAGAACCGACGGTTTGCATCCGTGCGATAGATCTTCACCGAGTCCATGGCTGCAACGACCAGTGATAAACTCTTGCGATCAGTTTCTGGTGAGATTGTGTGTGTGATATCACTTGGGTCATGGTGGAATTGAATTCTGAAGCTTGTTTCTTCTCCGCGCTCAGGCGGAGGGCATACGCGGAACTGGTCTAGGTGTTGCCAGTCTGCCAAACTGTCCGGACTGGTGGGCTCCAAGATCATCAAGTAGCCATCTCGTGTGATGACAGCCATCCATGATTCCAGATCAATGTTGCGAAAGTCCATCGATACAAAGGGGTGTCGTTGAGGCGCTGTCATCCGAAAGATGGATCTAAACCGTCGGCCCGAGTTGGGTGGCTGCGTCACATCCTCTTGCCATATCTTGAGCTTCATGTCCTCACCCACACTTCCAATATGTTGGCCAGTAAAAGGGCCGTTCCAAACTGCCTGTTGAAATAAGTCAGCTTGGGAGAGTCCGGTAGCTCGACGGTATATTCTCTTTGTGCCCTTACATCACGGATCTCTGCATCATGAGCTCGCCAGGTATCCGTCAGCTGCCATTGACCATCTTTCAGGTCCCAGACCTTCATACGTTGATCCGTCGACGCCGTCACGATCCGGTTTCCATAGAAGTTGAACTTGGTCACGGACACAAGGTCCCGGTGGCCAGCATCGAAGTCGGCAAAGCCGCCCGCCGTCTCCGGATGCTCCACACTCCCCATTGAGACGATGTACTTTAGCTTCACCCAAGGGGTTCCAGGTTTAATCCGGTGTTTGGCCAATGATGCGCTTCACCCACACATCTGCATGCTATGTTATGAAACAGACGTGTCTCAGCGTTTCCTGTGGCCTTCCATTCTCGGCCGCGATCATCACGGGGCCAGTGCCAGTCAGCGGTGAATAGCGGCAGAACCCGATAAGCTTATCGCATAGTTTGCCGGCGTCGGCGATGAAGATGCCAGCTTGCGTAAGCTCTCTCCCTCGTTTGTGCCTGTCTTTAATTTCTTTCGCGAAATAATCTTGTCGGAATTGAGTCTTCAGACCCTGGCGAGGGCTGCTCAATTCACGCTCGATATGCATGCTTCAGATACACTTTCTCGCACGGAGACCTGGCGTCTCTTGCTTCTTGCGGGAGCTGGGCTCGGCATCCTAGTCAACACCTTCCAAGGTGATGGCGCGCCATTGATTGCCTCTGGCAGTCTTGCAGTCATTGCTTTTGCGATAACATACAGCATGATTCGATGGCTTGGGCCGGTATTCATTAAGGCGGGTCTGAAAGGAAAAGATATGGCAAAACCAAGGAGACCTGAAATGTAAGTACTCCCCGCAGGCGTGTGTTTTGGCTGCCGAAGCCGACCTGGCATAGAATGAAGACTGATGTTTGGATCTAGACCAGAAACAATGGGAGCGGTGTGCGCTGTTATCTACCTGCTATCGCTTATTGTATTCATCCCCTTTGCCTTTTACAAGGACATTGTGGCTGCCACTTCGGGTGGTGGAAATCGAGACGTAGTGATTGAAGATCAACACATCGAAACCGGACGTTACCTACACAGATTTCCTCATGGGAAGGTGAGTAAATTTTCCCTGTCGTTATGCAAATGAGTGGGATCATTGGGCTAATTGTTTCGTGTGACAGCTCGCATCATACCTGTCGGGGCTTCTATCCCTGCAGACTATCATTATTCTAGGCATTGGAGACGACCTGCTTGACATTCGCTGGAGACACAAAGTCCTCATTCCAGCATTTGCATCAATCCCAATGCTCATTGTGTACTTTGTTGATTTTGGCGTGACACAAGTCGTCGTGCCGGTCCCGCTGCAACGATACCTGGGTGATTTTATTGACCTCGGGTCCTCGTACTACATGTACATGGCGGCCATCGCGATTTTTTGCCCCAACGCCATCAACATGCTGGCAGGTATCAATGGCATTGAGGTAGCCCAGTCGCTCGTTATTGCAGTTCTCCTGCTTTTCAATGATGCGATGTACCTCGCGCCCGTCACGCCATACCCTCATCCGGCTACCGACTCCCACTTGTTCTCGATCTATTTCTTGCTTCCATTTATTGGAGTTTCAGCGGCACTCCTGTGCCACAACTGGTATCCTTCCAAGGTATTTGTAGGTGATACCTACTGTTACCTTGCGGGCATGGTCTTCGCCGTTGTCGGTATATTGGGACATTTCAGTAAGACGTTATTATTACTATTTGTCCCACAGATCTTCAACTTTTTATACTCCACGCCGCAACTATTCCACCTTATTCCTTGCCCGCGACACCGACTTCCAAAATTCAATGCATCCACTGGGTTATTGGATGCCTCGGTAACTGAGTGGGCTGTTCCTCCCGCGCCCTTGATCGCCACTGCGCTAGATCTTCTCCATATATTACGACTGGCGCGGGTGACTAAGGATGAAAATGGCCAAATAGTCGAGTCGACAAACCTGACCCTCCTCAATCTTTGGCTACAGTGGATGGGTCCCATGAGAGAGGATCGACTTGCCTGGCACATGGTTGCTGTTCAGACTTTCTGTGGGGCGGTTGGGCTCTTTGTCCGACATCGATTGGCCTTGCTTGTCTTCGATCATGACAATCGAATGTTTCAATATCTCATGTAGTCCATTGCTCTGGGCCTATGTGGGCGGTGCTCCGGCCACGCGCGGACGCCAACCATTCAATGTACATACTTTCACAGTTTAAGAGCCGAATTATACAGACATTTTATTTCTAGCACACCTTGATCACATCTTGATCGCACTCTATGTACAAAGCATGTCGTTTTACCTTCGAATGCACTATTCATTATGGGACACATCTCGCAGCGCCCGTGTTTCCCGCTCAATCTTCTTGTCCCCGAAGGCGTGTCCGATTTGCTTCACGACAAACCAGGAAGGGACAAGAGCAATACCCCACAGGCCAAAATTTAGGTAAGGATTTCCCACAGCAGCCATTATAGAAATACTGCTTAGACCATACTAAAATGGTGTGTTAGTTTCTCGTGTTAGGCAAAGAAGCATAGGGAGGGGGTTAAAAATCATACGCTAACAGCTTGTGCAGCAGACTCTGTTCCGCGCAATAATCCTGCAATCCGAATAATCTCTTCTTGTTCATCTGCCAGATTCCCAACCAAGAAGAATCTGTTAAATCGTCAGTAAATGGTTGAGAATCACCTTCGGCATCCTTTTCGACACAACTTACAGATACATGTAATTCAGCTGGAAGCCAGCAACCCAGAAGAGGAACAAGGCAAAGGCTTTTCCGAAGCCAGGGTCAAGCCAGTCATAAGCGGGATTTGTTTTGTTGAACTCGGTGGTGTTGACCGTGGCCCAGATCCAACACATTCCCTGCCAACCGACCACAAAGAAGAATGCAGCCCGAGTTCGAGTCTTGAGTGAGATAGATTTGGTGTCGAGGAATGCACCCAGAAGATTGCCAATTGTAAGGGCGATTATTCCCGAGAGGAATGATCCAAGAGCCCTTGCGCGTACAGAAAACCACAGACCCTCGTATGAGAACATAACTGCCTCCGTGTATACTGCTTGGCAGATAAATGGGACGATGAGCAGAAACTTGCGGCTGATAAAAAGCTTCACCATTGCCTTGAGCTCATATCCCACACTGTTGGTGACCTGAAGCTTAACAGGAATGCCGTCCTTTCTTTGAACTTGCGACGGTTTGTTTAATAAAAACCCAGCAAATGGACCCAGGGCCTGCAAGACAATGAAAATGATATACACAGCGTAAGAGACACTGCCTGTCGTCGCACGCTTGGCGTTGATACCCAAGCTGATAGCACCGCCAAGTATTTGTCCCCCGACGCGAAAACTGAGCCAGAACCCCAGAAAGCGGCCTTGGTTATAGGGTTCCGGGTAGGAAAGAGCGATTGCTGCCTCTGCCATCCAGAATATTCCTGCGGAAATACCACATAATGCTGCTCCAAGGATGACAAGCCACTCCTGGCCGAATCGGTTGTTCAGATACAGCCCAGCCGCATAGGGTGCATATCCCATCGTGCCTACAATCAAAGTCCACTTTATACCGATAAAACGGACAACGACACTGGATAGAAAGCAGGAGACCACCATAAGTCCGAATGTCAATGCATTTGCTGCGTTGACCAGATATGGCTCCTCTTCACCTCCGCCGCCCAAAGAGTTCATAGCACCCCAGATACCTGGGGCAAGAAAATTACAAACTCCGAGAATGAGGGCATTGTAAAATGTAGATCGGTACCATTTTACTGTTCAAAGTTAGCAAGATCGCTCGATGGTGAACCCTTTCCTTTGCATACACACCCTTCTGGTTCGTGACGGTCGGAGGATTAGAAGAGTCATGACTGAGCTCCGCATCTGTTGGCGAAGCGCTCTTCTCAAAATCTGACATTGTGGAGGAGATGTACTGCTCAAAAGTCACGACAGCTGGCAAACAACTTTAAAAAAGGGCTTTTACAACATTATATAGCGACTTTCATATGATAAGTGATTGGTTCATTCGTCTAACGGAAACATGACATTTCGTGCTATGGCAACATCGGGACCTTGCCATTCTTGTGACTAGCTTAAATATTTCAAGCGCCTATCTTCATGAGAAGCTGTCTCAGGGCCTGGGGAATGTTGTGGTTTGGGGTACCGATTACGTGCTCGCACGAACGCACATCACGTTTAAGAACGGCTGCGGAGATTCAGTCCAGATTCGTGGGGAGGCTAATTTCTTATTTAAGATTTCTTTGGGAGACTCTTCGATCTCTATGGCTTGAACCTCCCGGCCGAGAAATTCTGAAGTACATCTCATTCGATGTTTCTGCATAGTGGTAGGTTGATCAGGGGCTCATCGGAATGATGTAGGCCATGCCGTATTAGTTAATACAGCTTGTGATTCTTTGACGCCGTCTGCTGATAATTTCCCCAGACTTCCTGTATCGATGAATACTTCATAGTCCAAGACTTTATTTACTTATTGTATATAATGAACGTAGAGGCTGCGGTTTGGTCCGACAAGGAGGTGAGTTAGGTATCCAGTTATTACCTCATTAACTTGGAAAAGTTCCCCTGCTTTGATTACCCCGGCCGTACAGCATATGTAGTATCGTTGTAGAGCTTACACGGCGAAGAATATCTGATAAAATAATATTGAATGGTCACGGTAACCAAATTTGCCTTATGTACTCCATACATACTTCCCAGCTCCCAGGCGTGGCGGAGGGATTCAAACCTTTGTAGGGATTCGTCATCGTCGCCCCGAATCACATCAGATCGAAGCAACAAGGCACCTTCACGGCCCAAGAAGTTCTGAGATGCCTAGATTGTGTATCAACTTTGAAAGATGGTAGAGAAAAACATCCTTCCTCTTTTTTAAATATGCCACACTGTAAACTTCCCCCTAGAACAGCCCTCGTCGAATATCCTTTTCTATTCCCTCGGTCATCCTATATCCCTGGTCGACAACAATGGGTACTTCACAAAAGCAACCCCTATTAGATCTGATCTACGATTCCCCTCCCCCGGGCTGCCAACGAGAGGTCATCATCACGCCATTTTAGCCCCGCCATGAGCAATGGACAACTGGGGAGACTGACACCGGATAGGTTGTAAGTCCCAGACGTAAGACGTGATACTCCAGTCCGGACCATTTCGCCTTCCCAGGACCCAGGGCCCAGCGGAGGCTTTTGATAATTATACGTGCTTCGAGCTAGTATTGATATCAATGCCCCGCCGCTGACCAATTTATTGAGCGTGCTCATCCTCTCGGCATTTCTCGCCCGAGAAAAATACATACATGTAGTCACGGACAAATTATAGATTTTCTCATGTCTGGAACTACCATTCGTTTTCTTTTCATTTAGTCGGTGATCTTGAGTATGGCACTGCTGGCCCCAAATATCATGTCAACCACTACCACTTTCCTTCAGCTCGGAGAGCTCGAACAAAAATCTAAATCCTTCCATCGTTGTACATCTTCCAGTAATGCCAGTGCATTCCAGCGATCGACACAAGAGGGGAAGACTCCGGTTCCAAAGCCTCTAGAGATGACGCAGCAAGTGCTTCTTCTCAAGGGTGTTAAAGAACAATACACATTGGTGAACGACCACAATATTCCTTCCATCTTACACCCTGGGGAGATATTGGTCAAGGTAAGCCATCACCGGTCTGGTCTGAGCTTGCATGAAATCAATTAGTCTGACTTTTTGTTGGCAGGTTCTTGCCATCGGCCTCAACCCGATCGACTGGAAAGCACCGTACGTTCGGATCACTGTTCCCGCTTTACGATTTACTAATTTAACCTTCTCTCAGTGCATTCAATTTCGGGATTCCTAGTCTACCATGGATTAATGGACGCGATTTGGCTGGGCTTGTTCTTCAAGTACCCGAAAAATCACGACTGCGTGTAGGCGACATTGTTCTGGTACCCTCAACAGACTACCGTGATATCAGGAAAGCAGCGTTCCAAGAATATGCCATTGCAACAGACTTCAACGCCGCACGAATCCCATCCTCGACCTCGATCAGTGCGTCCGCCTCTCTTGGTGTTGCTTTTGTTGCATCTGCTCTTGCTTTGGGTGTTTCACTTGGACTAGACTTCTCGCTCTTCACAAAATCGCCTGGGCCGAATCTGGTGAATGTTGTCGACCAGCTTGTTAAAAACAGCATTCCTGCCGACATTTTGAATGAGTGTTTTGCTTCATCGGATCGGCCTCAACGGGGTGATTGGGTTGCCATGTGGGGAGGTGAGATAATCCCCTCTCTGCTGCAACTTGATATTTAATGCTAATTAATGCCCAGCCTCAACGACTACTGGTTTAATCACGCTCCAATTAGCAAAGCTTGCTGGTCTGCGCGTAATCTGCGTCGCCGATGTGGCCCGACATGGAACTAAGCTTTTGCAGCTCGGCGCAGATCTGCTAGTAGATCGACAAGACACCGAGCGCGCAGTCGAGATTATTCGAGGTGTTACAGGTGGTAAATTAAGATATGCAATTGACATCGTTGGAAAAGAGACGGCAACTCTCCTTGAAAGAACGTTAGAGACATCAGGCCAGTCCCATCTACTGGGGTTGACAGGTCTACCCAAAGAGCGAAATCCCGGGATCCGATATCATACCGTGCCGATTAAACTTTTCCATGAGGCTCCCGCTGTCGGTGAGAGTCTGGTGTGTTGGTTGGAGAGTTTGCTGCAGGATGGTACATTGAGTTTACCGGATATTGTTCGTGCTGAAGGAGGGCTGGACGGCATTAATGCGGCGCTGGAGACGCTGCGGGATGGATCGGTTTCAGGTAAAAGGATCGTGGTAGATCTCGGTGCTCATTCATGATCTATAGACCGCTCCAGGGCTGTTTCGACATAATGTCTTGAAATGAATTGGGTTGGGCTTTGGCATTTCGGTTATAATTCTAGACATTCAAATTCTTTTATATAGATGCATTAAAAATCATGAAATGTTATATGACCAAAACCCGGGATTGAAGCTCGCAGCTGGGTATCAACAATTAATCTACTACTTAGTAGCACTAGTAGTCAGATTCCAGGATTAATATTTCGGGGTTCCAGGGAAGTTTAGGAGTGTTGATTAAATTTCAGGTTCACTGGCAACTTCCAACTTGAACTTTTCGTGACAGCTCGAGGATACTAGGAGATAGATATACCAGCATGAATGTATTATATATATTCGAACTTGAAGCCTGATTCGGAGGTTTCCAGTTAACTCCGAGCTAATATTAATGCTATATTAGTAAATCAGTTAAGACCCACTCGTACAAGCAGTGATTGAACTAGTAGTGCTAGTGAATAATCAAGGTGTCCCGCACTGCAACCCCTCTTCCCCGTATGTGCTTCTACTACCTTGGACGCCCCTCGGCACGATCGGACACGGCATCCGTGGCCAATAAGAGGCCCACTATTAGTTGAGTCACCCCCGATTCGGCGGTCTACGTCATGCATTATCAGTCGGTGTACACTCCCCAATTGAAGCCCCAGCGTACATAGAAGGATGACAATAGAGTACATAGAGTGCACACAATAAGAACAATAAAATAGGAGAAACTTGAAGCGAAAATTCTTTGAATATATGATTCCCAACACTGCCGTGTAACCCACAATGATCGTGTTGTTACTCCCACCCCGATCCACCGCCCGCAAGCGCCACTAGCCGCCGTCACATTTTTGTCCAGGCCGACATCGGCCTCCACCTTGGTCACCACTCCAACCAATCAACTCTCCAGCATTGGCCGCTGACCGACCGAAATCGGCGTTGCCCCTCGACTTGCAGGACAGCGACATCGCGGGCGCGGCAAAATATAAGTCTGCTCTCTGCTGTTCCCCAGATCGGTGACTTTCCAAAAGAGCTTCACATACTGTTTATACCATCTGCACACCATGCCTTCCGCAGATTCAAAGCCGAGGACCTTGTACGACAAGGTCTTCGATCACCACATCGTCAATGAGCAAGAGGACGGCACCTGCTTGCTGTACATCGGTATGCCGAATTACCCTAGCCCGAGCTTGTACTAGGGTTGAGCAATCATCGCTAACACTAGAATAGACCGCCACCTTGTCCACGAGGTGACATCTCCTCAGGCCTTCGAGGGCCTAAAGAATGCCAGCCGTAAGGTCCGCCGGCCGGACTGCACCCTGGTGACCGTCGACCACGTACGTTTGAAGGAATTGACCTTGTGTGCTTGCCCTGAGCTTCATGACCAGTTGCTAATTTCTGTTCTTTCATCTTATAGAACATCCCTACCAGCTCTCGGAAAAACTTCAAGAACGCCGAGGAATTCATCAAGGAGAACGACTCCCGCCTGCAATGTACCACCCTCGAAGAGAACGTGAAGGACTTTGGCCTGACCTACTTCGGCATGGGCGACAAGCGCCAGGGTATTGTTCACATTATCGGCCCCGAGCAGGGTTTCACTCTGCCTGGTACCACCGTTGTCTGCGGTGACAGTCACACATCCACCCACGGTGCCTTCGGTTCGCTCGCTTTCGGTATCGGAACTAGTGAAGTCGAGCACGTCCTCGCTACCCAGACCCTCCTCACCCGCCGAAGCAAGAACATGCGAATCCAGGTTGATGGCGAGCTCCCCGCCGGTGTCACCAGCAAGGATGTCGTTCTTCACATTATTGGTGTCATTGGTACCGCCGGTGGTACTGGTGCCGTTATTGAGTTCTGTGGTTCCGTCATTCGTGGCCTTAGCATGGAGGCTCGCATGTCCATGTGCAACATGTCTATCGAAGGTGGTGCACGTGCAGGCATGATCGCGCCCGACGAGATCACTTTTGAGTACCTGAAGGGACGTCCCCTTGCCCCCAAGTACGGCAGCGCCGAGTGGAACAAGGCCACCAACTTCTGGTCTACCCTCAAGTCCGACCCAGATGCTCACTTCGATGAGAACGTCTTCTTGGATGGCAAGGACATCATTCCCACAATCTCCTGGGGTACCTCCCCCCCCAGGATGTCATTCCCATCAACGGTGTTGTTCCCAGCCCCGATGATTTCAAGGATGAGGCTCGCAAGCTTGCCTGCAAGCGTGCTCTGGAGTACATGGGTCTCGTCTCTGGTACTCCCATGAAAGAGATCCCAGTTGACAAGGTCTTCATTGGATCATGCACAAATGCTCGTATTGAGGACCTGCGGGCTGCCGCCAAGGTTGTCAAGGGCCGCAAGGTCGCCGATAACATCCTGCGTGCGATGATTGTTCCCGGCTCTGGCCTGGTTAAGGAGCAGGCCGAGGCTGAGGGCCTGGATAAGATCTTCACTGACTCTGGCTTCGAGTGGCGCGAGGCTGGTTGCTCTATGTGCCTTGGTATGAACCCGGATATCCTGTCTCCCAAGGAACGTTGCGCCAGTACCTCCAACCGTAACTTCGAGGGTCGCCAGGGTGCTCAGGGCCGTACCCATCTGATGTCCCCTGCCATGGCTGCTACTGCGGCCATAGTTGGCAAGCTCGCTGACGTTCGGGAGCACTTCGTCCCCAGCCCTACCCTTGCTAAGGTTGCTCCTCAGGTTGATATCCAGCCTGAGGCCGTGGCCGACTCCCCTGAGACTGAGGATGAACTCGATCGCGTCTTGGATGTTCCTGCCGACAATGAGCCTCACACCAACTCCTCCGCTGGTGGCGGCGGCAAGAGCGCCGGTCTTCCCAAGTTCAATGTTCTGAAGGGCATTGCTGCTCCTTTGGACCGTTCCAACGTCGATACCGACGCCATTATTCCCAAGCAGTTCCTCAAGACTATCAAGCGTACCGGTCTGGGCGTTGCTGCCTTCTATGAGCTCCGTTACCACCCCGACGGCCAGGAGAACCCCGACTTCGTTCTCAACCAGGGTGTTTACCGTGACGCCAAGATCCTTGTTGTCACTGGACCCAACTTCGGATGTGGTAGCTCCCGAGAGCACGCCCCCTGGGCTCTTCTCGACTTCGGTATCAAGTGTATCATTGCCCCATCATTCGCCGATATCTTCTTCAACAACACTTTCAAGAACGGCATGCTTCCCGTCGTTGTTGACGATGAAGTTGCTCTGAAGAAGATCGCCGACGAGGCTCACGCTGGTCGTGAAGTCGAGGTCGATCTCGACAACCAAGTGATTAAGGATGCACAGGGCAACAAGATTGTTTCCTTCAACGTTGACACCTTCCGCAAGCACTGCCTTGTCAACGGTCTGGATGACATTGGTCTGACTCTCCAGATGGAGTCTAAGATCCGCACATTCGAGGCCCAGCGTACCCTCGACACCCCCTGGCTTGACGGCAGTGGCTATCTCCGCCGTGGTACTCGTGGTGCCACTAAGATTGAGGCCGCCCCGGTCCCCAAGACCAACCGCGGTGACGTGAAGAACGAGCCTCTTGAGTGGTAAAGTTGGCATTGAGAATCTATATTATTGGGCGCTTTGGATAATCGCATTTGATACGGTAATGGGTACTACTATAGCCCGTGGGATTTCGGTTGATTTGACAAAAGATTATTCCCCTATTTCTATCTGCATGCTCTGGAATTTGCGGAGCTTGATTGTTTTTGGAATGTTGAATTACACTAGTTGTCTCCGACTTTCAATGAGAATGACTTACGATTTAAAATTTCCCCCCCAGTAGAGAGCGTTGGTACATAGCTCTGTTTTGTTTATAAGAGACGTGATGCCCATCATGCAACGCAATTAATCAAAACATTAGATGGTGAGTAGGAATGAAAGACTAGTAACATGAAATGAAAGGAAAAAGTGGAAAAAAAGCCCCAAGTACCTTCCGAGGTTCCGACCAAAAAAGCTACACCCGGGCGTTTATGGCTTCGACAGCTGTTCCCGACGGAAGAACAGAAGAAAACCGCCACTGAATTGCGTCAAAGGTCAACATAATCCATCACTTTCAGGTATAATAATACTCACCAAATACTCAACTGGAATACAAGTGCAATCCAAAACCATGCATTCCCCAAAGCCCCCGCACCGGCAGTTATATCAGGCGAAATAGGACCAGGTCCGATTCTGTTTGGCGCAAACGCCCTGGCGGAGATAGTCGCGATAGACCCAAGAACTTGAGAAACAAGAAGCGTGAAACATATGTGCATCCGGGTAAGCGTTTGTAACAGAATCATGCCAAAACCAAGGCCCTGGAGCGCGTCCATAACGCCTAGCCAGAGCCACAGGCTTCGAGATACCAGTGCTCCAGACGTATAACTACCAGCCCAAGGGAGGAACAGGCCTGATCCAGATGTGCCCCACCATATTTGAGCCCAACGAGGTGCACCGAGGCCGCAGGCCACGATCGGAAGAATCCAGCTGTGGGACTTGGATATCCAGCCTAGAAGGAACAGTATTGCTATCCAGGCAAATCCGAAGAATGCGACGCAGAGGCAGAGAATTTGCCATGGCTTGGCATGGTTTGAGATCCAGAGGACTATTTTGAGGTCAGAAATGGGCTAGGTAATCACCGGCTAGAGGATTGGGGGGGAAATGACTTACAATTCCAGTTTCGACCGTATGGGGCGCTGAGGAAGAAATTCTGAAGGATGATGACGACCCAATTCCAAAGGACAATCTTGCGGCGGAAGACAGATTTATAGAATGATGGCACTTTGCCTGGTGTTTGGCGGTAATAATTCGGCAAGCCGAAATAGACAATCAAACCGATTGACCATAAGAAGATTGTGATTGGAGTACAGACGGCCCTATGAATGGTGTGAGTAACATGGTCAACTCTACAAGGGAAAAGGCAAGAGACACTCACGTCATTCTCCAGGTATTTGTGATATGTCCTTGAGAATTAATATTTCCGGCATTGGATGCCTTTGTCAGAGTAGATCCCCAATACCAAAGCGCAATGACATACACCTGCTGCGTACCCTGAATCAAGCACGCACGGAAAACCCATTGTTTAACAGGTGCGCCGCTCTCATCTCCAAAATTGAGAGAGAAAAAGATAGAGCCACTCGATGATGCCGCAGCGTAGATGCCACTACCGACATTCTGAATCCATCCGCGGAGATAAGAGTTGGGTTCGAAGTGAGCGAGGCCAATAATAAGAAACGCAAGGCCGTATAAGAACCACGGTACGGTAAGAACGAGCACAGATTTGAAAAACCGGAAGAAAAACCACCATAGGATAGACGTGATCAAGTAAACAGTAGCTATACCATATAGCTTCGCTGCTGTCTGGCCGACTTCACCGGTGAGCAGGGTAATTTGATATGAATTGGCAGCAATTATTTGGCCAAGTCCGAGGAAAAGAGAATAAACAGGCCAGTCTCCAATTCGTAACTGCATCCATTTCTTTAAACCTGTCGGTGGTACGTAGTCGTCACCTAGAAGGAATTCGTCGGCCTTCCGTTCAGGTACACCACTCTCATGGGATGTTGTGTCATCGTTGGTGATAGAACCGGGTGGAGAAGAACCGCCACTTTTGCCGAACTGCAGGGACGGAGCAGGAGACTGATTGCGTCCCAAACGAGCATCTCTGAACCGATCAAACCATTTCTTCTCGCTCTTTTCAAGATACTGCTCGATGCAAAGTTGTGAGTCGGAATTTGCGCCATTAAGCTCTTCCAATTTCTTTTCAAACGCTCGATAGTACTCTCCATTGCTGTCTGTGAAGAAGGGGTCGACTTTTTGAAGCTTGTAATCCTTTTTATCGCCAACGACAGAGTCGACAGACAACGCAGACGCACTGCTGAGACGGCTTCCAGGGCCTGCCCAAGGTAGCGATGGTGGAAGTAATGTGTCTTCTGTCCCTGTTAAGCTAGGCGCTGCAGAGCCCGAAGGCGTGCCACTAGATCGACCGTCCAAAGAGCCTTGACTTGATTGGCGTGCAGAAAGAACATCTCGAGTAGGAGGAATGCTGGCACTGTCCAGCCTACGTCCTCCATCTGATGATTCGGAAACTACTGTGTAGTCGTCTTCGTAGTAGCATGTGGCCATCATCTCATCACCGCTATCATCTTCAGCATCCAGAGGCGTGACACTGACAATCTCTTCGTCGACAACACTTCCTTTGCCATGGGATCTGCGCCCACGGCTTTCTGCCGAAGCAGAAACTGGCCTGACGAGAGAGGAAATCTGTCGGCCAAGTGCTGATCTGGGCATTGCCTCAGAGCCAGGGCTAGGATCCGTGCTATATATCATTGAATTGCGCTGCATTGATGCAACTGTTCCTGGTCTGCTCGGTGATTGCAGCGGGGGAGTCACAGTACCACTCGACGCACCGAATCTCATCGACATTGTCGCTTGAGGAGTCATCATTCCGTAAATTGCGTTATAAGACCCAGCAGTGGCTTGTGTAGGCTGAGTCTTCGCACGTTCTTTGCCATGAATTCTGATAGCAGTGGTTTGGAGGATTTCCAAGTCTTCGATCCATTGAGCAACCGGGAAGCGCTGTTTGGCAGATCTTGCGCGCATCATGGCACGGGCTTCAAGTTTAGAGCTCAGAGCACTGTCGATAGCAAGTTTGAACTGTTTTAACAGATGTGATGTTGTCGTTGACTCGACCGTGTACCACCACCCAGGCATTTGGCCGAGTCCTCCCACTCGAGCACCGATGCCAAGAGCGCCTTTGCGGCCAAACTCGACAGCCACAAGGCCGAAAGGTTCATCGCGAGACGGTATCAAGGCGAATTCAGTGCCAGAAAATATAAAAGGAGGTAGTACCGTAAACTGGGGTTTCGAAAACACTCGCTTCGGGTAGAGCTTCATCATACGGTCCAATTTCAATGCCGCAAACTTGCCGTATAAATCAATGATTGGGCCGACGCATATCAATTGAACATTTGGTCGTGATTCGAGCACGCCAGGCATAACATCGGCAATCAAGTCAATTCCCTTTTGCATAGACCATCTTCCAACGAAGACCAGAAGATCAGCATTGGGAATTTGGTTAAGACCAGCCCATTCCTGAGCCTGTCGTTTCAATTCCGCTCTGCGAATTTCGAATTCACTGTCAACACTAATATCGCGCTCTTTCGCAAGTTCCTTGTTCCATTCTCCAGTGTCGGAAGGATCTGGATTTGGCAAGTTTCCGACCTTCTTCAAGCCCCAAAAGATGGGGAAACGGGCGTAAGACCGCTTGCCGTATTTCTTAGATACCCCCACTGCACCAAATCCTTGTTGGTGAAGGCGTAGATAGCTTGCACCGGCATGTAATAGGTTGAATACTTCACCAAATTGCACATAGCGAGTAACAGTGTCCATATCAAGATTGAAGACTGAGCATACCTCGGTCTTTTCCTTCTGCGTCCTCATGGGCCATAGGCCTTGAAACTCAGCATTGTGGAGCGAGAGACAAATGGGGACTGTATCTGGTAACTGGTATAATGGGGCAATTGAGCCATGGTAGTCGTTAATGTGGTATAGGTCAATGGGAAATCTCTTGATAGCTTGCGAGATGCACTGGTTCCACGCTGAGTAGTAAATAGCACTGTCGAGATCATCCATTCGGGCAGGATATGGCTCCTTCATAGACTGTTGACGAAAAACCGGAGCATCAAGCAGAACATAAGTAATGTTTCTTAGATTGTGGTATTGGATCTTGACCTCATATGAGTTCCCAAGAATGTTAACAAACATTGACTCGGCCGGTTTGTCGATAGGGTATTCGACCCCGCCAACACATGGAACGACCCAAATGAGGTCTTGATGGCCAAGCTGTTTGCTCATCAATTGAGCCATCACGCCCAATCCACCTATTTTGATTCGGATCCCCCAGTCATCAATGTCATATTCCATGGTCGCAATTAACACCTTTCGCCGGTTTGAGGTACGGTTGCCGAAAGCAGATGTGCTTTGAAGGAATTTTGACTTGGTTGCAAGGCGGACAAGTAGATTTCTGGAGTCACCGGGCTCGAATTTGAACCTGTTCAGAATATTCAGAGATATAATTGTTTTCTTTTCGCTAACCCCGACTTGATTGAGTTTGATCTTGTAGAATGTTTTCTTGAAGATGTAGGCGCAGGTGAAGGCCGTGATGACTGGCACGAGCCACAACGAAAAGAAGAGCGCCATTTGGACATATTGAGATCCTGCTGGTACAAGTTTAAATTTGAGTGTAGCATCGTCAAGCTGAATTCTCCAAGCCAAGTAGGGTTTTGGAGGATGGTCTGTTATGTTGATAGTTGTCGTACTTAAGGACGATGGTGGTAGACGATCTAATACCGAATCACCATTTGAGTCACCAAAAATGTAGCTTTGGTCAGGATGCCCGTCAGGGTTGATTCCCCAGATATTAAGTTGACCCTGAGCAGGCCATTCTGCCATAAAACGGAAATTCCAAAGGCCATGGCTGTCTTGCTTCACGGTGTTTGCGAGACCTGAATCGTAGCCGTACTCGTTGAAAGGACCGTTAAAGAAGAGATGAGGAAATCGTCTGGGAGCTGCATTATTATATCCAGGTCCATCACCTTCTTGAACGTAGTCACTGCTACCCGTGAAGCGATTCCAGTACTCAACACGAACGTGCTTCCCATTCCACCTCTGTTTCTTTGTTCCTGACCAATGTTGCTCTTTGATTGAGTGGTTTCCACCCACATACGATAACCACTTTGAGAATGTGCTTCCCCAGTTGGTGGAGTAGCGGTACAGATCCGCGCCAGCAGCATGCTGTTGAATATAGAGGGTTCCATTTCCATGTTGATGAAGCAAGCTGCTAGAGTAATTGGCAGCGGTGAAGACTATCGGATTGTCACGCTGTCCAATGCGAATCAGAAAATGATCGATTGAATTAGTGGGTTTTCCCTCATTGCTTGTTGCATTTCTGATAGTCAGCCTGTGCACTCCATTGAAGACATTATTCAAAGTGGCTGTCCAGACCCATGTGCTAGGGATATGTCCTGTATAAGATGTCTGTCTGTCATCTACAAGACCACAATCAACTGTTTCGAGGTCCAAAAATGGGGATTGTCCAGATTCCGTGGACGAACTCAGAGATATAGATTGTGTTACCAAGTTGCAGTTCATCTCCGTAGAAAAGTACAGGGCAATATCAAGCTTCTCGCTTTCTCCAGGTCGTGCGGTCGACAGCACGGGAACATCGTGACCGGGAGTAAATTTTGTAACCATTGGCCGAGGAGGCACGAAATTTTTCTTCAGAACATAAGCTCTGAACTCATAAGGCGAAAGAGTCAAATTGTCAAGACATCCATTCCAAGCAGTGGACCCATTGAGATGTAGCTTAGTTGGGCCATTTTTCAAAACGAACTCATCATGTGGATAGAAGAGATTCTTGACAGTGGTATTCGTATCAAATGGAGCAACCAGGGCTAAGTGTCGATCAGAGCAATCAAAATCATAGGTAACAGTACGGTTGTCGTTTTGATAGACGAACCATACTGTTTGGTTTCCGGATTCTCCAAGATCCTGCATTTGGAAGTATGGACTGCGCATGATAGACCACATGCCTGTTTCGGTTGGAATCCCGTTAGAGCCTGGCAGGTACACATCGTGTGTTTGGTTGGACAAAAGCTGTATCCACCAACCGTCATTGAGAGCTGGGAAGTCTTGCCGCATTTGATACATGTGTTTGATGGTATTTCTCATTGGATGTGCAGGATCGCGGTGATCGTAGGTTGCACTTTCGTCGTGACAGCCATTTCGCCCTGACCCAATTGGCCAATTATAATACTGAGTTGAAGGCAACTGGAAGCAACCATGGGCTTTCCATGCGGTAGCAGGTGACATTGCTTGGCGACCAAAAATGTAGTTGGAAGCTGTAGCATCTAATATGTAGAATGCTTGCTCCTCGCCCCAAAGCAACAACGGTATGCCAGGCATATGCAATGTGATTATGAACAAAGCTAGTAAATGCCGTTCAATGCCTTGCTCAACAGCTGGCCAGCGAAAGACATCCTGATTTGTCGCTCCATACATGTGTCGAGGATCGAATTTGCCAGTATTCGCGTTGACCATGTCGTTCGTAAGGATCATCTCGTACCAGGCTTCTGTCCAATTAATGGGGACATCGTAGCCAGCAGCGAGATTACCGTCCATGCCCAGAAAACGAGTTAGGGATCGATAAACGGAATAATGAAAAGCAGCCCCGTCGATGGCTTGCTGGTTCTCCTCGCAAAGGAAAAAAAATGGATCGGAGTTGTTATTTAAACGGAAGGCTTCGTCGAGGGTCTCTGGGAGCATGTCTGGCTGCCGGCCGCGACCTAGGAAGACTGAACCTAGAGTGTTCCCAGCTGTGATCTCCCCTGGGAGGAAAAAGTTGTTTTTTCCAACTTTACGAGCGCATTCACGGTAGGACCCAGAAATATCGCCCAATGCATCCACTGTCGCTTGTGTCGCTTTGTCGTAGCGAAAACCATCGATGTCAAGGGAAGAAATTATCATGCAGGAATGGCGGGTGAGCCGCTCTCTGACACTTGGGACCCATTCACGCAGACGGTCTTGAACCGAGGCAAACTTCGCAAGCTCACGCTGCCAGTCAGGATAAACACCGAAGGCTTCGATATCACCATATTGGTCAAAGTCACTGTCGAAACACCCTTGTAGCTGTTCATTGACATATTCTGAAACAGGGAAGCCGGTCTCATTCCAAAATCGGGGATATTGACAAGTTTCGTTGTAGGTGTTTCCGAAGTGGAAATCGACATACTGGCGGTCTGACTTCCATTGAGCGCTGTGCTCTTTGAGCAGAAACGGCGTGGTAGTATTGAGGTATCCTTTAAATCCAATCAAGTCGCCCATTCTGTCATTGATTCAGCTTTGAATGAGGGGGCTTGAGGCAACTAAGTAACTTACGTCGCAACAGTATTATCAAGAATGACATAAATCCCACGATTGTGGATCTCAGTGATGGCGTCTCTCCAATTTTGCAAAGTACCAAAGTGCTGATCCAACAATGTGGTATCAAGTGCCGAGTAGCCGTCAGATCCCCATGGCTGGTTCATGAGAATTGTTCCGGCCAAATATATAGCCTGTTCATTGAAGAAAATGCCCCAATTAGTCGATCAAGCTAGGCAAAGAGACTTATAATGCGAACTTACCTTGATGCCCATTCCCTGGAGATAATCTAGGGTATCAACCAATCCGGATACGTCGCCGCCATGACGCATCTGATTTGAATTTAGATCATGCTCGAAATGGGTCCCATTTATATTATCATTGGTTGGATCGCCATTCACGAAGCGGTCGAGGAATAAGGTATATACTGGGAAACGCCAGTTATCTGGAGACGGGAAATATGTGTGATTGGGCCATTCACCCCAGTACTCGTCTGGGTTCCTTGTGTCGGGATTTTCATTGATATTATAGTCGACAAGAGCCTCATCATAAGGCCAACATTCACCTAGATTTGCGAGGACGGCAAGCAGGGCGCTTATATACTTCCAATGCATGGTATATGATCACCGGTGACAAGTAATTGAGATTAAATGCGAAGCATGTGCTTTGGGGGTTGCAGACAAAATAAAAGACCAGTAGAAAGGCACTTGGCAGTATACCCTTCTTAGTTTGGATGGGTAGTCTGTTATACATTAGGTCTGATAAGTGGTTTAAAGAGAAGAAGCCAATCAAACATAGCAGATAGCTTAAACGAAATCGAAAACAAATATTGAAGTAGGTAAATGAACTTACCTGTGAAAATACAGTTCCACATGCGATAAAGAATTCTTGACCACTGTGGTATTAATCGAGAGTAAATATCGCCAGTATGCCTCTAACCTTGGAACCTCCACCAGAGCCCCGGTAAGCTCAGTAGGCAAACACGAGAAATCCTTCCGTATTAAAAGAGAACTGGATGCAATGGTTTGTTGCGTGGTGGCCAGAAGAAATAGATGGGAGTGAATTTTCACTTAAACAAGCCGAGTCCAGTCACAACTAAAATTCGCGGCATACCTTAGGGAATTCTTGTGTCCCTTCTCTTTACAGAAAGTACATTGTCTGATTCTGTTATCTTTTGGCTCAATATGGAGATGTTGGGGATCGGTGTCCTGGATTCCGGAATTAGTGACGAGTCATATTGACTGCTGATAGGAGGTATGAATGTCAGGATACATATGGAACTTCCGGGGACTTGACCGGGTCTATCAAAGTGAAATCTATTTCGAGATGTTGTGGGCTCAGATAACAAAAGTAAATATTGTCTCACGAGACTTCCAGATTGCTAATGTGCTTCGAGCACAATCCATAGCTCTGTGCATTATCGACGGTTAGAGTGAAATGCCTGTGGCTCGACGATACCTAGTGTGCTATCTATGTTGTGTATGTATCACAAAAGGCCTGTGAAACAATCATGGATGATAGCATAGACGTGCGTATCTCTACTAGGGTTCGGAGGTGCTGAACATGCCGTGGAGATCATATATCAGTCTGATTTAAACACCAACTTTCATAAAATTCCATGAGATTGTCGCTCGATATGGCTTGATTATACGTCGAGCTGGGGCCCTAGTCAAGTTCATTCCAAGGCTTCGAGTTTGTAGTTCCGGGAATTCTTTTATAAGATATTTCTGTTGGTAAGATACTCCTGCTGTTCAGCATGAAACCTGTTGTGACCATTGTGCCTCCAGGGGTAAAGGATGGACTGGTAGATTAATCTGCACAAAATCCAATTATAGGAAAGTTTGGTCTCATCTCACAGGTGCGCAGAATTACTGGATTTTGGTTTCGACTGCCGCAAGCATAGGCGCATAGGTCAAGGCTCCATATCTCAAGCTACCACACCTTGGTCATTTGGACTTCACAAAAAGAGTGATCAGGCTTTGTAATCTAATAGAAGAATAACTTCTTTATTCTGTATTAGGATGGGCAGCCCTTTGGCCTGAAAACTATGTACAGAGCTGCGATTTTTACCCCCAAGCAAATATTTGAGGACGCCTCGGCTCTTTGCTGTGAAACCAGATCTCCAATAAATAGAGAACGTATTTATGTGTAAAGAGGAAGAAAGAATGACCAAGCCCTTTCATTGTCCCCAAGATGAAGCTACTCAGTGTAATACACTAATAGACGTAAGCAGTCATACCGAGGAATTGCTAGGTGTAGAGCGTATGATGATCTCAATTACACATATAGGCTTCATGCGGGTAACCAATGAGAAAAAATTTAAATATTTCTCTTTGGTACCCGGCCCGGCAGGACAAGGTTTCCATACTTTTAACTGCTTGTCACCAAGCATCCAGCGTTGGAGCTTCTGGGGTACATGGTTCAACAGCATAGAGAATGAGATTGAGGTGATCTTATTCAAAATCTAACAAGCCGTTGGGTATGTTAGACCGTTTTGCAGAAACCATAATTGAACGATCTTTTCGGTTCGTTTCTAAGAAAAATGCGAGCTTCTCTCCACACGCGCTGGGATACCGATGAACTGGGCTGGGCTTGTCTGTCCATTCTAGGGTCGAATCTTAGGTAATAGCACAATATCAGAAGTATTGCACAGGTAAAGGCATGACTTCAAGGCACAGCATAACTATCGTTGGCCAAAATCAGCGCTATTCTGCCCCTTCCAGGCTCATCTACTGGTATTTACTCCAAGGGCATCTTGATGGATCTCGATCGAAACGTGTATAATTCGCGCCCCAATAGTGAAACACAACTCCTCTAAAGCCAATAAATATAAAATCTACGTTAATACTGAGAATGTATCTGTTGATACGAGATGTAAAATTCCTCATCCAGCTATAATGGGCGACCTCATGTTCGGTACATGGACCGAATTCGAAACTCACTGTGTACCCAGGTCTTTTGTGGCACCCAGGCAACCATTAGGATATGCCCGGATAAATCTGACCTTTCTGCGACAGATGGAGTAGTAATTCATATTGAATATTGCCCTTAGTAATCCCAAGTGAGGAGCAAGAATGAAACTTCGAGTGCCCCGAATCGCTGTGCGAGGTATATAGGAGTAGGTGCTATCGCAATTAGATAGTACAATTAAGTGGAGATCCTCCCAGCAAAAAGGATTCTACTTCAACTATATTCCAATGTTCAAGTTCTCTACCAGCCTACAGGCCATGAAATAGATCTCTACCCTGGGTGATGCACCGAAGGGGCCCGATTTCCCGAAACGCACCTCTCTAGGCCTGAATCCTGATACCCCGCGAATGGTCTGAGCGCGATCAGATCACTACCATGCATCAATTTGCAGTCACCCTTTTGTATCTGATACCTACTGCTTTCTACCCAAGGTATCACGCATGTGAACCATGGCCAGGTCAACTTGAAGCAAACCATTGTACGTGCCGGGTGCGACAGTCCACTTTTTCGGACTTCGCCTTTCGATCTTGCCATCTCATAATCACACCGGACTCTGGGATTGATCGCCCATCTGAGACAAGATGGTGTAAGTAGTTCGGGTGGTCGCGTACGACATATCGATCAGGGGTGCGAGGAACTTGGCCAGTGTCAATTGCCTGTGCTAAAAGCACATCCGAGTCTCTTGTCAGTGCGGGATACCTACTAGTTAGTAGGTACCAAGGGTCTTATCAGTTCATGACATTGACTAGGACTATGCTCCGTTTCCGAGAATTGCGAGTGTTCCTGCGGATATAGTCGTGCATCGGAGTTCCAGATATCCCGACTGGAGATAGGAAGTAATGGCACCCCATCGCTTGTGAGGACTGTCCGACCTGTTCGTAATGATCCTTCGTCGGACGCGGAGTAGAAGTCATACTGAAAGTAGTGATATACCATCTATATCAGCCAGTGAACCATTGGAAGTGCATGGGAGGGCCTAATGAGAGCTCGAAGTCCCCGCGATAAGGTGGCCCCGTCCATTGGGCCTTGAGGTCCCATCCGCGACGCCCTGCGGATGTACTTTGACATTCCATCCTGTGAAAGTGGTTGTTATAACTCTACTACCACACATTTGACATGAATGAGGGTAGACAGGCAATTGGCCTCGGAGAAACATAGCTTATCAACAGCCCTTTGGCCATGAACTTAATTCTTCGCGTGAAATATATAGAATAGAATAACACTGGGTCTATCCTGGTATCAAAACTCCTTTTTTTGGTCTTTCATACATCATGTCTCAATAAAACTATCCACGAGGGTTTAAATTACTGAGCGCCGTAGCGAGCACGGTAATCCTTCAGGCGCTGAATCTCAGTGGCACCGATCTGGTCACCCAGCTTCTCGATGAGGTCGTTAAGACCAATGACCGCGCGGATGGGGATGTTACCACCCAGGTCACGCTGCGCGCAACCGATAGCGCTCTTGGACTCGGTATCATTGACCCGTTCCTCGCGGTCCAGCAGGACAACGACACCGGCAACGATTCCACCCTCCTTCTCGATGATGCCGACGGCTTCGCGCAGGGCAGTGCCGGCAGTGATGACATCGTCAACGATGACCACGCGCTTGCCCTTCAGAGCGGCACCGACGATGTTTCCACCCTCGCCGTGGGCCTTGGCCTCCTTGCGGTTGAAAGAGTAGCTCACGTTATCCCAGGTACCCTGAGGAGAGCCGGAGAGCGAGTCGCGCACAGCAAGCTCATTGGTGACGGCGGCACAAATGGGAATACCCTTGTAGGCGGGGCCAAAGATAATATCGAAGTTTGGCTTGGGGACACCGTCAGCGCCGGCGGTGACAAAAGGCTCAGAGGATAGGACGCTGGCGTAGGCGGCGGAGGTCGCACGAAGGAGAGGGGCGGTGTGCAGCAGGGAGGATGTGAAGAAGTAAGGAGACTCGCGGCCAGACTTCAGTACGTAAGTGCCGAAAGACAAGACATTGTTGGAGATCAACAGCGGCAGAAGGGAGGACTTGTAGTCCTGATCGGCGGAGGGAGGAGGGATGCTGGCGGCGGACATGGTGGGGGGATTGGGTGAAAGAATGCAGGATCGGTAATTAAGAGGATCGAGAAGGTGTACTCGAGGAGGGAGGAGGGAGAGAGACCAAGGAGAGCAGCAACTGGAGGTTGGAGGTTGAAGGTTGGAGTATGTCAAGAGCGATAAACGGACGCGAAGGGAAATTTTCCCGCGGAACCCTTTTTTTCCCTCACAAGGGAGGGGCAGGAGGGGCAGTTCGAGCATCAGAGCCCATTCTCCCAACACTAGCACAAAAAGGAGACATTATAGTCAGAATTGAGAAGGTCAATATAGATTGAAATAAAAGACAATTCAATATCAGCAAAGCAACCACCATCAAGAGTTGTCGTTGAGCACAAAGTTGCTTGAAGGCACAGAACACGTGCCTCCGACCATCGGCCTCCCCCGCCAAATCAATCGAGTGTTTTCCCTTTTCCTTCACCCCGGACAGTCCCATCTTCTCATCTTCTCACCACCACACATATCCTCCCCCCTCTTTTGCTCTTTTTTATTTTTCCCCTTCTTTTTTTGTCTGACCGCTCCCTCCTGTCAACAACCGAGCCGCGGGATTCATTTACAAGTCGGGATTCCTGGTGAATACCTGGTGTTTGAAAGACCCCGCAGCAGGAACAGCCCATTTTAGCCCTCCCCTGGGTGTTGCTGACAGAGGAAATCGGTTAATTGTCGAGTTGCTGCTCTGTAAGATTTCCACCCTCACCTCCACTTCACATGGATGTCAATATTTGAGCATTCGCGGCCTGTGTATTGGCCCAGGTTCTTGCTTCTCCAGTATGCTAACATTCCCATAATTAGATTGAACCGACACAATGCATATTCGTGAGAAGCTTGCGCAGAAAGAGGCTGCGGGGGAGCCGGGGATCTCCTTCGAGTTCTTTCCCCTTAAGACTGCACAGGGTGTGCAGAACCTTTACGACCGAATGGACCGAATGGCCAATCTGGGTCCTGGATTTATCGATATTACATGGGGTGCTGGTGGTCGTCTCTCGGAGCTGACCTGTGAAATGGTGGGCGTTGCTCAGTCTGTCTACGGACTGGAGACCTGCATGCATCTCACTTGTACCGATATGGGCCAGGAGAAGGTTGACCAAGCTCTCGCTGCCGCATACAAGGCCGGCTGCACCAACATCCTGGCACTCCGTGGTGACCCTCCTCGTGACAAGGAAACCTGGGAGGCTGCCGATGGTAATTTTCGATATGCAAAGGATCTCGTTAGCTACATTCGGCAAAAGTACGGTAACCACTTCGATATCGGTGTCGGTGGCTATCCCGAGGGGGCTGATGACAATGACGACGTGGATCAATTGATCGATCACTTGAAGGAAAAGGTGGACGCCGGAAGTTCCTTCATCATTACCCAGATGTTTTATGATGCCGAGAACTTTATCGAGTGGGTGAAGAAGTGCCGCGCCAAGGGTATCACCATTCCCATCATTCCCGGCATCATGCCTATCCAAACATACGCTGCCTTCATTCGTCGCTCCAGTTGGACCAAGACTCGCGTGCCGCCGCAGTGGATGGAGGCACTTGAGCCTGTCAAAAATGACGATGCTGCTGTCCGAGACATCGGAAAACACCTCATCGCCGAGATGTGCCGGAAGCTCATGGCCTCGGGTCTCAACCATCTGCACTTTTACACCATGAACCTCGCCCAGGCAACGAGATTGGTTCTTGAGGAACTAGGTCTCGCACCGTCTGACGATTCTCCCATTCAGCGCCCACTGCCATGGCGACCTTCTCTTGCCCTGGGCCGCAGAGGCGAAGACGTCCGACCTGTCTTCTGGCGTAACCGTAACTCCTCATATGTCGCTCGCACCCAGACATGGGACGAGTATCCCAACGGCCGCTGGACCGATTCTCGCTCTCCTGCATTCGGTGAGCTCGATGCTTACGGCGTTGGACTCAAGGGCACAAACGAGCAGAACATCAAGTTGTGGGGCGAGCCCAAGTCGATCAAGGATCTCTCCGACATCTTCATTCGCTTCCTGGAGGGCAAATTGGAACGATTGCCCTGGAGTGATAGCCCTATCACAGCAGAGGCAAGCGATATCCATGATCTTCTGCTGAACGTCAACCGTCGCGGTTTCTTGACCATCAACTCGCAACCCTCAGTGAATGGCGTCAAATCATCTCACCCCGTGTACGGATGGGGACCTAAGAATGGATTTGTCTACCAGAAGGCCTACTTGGAACTCATGGTGCCATCGGATTTGATCGACCAGCTGATCGCAAAGATCGAGAACAATGATGATCTCACATACCACGCAACTCGGAAGAACGGCGATTTGAGAACCAACACCAATGATAGCCCCAACGCCTTGACCTGGGGTATCTTCGCTGGCCGAGAAATCATTCAGCCGACCATCGTGGAGACAATCAGTTTCCTCGCCTGGAAGGACGAGGCGTATGCTCTGGGTGATGACTGGGCGAAGTGTCACGAGGCTGCAAGCCCCAGTCGCAAGTTGATCCAACAGGTCATGAACGACTGGTGGCTCGTCAACATTGTGGACAACGACTTCCACCGAACCAACGCCGTCTTCGATCTCTTCAACGATCTCGAGATCAAGGACTTCGCCACCGAGATACCAGGCAAGCCCGAAACCAACGGCACTGCCGAGCAGAACGGCACAGCCGCCAAAAACTAAAATTACTTCCACTCAACCGGAAGAACGAAGAACCTATTCCCTTGACGTTATCCCCTTCGCGGGCTCGTGAATTTACGAGCCATTGTCAACACTACTTCTACAAACTCTACCTAATTCAACATCACCTATCTCAACGATACTCAACGATTAACAAGCCCGAAACAAACCATCCAACACCATATCTCGGGCCCCTCCCTGCAATGTGTCATGGCGTCACGATTGAAGACCTCTCAACGATTTCTTCCTGAGCGTTTCTTTTCCACTTTCAACATCCGACATTCTCCTTGTACCGATACCCCGTCTCTTTTAACAATGACGCCCCATCACTCGGAAAACTCTTCTATTTTTAAAAAAAAGTCTTTTGATCCTTTGCAGGACCGGTGCCTGCCCCCTCGAATACTCACACCGTCCTTCTGCAGAAGGGCGTGGGATTGTCTAGGGGCTGGGGGGATTAAAAGCAGAAGAATCCAAAATTCAACATATAATTTTCAGCTCAATTCGAGCTATCTTTCTATCCTTCTTCTCTCTCTCCTTCTCCTTCTCCTTTCCTTTCCATCCCTCTCTGCTTCGTTTGAAGTTTCTGATATAGAGACCACAGTCCGAAGGATAATTGAAACCCTACGGCCGTGGTCAGGTTCGATTTTGCAAGCAGCGATCTCCTTTTCCCCTTTTGGGACTCCTTTAAATTCATCTCGATGCTCGGCGCTTACTTTTGGTCGATTCGGATTTTATTTTATTTTTCATTATTACTCTACATTATTTTCTTCAAAAGGGCCCTTCAACACCCGAATGTCGGATTTTTTTTTCTTCCATGGGATTAGGGCTTAAGATTAAATTGGTTTAAAAGAAAAATGAATACGGAACTGTCCGGGGTTTTTCAATACAGAATCTCGGGTGCTTCGAATCGTTTCTCCCCTTTTTTTTCTTTTTTGTTGTAGCCCTGAAGTAGAATTTTAGACACGAGATTGATCATGAGGGTGGATCCCATTGCTTGCTGAAGCATCATACGATAATGAGTTCAAGTTCAGAATTCTTTGTGAAGGCCTACCAAGCGGCTTGTCTTTGCAAGTATTCAGTTTCCAATGCAAATTAGAAACTAAGAGACCCCGGGCCTGAACATGCTTTTAGATAATTGCGGCTTCAGTTCTTGAAGTTCCGATGGCCACCTGGGCAGACTCCAACTGCATTTTGAATCGCGGCGCGTATGGAGGCTAGTTAGCCCTGTTCCAAAACTGCTTATCTAAATTGAATCGAACTAAAGAAAGAAAGCTATCTGTATTTCATTTGCTGTATAATAATGGTTGTAATAGGCTAATAATAAGACAAGGAGCCTTGGAACATTGACAGAAACGCCGCCTCTCACGTATGCGCACCCAAAGTAACCACCACACCACAGCATTAGGAAGGGAAACCCACGAGACCGCCTGACCTGAACTCCGTAACGATGAAAGCAGTTTAATACAAATAACGCTAGAGCTAAATGAGTGATGATGAGTTGGTTATAGGGAAGAAAAGAAACAAAATAAACTAGGTCCTTCGGGCAGGGGAAAAATCAAAAGCCGGTAATTTGCTGGTTTTTTCACATCACCAGAGCACGGCCGATACCCTGGACCGCCCAGGCAAATGGTTTGGCAAACCATAGCATCCAGCTCCCAACAAGAAGAACGTAGCTTGCCGCACGTCCAACGACCAAGGCCCCGAATCCGAGGACAAAAAGGTACAGAACGGCCTGGAGTAGCTCCATCAAAAAGCCACTGATGGCCTTGTCGTTCTTGGCCCGAGGCCATTTGCCTGTTGCTTGATAGTCTGAGATAACCCGATAAACACGGGTGAAGACGCGGTAGCAGTGCCGAGCCATGTTGAGAACGTTGTTTATCAGGACCTTTGCGTATTGGCTGTCGGTGCCGTTGTGAACGGCCTTGTGCATTTGCGTGATGGCCATGACGATGATTTCGAAAACCATCGAGAGGGCTAGAGCATTGGCTCCTTCTTTGATGGAATCATTTTTATCTCCTGGATGCAGTCCCTCGCGCAAATCATCACAGACATCCGTGATGTTGGGGTGGAGATATCTTTTGGGTTTGGAACCGGTTACCTGATGGCCATCCAATTCAGCAATTTCCTTCTCGTCGATGGACTTGTCTGCGAGATTATCTGGGTTCGCACCTCCAGCCATTCTAGTTGCCCGTCGTAAGCGTGCCTCTTCCTTGAATTTCTCAAGTCTCTCTGCGCGTGCCTGTCTCTCGGCTGCGAGACGCGGATCATCCGCCGAAGGAGACGTTTCTCTGGAAGACACCTTGGCCCTCTGTGGTGTTGGGGTTTTCTGGCGTGGAGGACTGTTCTGGCGAGGAAGTCTCGACTCACGGGGAGGAGTTATCTCCTGCGGAGGTCCTTTGTCGATAGAAACGCGCTTCGCGGCTGGAGAAGATTTCTTGACAGGCGACGGCTTGGCGGAGCATGGTGGTGTGTCCTTCACTGAAGACAACGCCGACCTGAAAGATCTCTCGGACCGTGAGGATTCTGAATTGTCCCTGGATGGCGCCGAGTTTAGGGATACAGGAGATCCCTTGCGACTGCTGAAATAGAGAGATCCATTGGCATTACGGAAGGACTCGGCTCTGTTACGCAGGGACTCGGTGCCATTGCGTAGAATTGTGGCCAGACTGTCGGTGGGAGACCTAACGATGCCGCCTGACCGTCCTAGTCCGGAGGTACGGATGAATCCACGGATAGTGCTTGCTGGTTGATTGCCGGTTTTCTCTTGGTCGTTCTTGGCCTTGGGTGGATTTTCTTTCGATGGGGTATCTTCCAACTGGGTCTCTTTTGTCGGCGTTTCTTTGGACCGAGCGTCTTTGGAGGGTGTTTCTTTGGACGGGGTTCTCTTGGATGGAGTGGTTCGCGATTGGGCGTCTTTTTTTTGGGGGGGCTTGCTTGGATGTGGGAGAATCCTTCGGCTTGGGGATACTGCTCAGGGACGCTGGGGTTTTGGATGATGGTGTTGATGGAGCTATCGATTTCGTCTGCGAGGCTCCTCCGGCTGGTCGCAACCCAGAAGGTGTGGAGACGACTTGAGCCTTTGCCCGGACGGCCTTCACGGCCTCGCCTGTGCCCAACTGGCCAGTACCACCGGGACGTCGCAACCCTTGGGTCTTGAGATTGAGGGCCTTTTTCTCCGAGACCGAGGAAGGGAGCATTGTACGGGTGACAGTGGGTGTGATAATGAACACATCGTCTTCCCCGCGAATGTCTTCGGGATGCTCTTTCGCGCTCTCGAAACTCGGTCTCGGATGGGTGTTTTCTTTGCTCGATCCCTGGGAGTCCGCTCTCTCGATCTCGTGATCCGAGCAATTGGGATCCTGACACAGGCTCTTGGATGACAGCTTCCAGCATTGGGCATGCTTCGAATTCTGAGAAATTTCTGTCCACTCCTCTTGAATAGCATTGTTCCCGGCGTCCGCTTTCTGCTGCTTCTGATACACAGCCGTCCGCGTCTCGTCCTTTGGCTTCTTCTTTCCCCCCTACGGCGAGAGGGCGAGGTTGAAGATTTTCGGCCTCTTGAGCGGACGAAAATAGAAGAATTTCGTCTGGATTTTTGGTGCCGGGTCCATTGATTTCCTTGCAGCCTAAAAAAGAACCATCATTCCCTGGACGTTTGTCTCTAGGTTTCGATGGAGAAGACTCTTCCCATATTGTGCTGATCCTGTTCTTGCCGATCTCTTCCGGGCTGTAATAGTTGTTCAGTAGTTGCGCCGGGGATAGGGAGTTTTGGGGCTGAGAAGGTGTCGCTTGTTGTCGATCCGCTTCTGGCTGAGACTGAGATGGTCGACCATTGTAAGTCTTGAAGGTCTCTGTCCTTTGCTCTGGCTGTGGCTTTTGAGGCGGTTGTGAGCTGTTATCCCTTTCCGCAGACACATTGCGTGAGCTGGGGGCTACACTGATATCAGATACTCGACCTCGACGACGTTCTCGTTTCTTCCGCTCTATGCTCTTCTGATATTCAGAAATTTGCTGAGTGGTCATCGTAGGTGGATTTGGATCTTTCGCAGAAGGCATGTGAACAACAAATCTGTCCTCCCAGTCTGCCACCGATTCACCCGCTGAGACGGGAGATATCGATGATTGAGAATCTGGGCCTGAGTTTGTGGTGTCGAATCTTCCTGGCTTCTGATGGGCGTTGTCGGAATCGTGATCGGTCCATTGTTTCTTGCTTTCCGCATTGACAGACAACCTTTGGCGTGAACCATGCGCAATACTTCTGTTGGCTGGCGGGCTGGGAATAGCGGAGCGGCCAGCGCGGCTAGCAGGCTTGTCCTTATTCGATTTCTTTGCATTTGAAGGATCTGGAGAGCCACTCTGGTCACTGTTTCTGGACCGAACATAGGATGACCTTTGAGATAACGGGGATGAGTCTTTCTCGAATCGATCCTTCAATCTTCTCCATGTGTGTTCTCGGTTGCGGTCTCCAGACTGATTAGGCGGGCCCCCAGATCCCCCGGAGGAAAAGTTTGTCGGTGATGGTTTGGGGATTGCGGTAGGGCTAGGGGTTTGATTCCTCTGGTCCCTTCCCTTATCAGCAAAGGTCTTTGGGACTGGAAGCTTGGTAGCTTTTGCTTTGTGAAACATCGTGTCCTCTGAACCTCTGGGTGATGCGGATTCAGCACGATTGTCGTAGAAGTGGTATCGGGAAGGAGAGTTTGCAGAGAGCTCGGTTGCGTAGTCGGCACGGTATGCCTGGTATTGGCCGTGGTTATGAGGTCGAGGTGAGAGGTTCACGAGATGTCCGTCAGGTAGTTCGACTCGGCTTTCGATCTCCATGATGGGCTTAGCAGAGCGGTGGCTAGTAGCTTAAACTCCGAAGCCAGGATTGAACCTTTGTTTGGCCCATGCCGTGACAAAAAGGTAGATATCAGGGTGTTGTCTTGGTGGTAGAGTGTATGTTAGGAACGAAGGATTGGCGGGATATGAATATGGTCGATGTTCATGCAGACAGGACAAGTAACAGACACAAAATAATCCGCGGGGTCATCTACCCCAGTCCGGAGTTGAAGGTGATCGCGGTCTCAACGCGTAAGAATACGGTGCTCCCAATGGCTGGGATGGTATGTGATCCGCGATGAGGAATGCCAGCCCCCGCGCCGGAATGCCACCAGATAGAACCCGCCGCCATCTGGTATGACGGGCCGACCGATCGCAGGTTCCTCGTCAACTCGTAAAAATTGCATCATTGGCAATCTTCATTGTAAGAGAAGTTACGATGAGATGGTGAAAATGGTTCATGAGGTGTTCGGCCAAGTTTAGCGCAAGCACGACTGCGGATGAAATTGCCCACCAACGTTGATCGATCAGCAGCAACACCTTAGCAATTACAATGTTTTGTTCTTGGTCGGCTTTTTTGAAAACGGTTGAATGCGAAGTGAGTTTGACATTCCCCAGCGTGGCGGTTTTGAGAAATCTTCCCGTTGGGGATATCAAAGCCCTCAACGATATCAGGTTTAGAAGTGGATTAGGGCATGGACTATGCAGGGCGCACCTGGTTTTTGGTCATCATGGTCGGACGCAGGGACATATTTCGCTGTCCATGCTTATTGTGTATTAAATAGGCTGAAAAAGACATGATGTTATTTAAATGATATGCAATTCATGGATTCGTGTTTAGAATCGGCCCGTTTCTCGACGAGTCCCGAGACTACTTGAACCTGGCCTACTGACTCCGCTCACAGAGGGACTGTTAGATCCTGCCGCACTAATGCGCTTGAGCGGACTGGATGGCTTTTTCAAGGGGCTTGTGCCTTGCTCTCTGTAGAAAAAAATCGCCATCCCTCTGGAGGCGACGGTCAAACGAAGTAGACGCTGACTTCCTTAAGGGTGAATTGGCGTGCGAGTAGACTCCGAGACTCCCTCCATCTCCTGTACCTGTCGCGGGTTGTCGAAATTGCGGCTGGCGCATGCCCGTTCCCGCCGTTCGTACTAATGGAGACTGGTCACGCGATATAACGGGAGTCTGCATCGGTGGGCGAGATTGGAAGATGGATGAACCACCCGAGGCAGATGGAGCTGCGGGTCGCCGAGGAGAGAACCCTTCTGGGTCGACATGCCTGACATAGTTCGGGTTTGGACTAGTCTTAAACCCCCCGGTTGATGATAAACGCCGGGGTGTAAGTATCAACCTCATTCGGCGCGTCGGAAGTAGATTTGGCCGCATCGACATCGGCAAATTGTGTTCCGACATCTCTCATTAAAGGTCTGGTTCGAGGATGAACATATTTGTTATCGTATTCTTTCAAGACTTCCTTGTGTACTAATGTCGAGTCCTTGGCTTGTTGTGTATATGACACCGAAAGGAAGGACATTTGGACTGAGAGGAGGGCTGCTAGGAAGGCGGTGGTGACAATGGTCACGCTAGGTCGTTGATCGGACAGCTGGGTGGGTAGGAAAAGCATATAGACAAGGACATGCCCAGGGCTGAATAGGCAGAAAAGCCGAGTGCTGATTGGCAAAGGATCCCACATTGCGACCTCCCATACATCTCTTTGTGCATCGGGGTGTGCCCTCGACTGGGCAGACTCGGTAGACATCGCGTTGGCCAGGTATCGGAGAGGAGACGCCGTCATCGGACTCGAGTCGACTCGTACACGTTGGGCCGATGAAGTGGCCGGGGCTTGGTCTATAGGATTCTCAAACATGCGATAGTGTCGCTTGCGATAGAAGGTGTAGAAGGCGTTCAGTGCTGATGAAATGGCGAGGGAGGAGACGATGGATGATGCCTAGCAGAGTGAGAAGTCACGCATTAGCTCGAATATTCTTACAACGGCACGATATCAGTCGTAGATAAGGTGCGCAACTCACCAACCAGCTCAGCCAAGGAACGCCCTCCTCTTCACCAAAAACATCGTCGATGGCTTTCATGCCACTTGAGCGTGCATTTGCACGTGCCACAAGAAATACCACGTTCAGCGTGATTCCAATGACTAGGCCCCAGTCCTTTTCCAGTTCATCCAAATCGTAACCCTCGATCGTTTCAGAGGCCCAAAGCAAAAAGTCCCAAGGGTTCAACCAGCTGCGGATGCGCTCCCCAAGCGGGCGACGGCGTACAAGGCGAGGCATGGTTTGTGGAGGGAGCAAATAGCAATTCCAAACAGGAGCTGTTCCTCGGCAGCTTCGCGTTAGATAGAGGGGCGAAACAAAGACATGCAGAGCGCAGTGCAAGCTGTTGGTTGGAGACAAGACAATGGCACCCGTTGAAAGTAAACAAAATTGCATCAGCTTACGTAACCCCGGTACAGCTCCTCCGCGATAGCGATTAGCAGGAAGCCTCACCAGCTGGAACCCCGACTTAGCAGAGGTCTGCGCCTAAATCCTGTTTGAACCTCGGCGTCGAGCTCTCGTTAGTATTTTATACGCTGTTCATTCTTCTCAACACACATCATGGCTGCCGCGGCCGCGTCTACATACAAGGTACTTGACACCTGGTGCCTCCAACCCCTCCGATAACGTTGCTAAATGAATACGACTCCAGGACCGGCAATTCCTCGCCGTCATTGGCGATGAAGAGTAAATCCCCTTCATCTAAATAACTCACCACCGGTGCTCTCTTGAGCTCATGCTGACCTACGACTTCTAGTTCCGTGACTGGCCTCCTTCTCGCTGGTATCGGGGTATGTCTCCGCTCCATCCAAAGCCTCTCAATATCCCAGAATGCCCAGAAACTAACATCTATTCGGTTTCTCTATAGCACGTAACCGATCCTCCCGATGCCCAGCGCAACTTCCTAGTCGTCGATGCCAAGACAGAGAATTCCGAGATCGAGCGGGCATTCAAGAGCTTCACCGAGGAACGAAAGGACATCGCTATAGTCTTGATCAACCAACATGTCAGCGCATCACATACCTCCTTTGTCAACCCAACTCGGGGAATACTGACCCTTGTCTCCAGATTGCTGAGCGTATTCGCCACAGCGTGGATACCTTTACCGACCCATTCCCTGCCGTCCTCGAAATACCTAGCAAAGATCACCCCTACGACCCCGAGAAAGACAGTGTGTTGAAGCGTGTTCGGCGGTTGTTTGGCGAGTAAGCTCGCAATGTGTTGATTCGATCTTGCGCGCTTGGTCGCCAAGAGGGTGTCTGGTTTTACGTGTTTCGATATTAACTGTTTCGTGTCAAAATATTCCGGTGATATCATTAGTTTCGGGCTTCCTACACCAACTGCAAGAACTGGGAATGAGGGGGTGTTACCAGAAGTTCTAGAGGGGAGATACCCAGCATGTCTGAAATGCATATACAACCTCAATATATCCGGGTCCTGATCTACATCTATGGATTGTCATGGTGTTCAAGTTTACCATACTACTACCTAGGTAATAGTACTAGTGATAGTAGTAGTTTATATTACTATGTATGCTAGAACATCGCCGTGCGCAAAAGGCCGAGATTACATCTTCATTTGACAATGAGAGGTATATGAGATCAGAGTATGGATAATCGAAAGGGATGCGAAACAAGCAAAATAAACATAATGATAAATAAAGACAGTGGGGCTTGAAAGACGTTGGCAATCACATGAGATAATAACGAAATGAGCAATAGTCGTGACGAAACATGGGCGGGGGCGTTTCAGGCATGGGAAAGTTGAGGCGTGTCCTGGTGGTTTATTGAACAGACAAGAGGCCACCCAACAGGTGGATGCAATTACGAGACCCGAACAGATCTATCGTGAGATCAAAAATGGAACTGGATGTCATCAGCCTTCAAGCAGGTAACCTTCTTCTGGTCCTTGGTGTAGACATCGGCCAAGACCGAGTAGTATCCCTGGAGTATAATCGTTAGCTGGGCTTCGCTGGCTGCCCAATTTTCAGTTATTACTCACAGGAGGAATCGCGCTCGGCAGCTTCACCTCCTTGGTCAGGGTCATGGGACCCTTCTCCAGAGGACATGTCAGATCGACTTCTTTAATTTGTTCACAGAGGTCAACAGTCTGCTGGATAAGTGTGATGAGACCCCATTTAACGACTAGGTTCACCGTGGCACCCTCCTCGATAGTTTCGGACAGTACACCACTGGCGGTGATGGTAAGAGTTGCACCCCTGTTGTGAAAGAAGCATGCAGTTAGCCAGATGCACTGTGTCAGGGCATAGTTTCGAGGTTGACGTACGGCTTAGGAGGGTTGGGGTCCAAATCAACTGATTTGATTTCCAGAATATTACCAGCCGGGTTCTCGCAGTATTTCAGGGGGTTGTCCCCCTTGACAGGGAAATCCTGAGTGGTATCGACCTTGAGGGTGGCCTGTGTGGGGTCGAAGAGTGACGGGAGGGAAGCCGCTGAGACGAGCGGAGAAGCAAGAAGCAGGGTGGCGACTGATAAGAACTTCATCGTGGCGATGACGGCTCGTGGGTAGCCGTGACAGTACAAAGTCGATCAAGAATATGTGTGTGTCGGGCTCTGAGTGTCTTCGATACTCAGAGTAAGAGGGTGAGCAGGGAAATGGAGCGGGTTGGAGATTGGAGATACAGGTCGAAGTCAAGGCTGGGGAGTCACTTGATGACGACTGGATCACGTGCACCCCGCTTCAGGCATAGGTCGCTTGGCGCCTTCCAAGGTTTGCCGTACCTTGCAGATGCAGTGTTGACTACTAGTGTATTTGGTGGTAGATGGGCATATAGGTATTGTCCGGTTATTTTATCTATTCTCGTATGCCTTTTGTCAAAACCCTTTGAAGCAACCTACTAACTCCTCCAGTCCACTCCCATATGCAACCCAATGAGCATGTTGACCCACCCTTCTCCGATTGTTTATCAGTGATCCGCAGTGGGCCAGCTACTGTAGTACGAGTACCTTAAGGCTTCCAGGCTAAATCATCTTTAATCGCGTCTTTTTTTCACCTGAGATTGAAAGGGCACACACTTAAGGAATAGTTCAAGCTTAAATTTCCGGTTTGTCTTCATTCAGCACCCACAGTATATCCGTCACCCCAGACCCGTGGACTCGAAGTATCGTGATATATTCAAGGCTCTACTAAATGCTTCTACTAATAGTACTACCTCCTTATCAGCTTCCGAGGTTGGCTCGTAACAGACATGAAAGTCCTCCGAGTCTGTCCAGTTCATACTACCAGTAGGTTTAATCCCCAAACTTCAAATTGAATTCAACCGAAGTACTTACTGCCAGTGGATAGATGATTCAATGACTCCTGAGGTCGTGCATTTCCAAGGTTCCTATACGAATTCTAGAGACAATCTTAATTTCCCATTCACCTGTTAGGCCTTCGGTAATACTCCGGTGCGCAAGAACGGAATATTCACGCCAATCACACTTCCTGCTTCACGGTCCACCTTGAAGACTATGCGATCCAAAGCTTCTCCTCCATAATAAATCCAGGACTCTGTTTGCCAAGAAGCGCACACGTTGGACAGTTTTCCCTGTCCTGGGAGGTCCGACATGGCAGCATTATCAGCGGGGATAGCGTCAAAATCAATTCTCCAATCTTCAAAAATGATATTTTCCTCTCCTTCCACGGGGGTTTCAATTCCAGTAGGGTAAATTCGGAAGTCGGGGTTGAGAATGCCCGTCATTGGAAGCAAGGAATTCCAAATTTTACCGAGTCCAGTGAGTATATCCGATCCATTTCGCGTCAACGAATCTACCTTCAAACCTGTTCCTCCATTGATTGAAAGACTCAATTCCACAGGTGTAATATCTTTGCTTCCGATCTTCTTTGGATTTTGAATTGACCCGACGGAAAAGTTCCCTGCGTAGGCAAACGCTTGTGACCGGGTCTCGCGATCAACTGCAGGGATAAATGAAGTAATGATTGCTTCATTTAGTATTGATGCAGTGGCAGATTCACGAGGCCCAGCCGTTAATACAACAAAACCAACCCCGTATTCATCCACCAAGGACATCTGCGATACATATCCGTTGGCTCCACCCCCTTTCCCATAAATATCGACTATATGTGGATTTTCTGGGATCAAATTGTTTGTCCGTTGAATCTCCCACGGTCGGCCCACGAGCTCGTTGACTCCGGATGTCATTGACTGGGGCTTCAGCCATTTTCTTGTCGTTTGAAGTTCTGAAAATATTGTCTCATTCAAGATCCGTGTTGTCAAAATTGCCAGGTCTCCAAGAGAAGAGTAAAGGCCTCCTCCACTGAAAATCAGTCAGACAGACTCTGGTCATTAAGATGGATGTGGCACTTACGGGGCCGTATATCCGTAATCTGAACCCCACCCTAAAGTATCTTCGCTCAGCGGCGGTATAACCGCTCTTTCATCATTCCCAGGGGAGACACCTGTGTTTTTGAGTCCAAGTGGACCGATAATAGTTTCATTCAACATCTGGATGTACGATTTTCCTGTCTTCTGGCTAAGCGCAAGTGCGAATAGCTCGAAAGAAAGCGAAGAGTAAACTGGTTCTGTGTACGGTTCTCGGACAGGTAGTGCAGAGCTCATAATCTCAATAATCTCTATAAGCTTGTTAGAAAAAGCTGCGGAATGTGAGAGGCAACCTACGTGTTTTGTTGCATGCTTTGTTTAGTCCACTGACTCCACAATCTGGATAACTTTCGTTGGCAATGGAAGGGAAACCGAGTTGCTGGTATACCGATCGAAGAAAATAATATTCAAAAGAAGAAGCTAATCATCGTGATATATTAGCTAGTTAGCTATTGGACTTCCTTTTCATCGAATCACTCACGTAGGTTGGATGGGATGCCGGCCAGATGATTCGAAAGTGCCGACAGAGTGATGTTGCTCCATTGGATCGGAGTCTGTTCTTTCTGAAGGTCGGGCAAATATTTGGTTATCGGATCATCCAAATGGATATCCGATTTCAGAAGAAGAAGTTCGGAAAAAACCTTAGAAATAGAGCCAATCAAATACTGTGATCCCTCATTCAGGTGTTTAGTTCCCCGAAAGTTCTTTTTTCCAAGATGATGATATGACCAGAATATGCCATTGCTTTTATCACTCGCATTTTTCTGGCGAGGTGTTATAAATGCAATTGAGAAAGATGTCTCATCGACGTCAAATCCCGCCTTGGTTTTTTTCTGTATTGCAGAGTCGAGAGCTTCTGTGAGGTTTTTCGCCGCATCTTTAATGGTTTGGGAGCGATCCAGGTGTGTTGGGCGAGGGAGCAATGGACCATTGACGGGACATCCTGACCAAGATGGCAAAGGAATCCGGGTAGGATCCGCGAGGTTTTTCAAAGCAAACACCCCTACTAAAGTGAATACCAGGATCGGAAGCTGGAAGATCTTCATTTTGGAATGAGAGAAAGAACTTGAATTCAAGTTTCATTAATGCTGCGGAAAATGTCTAGTTGTACATACTGCCAGTGAAAGCTGTCTATTTATATTTGACGACTTGAATTGCCAAGATATATGTCTTCAGCCTAGAAATACGATAGTTGCTTCATATATCTTACATATCCTTCAGAAAATACACCGTTTCCGTTTTGGGGAGGCTTTCGTATTCGACTGTGGTCGCTCGACTGTCGATCTTGGTTCCAACGACGTCATTCCCGAGCTTCCTCGTATTTGCCAACTTTGGAACATTTACTAGTAACGACCAAGCGATAACTTCAGAAATAACCAAGCACATCTCAAGTGAAAATTCGTCGACCTCATCCGGGCCACGGCTAACGAAAGACGCCAAATATTAGGCTCTTGATATATTATGAGGAAGATCTCAGCATAACGTTAAAGAGGCATCTCGATCACATGATATCGTCTCTCACAGTTTAGCCTTCTTCTAACCATCGATTCAAGGCGGATCCACACCCTGCTGTTTCAAATGGCAGTTTACAAATTCAATTAATGAGCTTACGATAAAGAGGAAACCGTGCGGTGCACGAAATAGTCGACGAGGAGATTGAGCAAGCCGTGGTTGACATCGAAAATTTACCCACCACCCTCTCTTTTCACCTCTCCTATATTGCAAAACTATATGTGGAAGAAACTAATTGAACGAGTAATTAAATGAATCCGCTGAAGGAAAAGTAACAAAATTACGTTTGGGTGAGATTTTGAGGTAATCGAATCTTTGCTATAAACTTTTGAAAGAATAGATTAGTAAAGGGTGAAATACTTGGTGACTGAAAGTAATTCAAAATCAATAGTAAGGTATAATTGACAGAGACTAATAATAAAAAGCCCTTCAAATCGTTTACTGGCAGACAATAAATTTTCAACAGAATCGCTGAAGGGAGTCCCTGAAGAAGTCAACTGCTCGAAGCAGAACGGCTATAACCAACGACTCGTAGCATCAACTCTCTCAACTGTTTCCTTTTGCCACTCTCTCTAACGATTACCTGGAGAAATCCTTCAATCTAATGATCTGCTAGGCTATTCATCAGCTTCTCTATAAGGTTCAGTCTTTGGGCGACTTTAAATGAAATCCTTCAACGATTACCTTGGACAGCACCCTAAAATTTGATCCTTCGGCAACACCCAATAACCTGAATGGAATCGTCATTTCCTGCAACGATTCCCTTTAAATAAGTTTTTGGACGACTCCCTTTACCGGACTTCCTGTAACAAATTTTGATTATCCAAGTCTGATGCTATTTGTCTCTACAGTCCATATGCTCAGCGACGGAAGATACCGCTAAGTCAAAGTTGGCAGCCTCAAGATGACGCTAGATTTTCTCAGAGTAGTTTTTAGAGTAGTCCTTCACTATATGATATACTGTGTTTTGGATGTATTTCCAGGGTGATTCGTCATAAAAGACTGGCCTAACGCCGACTCCCGTACACAGAACAGACCCACATGTCTCATTCCACATTGAAGGTTCACAGACTCACTGGAACACGGCGGAGATCTTTCACATGAGCGGAGTTATACGAACTATGAGGCAGACAACATAGATTGGAGGGTGGTAATTATTGTCTGCTTCGTGATTTTTCCCCGATTGTTTGGACAGCTGGATGCTATAGCTTTGATAGCTACGAGTAGAGAGCCATAAGTCGGAATTTAGTTTACAGAGAGGGTCAGGGCCTTCAGCCACAAACGCAACTCTAAGAAATTGAATGGAACTAGGTTACATCGAAAACTTATGCAAAATATCTAATTGTATCACCGGGGGCGATCGTCAAAATTGAACAACGAAAACGGCAGACAGGTGTACTTTAATTTATTAAGAATGATCATCCATTCACTCGGAATATCACATCGTTCGCAGATAAATGAGATTAGATGCCAGAGAAGATACTTACAAGAGAAAATGTATGACGTAGTGAAGAAAAGAAGCGTTGAGACTACTCCGTGCACTAACGATGTGGCTGTTTTAGCCTTGAACAGCGTAATCCGTAGCAATGGCTACGCGATCGACGACTGTTCAAAGTTGATAAAAATAAGAACAGGGGCGAACCAATCAGACAGGACGGCCTTTTACCAGAATATTGGTTGACCCAAGCCACTCCACTCCACCCCATATCGTATATCGTAATAGGTCAACTCTGAAGACATTGTGGGTCGGGCACCGAAGAACGACCCTGACACTAAACCTCCTCGGGAATAGATTTGCTCAAGTCCTCTCGATCAGCCCGGTAGCTCTCCGGCGAATTTGGCACTAGTTTCAGATGCTCCAGTTGCATGGGGAAATTCACGGGATGGTCAATCCGGTTGTACCCCGTACCAGTTTTTTTCTTTCAAGTTGGGCTGACCCTGTCTCTTCCATTTGTTTCTCAGACATAGCCCCTGTCTCTAAATTCACGGGGGCAATTGAACCGATAATGAACCACAAGGAAGAATTCCGACTCTCATATGTTCCGCTGGACGATGAGCGTCACAATTATCGACAGTCTCGACAGAGGCCGCTGTCCTCTGCGGAGCAGGTCCTCCTTCAGTCTAATACAAAGGGATTCTGGGGTTCAAGCTGGACCTTTGAAATTGTAGGATCTATCATTTCCATCGCATTTTTGGTTGGGATCATTGTGGTTCTCTTCAAATATGATGGACAACCGATGCCTGACTGGCCTTATGGCATAACACTTAACGCCCTGGTCTCGGTGCTCAGCACGGTCATGAAAGCTTCGATGGCATTTGTCTTGACAGAATGCTTGGCTCAATTAAAATGGTCTTGGTTCCACAGTGGAAACAAGCTGAGTGACCTTGCGCTTCTGGATGCAGCCAGTCGTGGCGTCGCGGGTGCCTTTTTTGTTTTATTTCGCTTCTTACCGCGGTGAGTTCATGAGTTAAGACTGTTCAATCTCTCGTACTGACGAAATTTAGCCATCTTGTCACTTTCGGATGTCTGGTTCTAGTCATGGCCGCTGCCACGGACCCATTCGTTCAACAGGTAATGGCCGTGAAAGAACGATCTGTCCACGCACCCGGACAAGCATCTATCCAAGTTTGCAATTCCAGCCTCTACACGGATTACGGCAAGGGTTCTTCTCCTGGCCTGAACAAGGTCCCCCTGGGAACTTCAGGCGCTATCTATTCGGGTATCTTTCAAACTCAAACTCCAAACAGCAAATCCATCATGATGGAATGCCCAACAGGAAACTGTACATTCCCTGCATATCAATCGCTTGGCTTCTGCAGTAAATGCGCCAACATCACAAACTCTCTCAAGACATCCTCCCCATCTTCCAACTCGATGATGGGTCAAACCACATACAAACTGCCAAACGGATTTGAGTTTACTAGTTCGCTAAACATGCCCTACCTGATCAACTCCACAGCACTGCGACCCCTTGTGAAACTAGACACGGAGGGCATGGCAACAATCGTGAATTTCACCGCCATCGCCGGACAAGGATACGGCGGTTCAATCAGCGCAACCGAATGCGCTCTTTACTTCTGTGTCATCACTTACGAAGCTTCCGTCCGTGAGGGCAAATTCGTCGAAACCACAACCACTGTATCAACCACCTCCAACGCCTCGTCAAATCCGATGGATACCCTAAAAGACGTGACTCTAACCCCCGACACCTGCTATTCCAATGGCACTCGCCACAAAATGCCATACAAGAAGGGGTCTAATTGTACATTTGCCGTAAACGCGTTCAGCAAGCTCGCGATGGCCAATTCCCTACAACCCCTGCTCAAGGGCAAAGCGTCACTATTCGTGAGCAACCGACCTGACTATTCATCTGATACCATCGAAGCACTCTACGGCATACAGGGGAACTACACGGACATCAATTCAGTCTTCCAATCACTCGCCTCGTCTTTAACCGTCAATGCACGATCGAAGGTTTGCGCTGCGCCTGTGAATGGAACGGCCTGGACCGATCAGTCGTACGTGCGTGTTCGGTGGGAGTGGCTGATCCTGCCTGGTGGCTTGGTTGCACTCAGTTTGGTATTTATGATAATTACGATTATCCACACGCGGAACCAGTATATTTGGAAATCGAGCCCTTTGGCGCTTCTCTTTTCTGATTTGCAGGTTGATGCGGCTAGTACCCTGAAGCCGGATCCGACTCTCAAAGGGATGGAAAGTACGTCGAGGAATATGCAGGTTTGGTTAGAAACGACTGCCGATGGGGTTCGATTGAAAGCTGTTCAGCACTAGATGTACCAGGGAAAGGGTGGCGAGATATAATTATATTGTACATATATTGGAACTTGAAATACTTTCTTTGGTTATAGTCAGGCTATAATCGGCCAGATTGTATGAATTGAAGGGGGTCCATTCAATTTTGAACAGCAGTTCAACAAGTTTATCCTGGGAGATATCATCAAATCTGTACCAGAAATTCTGCAGGATCATGCCAAATATGCGCTGATTGGAAACCATGATATCGGTTTCACTCATTCCGATTTTTCTCCACGGAATATCCTTGTCGACGAAGGCCGTGTTACAACTATCCTTGATTGGGAATATACTGGTTGGTACCCAGAACACTGGGAATACATTCAAGCACTCCGGCAACTCAAACCAATGCCCGACTGGCCTGATTATCTGACAGTGATTTTTTCGCCTTGATTCGAAAGAGAATACATAGGCATGTCATTCATATATCGTCTCATGCGCCACTGACTCCGGATACCATGTGGTCATTTGGAATGACAACCAAGGAAGCAGGGAGTATCACATAGCATTCGTCGGCCACGGGTGTCAGAGATTCAAAGGAGCTCTCGTACTTCGCAGGGGAATCTCAAAAAAGCAGGCAAGGTAAGCGATTCTTTTCGTGAAATCGTATGTAGGCATGAAGGACGCAAATACGTAGGTGTAGACCTACTCAATTGAGCCCCGTGGGCTAGTTTTATCGCAAGGGAGATCGCGATCATCAATTAGACTTTTGGGGGTTCCCGTATCAGAACCCACAAGAGCCTCATTTAGTCAGTCACAATGGCCCGTGAACAGATAGTTAATCCCTCAGGTTACATTCTTTGTTAGTAGTGTTCCTTTTACTCACGAAAGCAAGCTGACAAGTGACCTTGTGAGTATTAGACTACCCTAGCTACAGATGATTATCTTCCCAAATTCTCCAATTTTCCGGGGCTTTGTACCAGGGTAAACAGTCTATGCGCAATCATTGAAATGATTCCAAGTGGGGTAGAACATTTGAACCGCAAATCAGAACCAGAATGATCCGCATGCAACTAGGATGTACGCTGCATACCGCTGCAGTGGGTCCGCAGACTTGCAACAATGGACAAACAATGCTGATTAGAAACACACCCTAAAGGTACTTCTGTCGCTTGATAATCTTGTCTACGGTATTTCTAAGCGGTACCAGTTGCTAATGCTGCCATGATAATTGCTGCTGTAGTCATGAAGCATGAAAGGCTCTTTGGCGGCCCTGTTGTGGCAGTTGGAGGTCAAGAGCCTTGGAAGCTTGTCTTAGAAATAATATGACGGCAGAAACCTTGAAGGGGCTAGTCAGATCCCTTCAAAAAGAGTTTGATTCGACGTATATCTTCACGTTCACCATATATGCGTCCTTTTCTTTGGGTTTAGGGCTTGGCCAATAGACAGAGTATTCAATGCACGGAACACTAAATTTGATATATAATAAGTGCTGCACTATTTGAAACGCTAGAGAAAAAAAATATATATACTACTATCTGGCCTAGACAATATCTATCACTGATGAGTAGGTTTGTGCCAGACAAAGCATTAGCTCAAGTAACAAGTCTGGAAGTTGCAAAATACTTGAAGACCCCAGATAAAGTCGTATTCAAGATGGAATCGGGCGTTGTAATTCCAAATGCACCATTTCATTTGTCATAGAATGGACACCTGTTGCATTCTGCATTGGGATCACATACTCCTTGACCCCAGCCTTGTGAACACGACCGTTGATCATAATTATATTCAACCGATCATGGTCTTGCAGAATAGAAATATCCTTCAGTGGATCCCCATCAACTACAAGACAGTCCGCATAGTTGCCCTCTTTGATCTGGCCCATTTCGTGAGAGCGCATGAATAACTTAGCCATGCCATAGGTTGCTGCGATAATCGACTCGTGTGATGTAAAGCCAAACCGATCGACAAAATGTGCCAAGTCGCGCGCATAGGTACCATGTGGCGTCCATGCAAATCCATAATCGCTAGAAATCAGAGTCAGAACTGCTCCCTTGTTGATTATGGAAAAAGAAATGGGAAGAATTACCCTCCGGGGAGGACCACGATTCCTCTTCGATGCATCTCGCGCATAGCACGGTCAGCGGCAGTAAGCTCCTTCAGATAGCCTACTTGCTCGGCCTTCTCAGTGGGGTAGCCGAACATCACGGCATCGTAGAGGGTGGCGATCAGCCAGTTAATAGCGGGTGCTACTACGTGCTTCGATTTTCTCTTTTCGAGAGCGTCCATGCCTATTATAGTCCATCAGCTATAGTCAAACATAATAATGGAAAGCAGCCCACCTTTCTCATCTATATAGGATGCATGATATATCACGTCCACCCCAAAGTCAATGCTCTGTTGAACAGAGTCTCGAGCTCGAGCATGTGAGCAGACCCGCTTCTTATGCTTATGGGCCTCGTCGACACATGCTGCTGTCTCTTCTTGGGTGAAGTAGCAATCTTCCGCATCTCGAATCTCCGTGATCTGATAGAAATTTGTTAGTTCTCGGCTCTCACGAGGCTACGCGATATACATACCGACTCTCCAGACATTGAAAGCTTCACTTGGTCGACGCCAATATCGATATGCTCACGGATACTGATATGTTATTAGCGATTTCCATCCTAAGGAAGCCCCTATGTACCATATAGCAACTTACACTTCTCTCATTTGCTCGGGGCCATCCGCGTAGGCAGTGATTTCTCCGACTAGTTCCCCCCCCTGTTCGTGCCATTTCTTGTCCATTGGCAAGAAAACGGGGCCCCGGAATATCTCCAGCATTGATCGCGTCCCGAATAACGACATCTAAGCGTTTCTTGGCAGATGCGGCTCCGAAACACATAGTGTACCCGGAATCCAGGAAGCATTCAGCGCTCCTCGCAGTGAGGAGCGTATGCTCCTCAACGCCGAGATCACCGAGTCGATCCAGGTCACCCCCGTTCCAGGTAAAGTGGGTATGAGAGTCTCCTAGGCCCGGCATTAACGTGCGGCCTTTTCCATAGAAAACACGCACACTGGAATCTGCCAGGAGTGCTTCTTTGTTGGGAACTTTGCCCACATGGGCAAATCTTTGACCTATAGAACGTGACGGTTAATCATATTCCACCATATAGGTGATGAGCTTTTATTGGTGGCCAGGTGGTAACTTACCTGCGATGAGGACGTCACCTCTGTATGGCTCCCGGCCAGTGGCTTCCAGAATTTCCACATCTAGGATGAGAACTTTGGAAGAAGGAGCTGTGCCGGCGATCTCATACTTCACGGGCTGAAGATCCGAGTCGAAGTCTAGCTGGTTGATGTATGCGACATTGCGAGGAGGCCCGTCATAGTTGTCAATAGGGTAGTCCGACGACATCCACGACACAGTCGTCATGTTGAAAAGATGGAGGAGAAAGAGGACACAAGTAAAGCACTGTTTGAATGAATGAGGGAGGCCAATCCCAGGCTAGGGCGTTGCGAACTATTCATATTTGATTCGTGTTAGCTCTGTAGTAACGACTGACTTCCCCACGATTTGCAGAGTGGGCACCAATCGGTTGCTAACACCCCTTCCTCCCCTCTTCTCCGCGCTTCTCCGCAAGCCGCGCAGGTCCTAAAATTGAGGGTAATGTGCTGCGTGACTCCCCCTTTTGACCTTACAACCACCGAGACGTTCATTATGGGTTGGCTGGGTCTCCGAAGCCGGCTTCATGATGGACTGACATCTTTCGAGCCTGTTCCTACACAGGTCACCGATTTCAAATCCGTCACCGAACACGTCGAAAAGGTTGAAACAATTGATCATATCTCCGCATCACCTCCCTTTGCATATACACTTCAGGATCCATCTGTCCCCGATGATGCTTTGCCTTTTATTCCGCCCGCGATTGTCCGGAACCAGCGGTTATGCTTGTCGCTCGCCAATGGTCTCGCTTGGATAGTCGTAGACAATATTGTTTACGACTGTACCAAGTTCATCAAAGAGCACCCAGGAGGTGACACTGTCATACGAAGTTTCATCGGAGAAGACTGCTCGTGGCAATTTTGGCGTTTTCATTCCAAGACGATCATGGAGAAGTGGGGACGATACTTGCGTGTTGGGCGAACGGAAGGGATAGTGAATCGATTCAAGGAGCCTCCGAGGTACTTCGGATCAAGAAACCGATAACCTATGCTAGTCTTGAATGGCTAGTACATGCTGAGCCCTGTTCTAATTAATCATATCGTGAATCCTATGTAAATAAGATATGAAATATGATATTAAAATCTTACTATGCCTATATGCTACTACGAGGTATCTTGCGGTAAACCTTTTACGCCAACATGGACCTTGGAAATCGATCCTATATACACATACAAGTCCGACGGTAGACATTCACAGAGTTCAGAGTTCTCCTGCGATTGCATCACGGCCATTGCCCCCCCATAAGGATCACAGTTGCGGGCGATGCGCGGTGATACGCGGTGATGCGCGGTGAAAATGACGCCATATCAGATATCTCCGATCGGGGTAAAATCCGATGCGGGGAGTCCTGAACAGCACCGGGTGAGTCTTTGATTTATAAAAGTGACTGGACAAAAATCTAGGAATTCTTATGTAAATTCTCAACCTCTTGAATCCAATTCATTTCAAAATGACAGTCAACGGCGTGAATACGCTCACCAACTATGTGGCATACTCGGAGCCCAACAGCGGCCCGAGAATTGGCCATCTCGACTTCGAGACCTCGACTATCACCCCTCTTTCCTTCAAGTCTGGCACCCCATTGACAGATCTTTATCAAGTGATCGCGGCCGGCGAACACGGAATCACGGCATTCGGCGCGCAATCTTTCCCTCTTTCTAGCGTCAAGCACCTCCCTCCAATTTCAGGTCGGGACGTGCTTGCTGTTGGGAAGAACTACGTCGAACATGCCCGTGAATTCAACTCCTCTGGTTATGATGCCAGTGATAAGACCGACCAGCCTACGCACCCGGTGATCTTCACAAAGCGTGCGACTTCCATAATCGGCCCCGAAGACCTTGTTCTGCTGCATCCAAACTTTACCAGCACACCCGACTACGAGGGTGAGATCGGCGTGATCATTGGCAAGGGGGGGTTTCCAAATTTCGGAGCAGAATGCTTTGGACTACGTCTGGGGCTATACCATAATCAACGATATGACTGCACGCGAGCGCCAACGTGACCACAAGCAATTTTTCCTGGGCAAATCCCCTGATACGTTCTGTCCAATTGGACCCGTTGCTGTCCCCAAGGAAAGCCTTCCAGAGAACCTGAAGATCCAGACCTTCGTCAACAAGGAGAAGCGCCAAGAGGCCACACTTCACGATCTGATATTCAACGTTCCTCACCTGATTGCGACTATCAGCGCTGGCCAAACACTACAAGCCGGCGACGTTATCGCCACTGGTACCCCTGCCGGTGTCGGGTTCGGTTTCAGGCCCATGAAGTTCTTGCAGCCCGGAGATGAAATCAGTGTCTCCGTGACAGGACTAGGAACCCTGAGAAATCAGGTTGCTGCTCCTGACGCAGTCAACACCACCTCCGAGCGCGCCCAGTCCCACATTCCCATCGCTAATGAAAAGGCGCCCTCCAATGCGGGATTGACAAATGTCAACGGCAAGAAGCTCTTTTACCAACGGCTGGGTGTTGAAACAGGTCCGCCAGTCTTCTTAATTCATGGACTGGGTGGATCCACAAGTTACTTCTACCCCCTTGTTGCGAAGCTTCAGTCCACACATTCCTTGCATCTTATGGATCTAGAAGGACATGGCCTTTCTCCAACATCGGCACTCAGCACCCTTTCCATCGCCTCTTTTGCAGACGATTTCTACCAGCTCTCCAAAGTGGCTGGTGTGAACGAGGGCGTTACCGTGATAGCCCACTCAATGGGCTCTCTTGTCGCTTTCAAGCTTGCTCTGGAACATCCTGACCTTGTGTCCAAACTGATCCTAATGGGTCCCCCACCGAGCCCATTGCCGGAAGCAGGCAGCCAAGGATCTTATACCCGAGCCGCCCTTGTTCGAAAGCAGGGAATGTTGGCGGTTGTTGATGCAATCACACAAGCTGGAACTTCGGTCTTCGTTCAGCAGAACAACCCGCTGGCTATTGCCGCGGTGCGCACTTCTCTTCTCAGTCAAGATGCCGAAGGATATGCCAAGGCATGCGCGGCACTTGCTGGATCTGCTGTCGAATCACTGGACGTTAAGAGTCTGCGTATTCCAGTTTCCTTTGTTACGGGCGAGGAGGACAAGGTCAGCCCTCCGGCTCTCTGTCAGAAGTACTCCGAGGCAACAGGAGGTGGAAATGTTCAGGTTCTCAAGGATGTGGGGCATTGGCATTTGTTTGAAGATGTTGATAGAACTGTGCAGGCCGTTCTGGCGCAGATTTGAGACATCTTTATGCCTTTGTGCCTTTCTTTCTTTCTTTCTTTTTTAAATTTTTATTCGTTCATGTTAATAGACGTCAAGGGACAAAATAACCCCTTTCGGCACCACATATTGTAGAAATTGAAACAAACCATTTCATTCCCAACTTTCTTACCGAAAACTTACAAATAGACTATATTCAACATATATGAAAGGAAACGAGCTTTAGGCGTTGATAGGTTCAAGTTCCAAGCTTCCAATGGATTGCGGCTTCACCGCAGCCACCGATCTCATCGATACCCTGTGTGCACGGCATGATATGATGTCCCAAATGTAGTATGCACCATTGTTATGTAGGGCTTGAGCTCTCCATCGGTCCACAGAGGGAGTAATTCTTTAAATAGTACAAGAATTATCAACTAATTGTGTTAAGGCGTGGGTGACTCCGGCATTAAAGCCGCCTTGTCGTCCTTCGCCCTGAAGTTTCTGTTTCGGTAGTCTCGTGTTGGCATCCATCGACCACCTTTTCGTGCATCTTTCCCTTCGTCCATTGGCACATGACCATACTAGTGCGGAGAAGTGCGGAGAAAGAAGGAGGGTTTGGTGGTGCCATGGTATAGCCTACATAATCATCACTTCAGCAGCAAGTCCGCGAAACTCCGTGAAACTCCGCGAACCCCCGCATTATCGTCCCTTGCCTAGTAGATATGTGGAGCTCATATAGCCGAGCTACATGGAGGTGGATGCGGAGACCAGAGAATTGGGGATGAGCTATCCACTGGTAGGAAAGACCCCTATTCCTAGCGCTAGATCTGATTACTTACATGTTCCCCGGATTATAGGCTGTGGGGAATTGGGATTAGTTCCAGTGTGAAACTTCCACCGGCAGCGTATATAAATTGCGAGCGGGTCCAAGAAGTCCGTAGTAAGCACAAACTACCCTTGTTTACTCTCAATCATCAGTCAAACATCATGGTCTCAAACGATTTCGCTGTTACGAAATCGGAGGAAGAGAACACATCTCCTTCATCTCACGCAGACCACCTTGAACGCCTTCACACTGCAGGAGGACATGTGAACGATCGCAGCCAACCTGCCCTTCCTGTCTATCATCGTACATTTGCGAGCCCCTCTCCATTGGGACTGATCTCCTTTGCGACAGGTATATCACCGTGACCGCTCCCCTCTTGATGATATGTGATTAATCCAGTAGATATGTTCTTGATTTCCGTGTTCGGACTGCACGCCAGGGGTGTCTCAGCGCCTAATTTGATGGTTGGATGTCTAATATTCTATGGCGGTGTTGGTCAATTCATTGCCGGCATCATGGAATTCATCACTGGAAACACGGTACGTTCCCGGGCATTTGAATCAGTAAGCCATGCCAGCTGCTAACAGATGTACTTTCTTCACAGTTCGGTGCCACCGTATTCTCGTCATATGCTGCATTCAACTTGTCATATGCGATGATTTACCTCCCCGGAACAGGTATAATGTCTGCATACACCGACGCCGCTACCGGTGCCGTGGACCCTAGCTTCAACCAAGCTCTGGCGTTATACCTGTTGGCGTGGTTTATCGTGACTGTGGTTTTCACCATCGCGGCGATGCGATCATCCTGGGTTCTTTTCGTTGACCTGTTCTTCTTGGACCTTTCTCTCTTGCTTCTGGCGTCTGGTTTCATGGCCAACATGGATTCTCTTCTGACTGCCGGTTATTCTTTCGGGATTGCTGTATCGTTTCTTTCTTGTAAGTACCATACCCATCAACACCTATCGTGTGATATGGTCAAGACTAATCGCGAGTGAGTAGACTGGGCTGGCTGTGCTGGATTATGGGGTGGTGGAACCACTCCCATCAAATTGCCGACATTTGATATGTACTCAGCTGTTTGAATTCTCGAGGATTTCATGGAAAGGATCAGTGGATGAACATGGTATTAATCGAACCGGTATACGGAAAGAAAGAATGACTCGTATTGCCAGTGGATTTCACGGTTTTAATACTTAGGTATGTATGGAAGCTGTAATTACGTTACGCCTTCGTATTCCACCTACCAATACGAGAATAGCGAAGTTCGAAAAGGCTCATCTAAGCGCTCTATGTCAAGCTATCTATTTTAATTTACTGAGTGTTACAGAAATTGTATTCAATCTAATCACAAAATTGAATTTTAATCAACGCAATATTCCTTCCTATATATCTATGTTTCTCTAAATCTTATTTTTGTATCTATCAGTGTAGGCTTCATCATGAACGGTTTACTCGGCCTTATAGAAAGGGTAGTCAACGTAACCCTTGGCACCACCAGTGTAGAAAGTAGGACGGTCGTACTTGTTGAAAGGCCAGTTGTTGCGAAGACGCTCGACAAGATCGGGGTTCGCAATGAAAAGACGACCGAAACCAGTCAAGTTGTTAGGGTTCTTCTTAGCGATCTCGAAAGCACGCTTAGGATCGTAAGTGTAACCACCAGTTGTGACAATAGGTCCTTTCCAAACAGCACGGAAAGGATCAAGAGATTCCTTCTGCTCAAAGTTGTAAGAGTCGTCGTACAAGACAGAGCGCGGCTCGACCATATCAAGGAAAGCAAGTTTGGCGTATTCAGCTTGGAGTCTCCTGACAACGTAACCCCAGGTGGCGTAAGAGTCCTCATCCTCGACATCGAGGAAAGCAGCCCAAGGAGAGAGTCTGATAGAGACAAGCTCAATGCCAACAGCCTCGATCAAACCGTCAAGAATCTGGAAAAAAAACCGGGCACGATTCTCGGGGGGATCCACCGTACTCATCAGTACGCTGGTTAGAAGCAGAGTTGAAGAACTGGTCAAAGAAGAAACCGTTCGCAGCGTGGAACTGAACACCGTCAAATCCAGCCTCGAGGGAGTTCTTGGCAGCCTGCTGGAAGTCCTTGACGTATTCTTTCATTTCCTCCTTAGTGATCTCACGAGGAGTCTCATACGTGTAGTCACCCATGAACTCCATGCCCTTGATGGCAATAGGAGAAGGAGCAATAGGAGTCTCCTTGATGTACTTGGAGGAAGCAGCACGGCCCTGGTGCCAAAGTTGACTCTGGATGTAACCACCCTTAGCGTGGACAGCAGCAGTGACTTTTTTCCAGCCCTCAACGTGCTCCTTAGAAAAGATACCAGGAGTACCAGGACTCATACCAGCCTGCCTATTGACGTTCATCGCCTCAACAATCAGAAGGCCACCATCGGTAGCACGCTGACCGTAATACTCCGCCTGAAGATCGGTAGCGACGTGGTTCTCATCGTTTCTACCACGAGTCAAGCTGGCGAAGACGATGCGGTGCTTGAGGGTGATAGGACCGATCTGAATGGGAGTGAAAAGAGCGGTGTTGGAGTTGGACATTTAATGATCTGAATGCGTTGATTTGAATGTGTTGGATGTGAATTGATGGAAAAAAATATCAACGATAACTCGAAGATCTATGTTTATATACTAAATCTTCCTTAGGAATGGTACTGCCAAGGAATAAGAGATTTCTAGACTGAGAATTAAAAAGTTGGTAATCATAAATTTGGTAAGGTAATGCGCAGGGTAACCCGTGTCAAAATAAAGAGATTACTAAAAATGAAAATCAAAGTTGGTGACTACGGAGTAAAGTTGTGCTCAAGGCGTAAATATCAAAATTCTCCGTGATTGTTGAGGGGCAGAAATTAGCAAATCATGGAAACAGTGGGGAAAATCGATTACGAGTATTAGAGCCTCGTTGGTGTGGAATTGGGGTCAAAATAGCCCGACCGTGTGCTACGTAGATTGGCGGTAGCCGTGTACCAGGGAAAGAGAACGGATATCTCGAACACTTGTGTCCGATACATTTGTCATAATTTGGGGGAGATAATCGAAATGTCGGAGACTTTTGATATGAATTTCTACCCCTCACGGCAAAAAAAAATCCAGACATCTTGACCAGGGTAAAGCTGACGTCAAGAAGTAGGCAACATGGAATTTCACCCTGTGTTAAAGTTAGTACCGTACGAAAGGCAAACTTTAACTAGCAGCCTCCTACATCCATTCTGCATCCATTCGAATATTCAGGTCCATTCAAAAGTACACTGCGGTATTACAAAAAAATCTACTCAAAACGTCATCCGGCTCACTTCTCAGGGCTCCTGGGAGAACTTTCCCAATGTGAAGAGCTCATTCTTCAGCTAGCAAGCATAAAGTGCTTATTGTGGCCAAACGTGTGTCATTGAACTTCCGCGACATCGCTATCGCAACCGGTAAATATCCGCCCCCATCACACAAACCTCGTTTCCGGCTCGGATGCCGCCGGCGACATTGTTGAAACAAGTGAGGGAGTCTCTAGGTTCAAGCGTGGTGATAAGGTCTTTGTTGCATTTAACCCATTAAATTGTACGGGCCAATCAAGAACTGGAACTATGGCTTGGGTGGCCTCGTGGACGGTGTTTTGAGGGAATACATTTCAGTCCCAGCTCAGGCTGTCGTGAAAACAGCTAAAAGCTGAACGCTTACTTATGCCTAATGGGCCAGTGTTGTTGACACTGGTACTATAGCCTGAAATTCGTTGTACGGAAACATGCCTTTGAAGCTGGAACAGCTCGTTTTATTCCAAGGCAAGTCAATTATGTGCCTCAATAACTCAAACAGGAACAGAAACTGACTCCATATTCATGCACGGGTGGCGTATCGATCACAGGTCTTACGTTGGCAAAGGCTGCAAGTGCTAAGACTATTATCACACCGTCTTCTAATGAGAAGCTGGGGTATGTCAAAGCCAAGTACGGCGTTCACTACACTGTCAACTATAAGGAGAAAAAGAAGTCTGCGCAGGTTATTCTGCCGAAGATTCATTTCGACCCGGCGGATAGTATTTTCATCCCCGCTAATAGGACCTGAACTGGGTTAGATCGAATTCAGCCTCCATGGATGTAAGGTGAAAGAGCTTTGAACCAGGCATTTGCCTTTTAATCTGCCATAAAGGGGCTATGATGTATGAAGAATCGAACGTCGGAAAATGTGAAGCCATTTTTGAAACCGAGTAGGTCATGGTCTTCATGCGTAGGTCCCATGGAATTCCATTACTTTTCTCATTAATCGGTCCATCTTCAGCGTATTATGAGCTTTCATATAATGTCTTCCAAAATATTATCATCCGTTCGAGAGTATTCGACTTTGAATTTGGTGATAGGGATCAATAAGCTCTGGCTTCTTGGCCTTGGCTCTCAACTATGTAGGGGCGCAAGAGGCGCAAGACTCCATTTCATCCACTTGAGAAGCAAGTTAGGCTTAATTTTCTTCGCCTTTGACCTTTGAATTAGAGGGCAGTGGGAAAAAAGGAGAAAATTGTGGATGGCCAGTGGTTTTGATGTGCGCAGACTGAAGGCCCTAGGTAAAGCATACCGCACAATTTTTGAAAACCGTTATTTTTCAGCTAAGTCGGGATAAAAAGATAGAAAGTATACAGATAAGAACATACATTCTAGACAGCGGCGTTCTCCGACTAGCCCTTACTATGACGTCATGTCCGCGCTAGAAGCAGATACTGTCGACCCAAGATTAACTTACTCCCGATTTTGTGAGACTCCAATGTTGGGAAGCCTGCTCCGTACGATACAGTACCGAGCTTGGCTCTCCTCTGTCAACTGGTGGCCCGGACGGCTGGATAACCATACCAGCTAACGTAATTCAGAATCGAACGGAACAAAGCCGAGCGGAACACCCCCAAAACACTATACTACGATAGGTTACAACTTTATATCTTAACAACGAAATAAATTTATAATGAGATACTAGAAATATATAATTTAGACAATATAATTAATTCTGATCCGTTTATATTTGTGTATTCGCCACAATGAATGTTGTGATTTCTCTAAACTCACTTCACATATTTCCCTCGTTCGTCCTTGTTGTCTTCTGGTGTTAACGGGAAGTATTCCGAGGTGTTACAGACTGTTATTCACGTACGTACACACCCGACAGGTTATCGATGCTAAAGTCCTTGGCGGAAGTCCGCCAAGAACTTCCACTTCAAGTGCTTTTTCATATCGGTATCCGCCCAGCCTTCAAGCGACTTGGGAAAAAACGGTATCTCGCCCAGTAAAGATGAATCGTGGGTAATTAATGTCAAAATTTTAGTTTCACAATCCAACTCCTGCACACCGGTGATGGACGAAGCAGCCACTTTGGAGTCATCATTGAAAGTTTCGGCAAGAGAGTAAAATGGGATGGTTCGGCTTTGGTGTGGATGAATTGAGCGAAACAAGTGACCCGGACAAACAGGATATGATATTTCAGGAATCGGGGACGGCTCAATCGACTCGGGCAATGGAAGTCTCTCGTTAGGTCGAATCTCCCCGGCATGATGGCAAACATCCCCGGTCAAAAGAACAAAGGAAGGAGGGAAGGCATCCGTTCTCGCCAATGCAGAAATGTGGCTTAATGTATGACCAGGAGTGTCCAGAAGATAAAAGCTCCCATCTCCGAAATAATCAAAAGCTGCAAAGCGCCCAATTTTCATACACCCGGGTAAAAATACAAGCTCTTGGATCTCGCGCTTCCCGAAATCGTGATGGCAAAGAGCTGATTTTGTGTCATCGGGGTATCCGGGAAAGTAGTGTTTTTTGAAGTTATCTCCGACAACCAACTTTGTATTACTAGGGAATTTGGATAGATCTCCAACATGATCAAAATGGTGATGGCTCCAAATAACAGTGCTGATTGCACCGCTGGATACATCGATTCCATTCCTTTCAAGAGTCGTGGATGTATCTTCTTTAGTTTTAAAAGAAAAATCGTGTTTTTTAAACATTTCCAAGACCACAGGAGGCAAATCCTGCCAATTCTTTCTGATCCCTAAGTCAAAAAGGATCTTTTGACCAGATTCGTGCTCAATGAGGAAACAGAAAGACGGGACATTTAGCCGTTCAGCGCCTTTGTAACCAGGCTGGTGAAAGCATGACGATGGCATGTCTAGACGTGCGCCACTAGAATGACATAGTCAGTTCGAATGAATACTCTAGGATGAATGTAAAGATTTTCGCACTTATCAATCACAGAAATCCGAACAACCTTGTTGGAGTACGGAATGCCACTAGTCAGCTGCAAATCAGCAGATTCTTTGTGTTCCATCATACAAGCTCACAGAAAGTATGAGGAAAGTTGTGCCGGCGATTTTATGAACTATATAAACTATTAGATAATTCAATGACGCAGTAAACGATTTCGGCTCAATCGGCTTTTACAGGGAACATGACCTAATGGTAAATGCCCGATGGGGGGCACGCTGCCGGGTTTCGAGCAGATTATGTAATTAATTGGAGAAGAAAATGCATCATTATCACTTCCAGACGACCCCTCATCAACACCACCCGATCATGGCGAGGGGGAGACCCAAATCAAAAGTGGCCCCGTGTCGCTTTTGCAATAAAGAATTCAAACGCGTTGAGCACCTACAGAGACATGAGCGAGTTCGTCCGTACCCCACCCTTGGCTGATTCTCCTTCCGCATACTAACTTGAGACGCAGATACTCGCGAGAAGCCATTTGTTTGTCATTGCGGCCGCCCTTTCTCTAGACAGTAAGATGAAGCCTGCAAATTCAGATTGCATCGTTAATGGTCTCTACAAAGGGATCTCTTGAGTCGCCACGAACGACTGCGCCACGCACCCGTCAGCGATGAAGTACCGATCGCGGCGAACAATGCAGCAAACCAATCAGAACTGAACAATAACCCCTCCAACATGCCAATGCAGGATATAGAGGGTTTTGTACCGGACCCACATGCAAACTTTGGGGGCAGTCCGATCTACAGTACATCCGCCGTGGAATCTCAGAATGCAAACCTACTTCTATCTGAGCCCTATGCTCCTGTTGGCACTTCTCATCTTGATGACTCCAACTATCAAATGGGTCTTAGTTTTGGACTGCTGGATGAGCTGAACCCCGGGAACACTGATGTGTTCTCATTCGACAATGTCATCCCACCTCAGTTTCTGGACACCGATATCTCGCTTTGCGATCTTTTCCAACGATTTCCTCGACAAGACCAGCCGGCTTCGCAGGGAGATTCTCGACTGACCACAGACCTAGTCGGGCTTTCATTACCTCAGGAGGACTCGTCTTTGACGCCCGCAGAGATACCAACCCCTCAGAACCCGCCACTTCCACCACGATTCCCTTCAACCAATGACCAATTACAGAACGGCAACCTTGATGCAGAATCAGATACCGTGGGATGCCCTTGGATCCTGTCCTTTGCGGCTTACAAGCGGATCTCGGAAAAGGTGGCGCAGAGCAAGTCGATCTTACCTGACTTTAAGCTTCCGTCTAAATTCGCTCTCACCCGTTACCTTGAAGGTTACTTTTGCGGATTCCATGACCACTTACCTTTTCTTCATCCGGTAACATTCGACCCACAAAATATTGAACTTGAGTTGTTTCTTGCGATGACCTCGTGTGGGGCATTTTATCGGTTTGAACACGCACAGGGCTATCAGATGTATGACGCTGCTCGATGTCTCGTGGAGCGAAGCTTTTCCCTTCGCCGGCGCCGCACCATGGAGAGCTTGATAGTTAGGCCCCTGGCGTCTGTGGGTACAAGAGGAGATCCATGTTCCCCATCAAAGACCTCGTATTCGCCCCACTCAGCTGATAATTGCAGCGACTATGATGAGTTACACTCGCAATCATGCCTACAAAGGACCCAAACTCTCATTATTCTTATAGCCATAAGCGCTTGGGGGGAACAACCACTTGTTCAAGATAGTCTGGCCATGGGAAGTCAGCTTGCAGTGCTTATACGGGAAATCGGGATCAGTCGGCCGGATGACACGACCGATATGACTCTCTCATGGACAACCTGGGTTAGGCACCAGCAACGAAGACGTACCTTACTCGTCGCCTATATTCTCTTCAATCTTCATAGTATTGCTTATAATGTCCCACCACTAATTCTCAACCAAGAGGTAGCACTTTGTCTGCCGTCCTGCGAGGCAGAATGGAAAGTGAGATCACAGGCTGGCTGGGAGCGATATCAGCAAGGTTACCATTGCCGTGAGCATTCCTTCACTATAACACTAGATCGTCTACTCCAGGGCCGCAGTGTTTCCGATCACGGCGCCATTTCAGCTTTCTCAAACTATGTCCTAATACACGGTCTCATCCAAAAAATAAACCTTAAGCATCAGACCGCAACTTGTCGTTCTCACGATGGTTCTTCGATGCGCCTGCGGTCACTTAAGCTAATGGAGACTGCATTACGATCTTGGCAAGCTTCATGGGAGGCTACATACGAATCCACGCTTGATCCTTGTTCACCCAAGGGCCCCTTGGGGTTCAATGCAACAGCGTTGCTACGGCTGGCGTATATCCGGCTAAATGCCAATTTAGGGCCTTGCCGTGACCTTATCTCTGGGAACCTAGCTAGCGTCCAGGAAATCTTCACCATCACTGATACGATTTACCTTTCTCGCTCTCCATCATTGGACCGGGCTGTCTTACAGTGTATCCATGCTCTTAGCATTCCGGTCCGTGTTGGCATTCCATACTTGGTACAGACCCAAACTCTGCACTGGAGTGTTCAACACTCGATATGCAGCTTTGAATGTGCGTTCCTCTTAATTAGGTGGATGCGAGAAATCGCCAAAGCTGTTAACGCCGGCGGAATGACGGCGCTTCGCGAAGATGAGCAGAAGCTACTTGCTATGGTAACGAGTCTAATTCAAGAGACACATCTCCAAGAAACATTGGAATATCAGGAGGATCTTTCAACTCGAATCAACCGTCTCGCGGCTTCAACCGCTCGATTATGGGCCGAGATATCCAGTGCCACCCATGTTTTCAATATTGTTCATCGCATCGGGGCTTCCTTGTCTTCTGTGGCTGATATCTTAGAGTCTCAACTCCCCCGGCCTTGCATTCCTACCTAGTAGCTGTACTCAAAAGCTATATTTGATTACTTTCTAAAGCTCAGCCACGATGATATCAAATCAACATGGTAGCATTTCAACGAGGCAAACTAAGCATGGGAGAGAAAGAAAGAGAAGGAAGAAAAAAAGATGTTCAAATTAATTCAGAATAAAATAAGGCATATTAGGTATGCTCATTGGGCAGGGCGAAAGTCATCTTATCTAAGCCCGAGGCACGACCTGAGTTCTCCGCTTATGCAGATTTCCACAAATCCTGATGTCATTTTGCGGCTATTTGTTTTGGCTCGACGAGTAGCGTGTCTGCTACGAGCATAGCGGTGGTACTCGCAGAAGGGACGCAGGAGAGGGCCTCAGTCTTTGGGGATGCTGCGGATGGGATCACGGATACTGGCCGTGCGACAGGTGACATTGACTGTTTGTACCCCTCATTTGATGTTTCTTGGGCGCGTCCACTGAAATGGACCAGGGCTGGGTCGGCGACTAAACTACCCCAGAAACTATATGAAGAAGTAAAGCTCTGCGGACACAACTTGACAGCTCGCCGCCGGCATCCTCGGCCCGGTCGTGGGCCGACCAAAAGATACATAAACAAAACGCTTATTTATCATAGGGACAACGACATCGTTTCTGCCCATCATGAAATGGCAAGTCAAATCAGAACACATTGGATGATTTGACGGCTGGCCAGTCCCCGCTCTGTAAGCATGTGGATAATATGGTCCTCTTGTTGGTTCACTGGAATAATTTGACCTCACAACACGCAGTAGACGATTGCTGAAATCGAATCAGAAGAAGCTATGATGCCTTTAAAAACCTGGAAGATAAGATTCATGGTCTTGCAAGAGCACAATAGAGTCGATGCAGCTGGAATGTTTAACAGCTTCTGCAAGGATGTTCGTATTGGAATTGTCAAATGGCTGTATGATATTCCCATTCCCCGTGCAAAGAGTAAAATCAACTCTGAGAAAGTGCAATGAGTGTCATATCAAAGATATACTGATGTGAAAACGGAAATGACAGAAGTTCTGATGAACCTGGAGAACAAAGCTGATTTTCACTCAACTTGGATTTCATATTGTAACGAAATCCAGGAGCGTTCTTCTAGTATGATAGCCAACAAGCCGCGTGGAACAACTTGAAATCATCTTTTGCGCAGGTACTTCATATTTTGACCTCTTTCTTGACCCGTGCAATGAATAGCCAGTGCCTATATCGCTTGTGGCGACATACACGACCGTCAGCACTTGAAGGATACACTGAAATACACTACAGTAGAAAAGAAGTTCTTGCATAGAAGTACACCTAGTCAGACACTGTAGAGGCGTCAATAAGTTTGAGGGGCAGCAATACGATGGCCTTCTATATACCTATATTTGCTAAAAGGGCCTCGTCCTTCCGCGCCCATGGCCTTCTGTGCGTGCGGGGCGTCTTTGATCTTCCTGGACTAAGAACTTCCAAGATTGGTCAGCCCGATTATCAAGTCAACCAGGATGAGTTCGTATAGGCTTAGCAGCGTGATGCCAGTCTCTGTTTCCCGGTACTTCTATTATTTCGGCTAGTACCTGGTGTCCACAGTGAAGCTCCAATCAAGACGGCGAGGCAAGAAAGTTGAGTGCAAATGCGGAGCTTCTAGGCCCATGTTGAAATCTATAAACCTAATCAATCCCTGGTTATTAAAAATAGCATCGAAGGGTCTTAAATCATCTGTTCTACTATTCTTATAATCCTAGTTGACCAATGAGTGAAGTCGAAATCTTGGGGGGCTTTGGTTTTAGTGTGCACGGAGGAAGTAAGTACACATGCGAGAGGATGCAAGACGATCTGGGGTAACAAGGCGCTTATAGATATCGGACGACCCTCTAGTAGGCCCCGAGGAGACTCTAATTGACGTGATTTCTGCAGAGCTCTGTATCCTGCTGTAATAGCATCACCTCATATTGCCGGTTGGTAGTCAACCGAGATCGATGTACTACCGATGGAACAGAAAGGAAATATTCGATTAGAAACAGTAGAAAGCTGTTTCTTATTGAACTCAAAAGCATGACTCATATATTGCGATGTGAAGGGAGATGAATATAGAACATGGATAACTCTAATGTTCAAACGTAGTTCTCGGTATCAAAGCCTAGCGAGGGAAAGCAGGCTGCCCGGGGCCACTTAGCATCATCTTCAAACCTCGATAGGACAAACAAACCTGGCCGCATTATGGGAAATCTGATGCAATTTGCATTCAAAGGCCAGAATCTTTCTCGCCGTTAGTGCCATCTCGTGGCGGACTTAATACCATGTAGCCGACTTCAAGTATAATGAAAGGTGGAGACTTCCCATTTTGAGTTCGCCAATCGGAATTTGTGGAATAAGCTGGAATAGGTCGGTTACTTTGTACCCCAAGGATCATTGTTGTTCGGGTCACTTTGGCCGACGTGTTACAGTCCCGATTAAAAAAATTAGCAGCACTTGCTAAAAGCGTATAGACTAGTAATGTATTCAGGACGAATCAGATCACGCGGAACCAACAGGATAAAAAGATTGACTGATTCCGGTCTCCAGATCGGTTACGCGATCTCAGCTGCTATGACACCATACTTCCGATATCGTGCGAATAGTAACTTAAGGAAGCTGGGTGACCGATGAATAAGCCTATTCAGTAGAGTTCCTCGCGGTAAGTTATCAATCCATGTTTATTTTCTTGAAGTGGGGTCGGTTTAGCTGGAAACTAAGTCTCGGGATTCTGGTTTTGAATTGTGCGGTCATTTCACCTCCAACACTGGCACAGGTATTACAAATATGGAACATACTGTATTATTGAGGCTCACTTGGTAATGCTCTCACTTTTAATATGTCAGTGTACATGTAATTTGCCCATGGAGTAAAAGACGTGACCCCTCGGTAGCAATATGGGTCATGCTTGCTCTGCTACGCGAATACATATAAAAGCTTTCATATCTGGCACTTGGAAAACTACAAGGCTCCGGACACCATTAATTGCAATACATGAATTTCAACAATGGTCCCGCATAACATTCTCTTCACTGGTGCTTCCGGTTATCTCGGAGGAACCGTTCTCGCTCGCTGGAAAAACGCCAGTCTGCCGCCTTATTCACACCTCTACGCCCTTGTGAGATCGGAGGAACATGCAGAAAATGTAAAGCAATACAGTGCGGAGCCGCTAGTCGCCAACGTCCATGATCATGATGATATTGCGAAGAAGATCATAGATCTGAAAATCACCATTATCTATTACCTGGTCGATGCTTATACCGCCAAGCACCAACCCGCGATGATAAAAGCGTTGGGTGAGGTCAAGCACAACACAGGGCAAGAAGTGCATTTCCTCCACACCACCGGCGCCACGCAATTCAGTCGACGTGCCGGCATGCCAACCGATGCCCCTTTGCTTGATACCTGCCCGGACTTGTATGATCTGCAGAAGAGCGCCAAAGCACCTCACGACTTCATGGAAGAGGTATGACCCATCTCTATCCCATCCATCTACTAATATACTCACTCCTTGCTTTTGGTTTTCACTAAGAGCGGGGGGTGAATTGAAGAGTGTTGAGAATATGTTCTGATGAAGGTGTATAGTCTGTCAAAGCCAACCCTCTCATCATTGATACAGCCGAAGCCCACGGTGTAAGGAGTTATATCTTCGTTCCCTGTCTTGTATATGGTACCGAAGAGGGCTTTGGAAACAAGACATCCATTCAAGATGTGTCCATTGTACAGGCCGCACAAAGCGCCCGGCATGTTTAACGTGTCGACTCTGATAACCCGGTACGCAGATCATCTACCGACTTCCCTAGAATGGTTCGAATATATATAGATCTAATTAGAAGTTATAGAAAATTAGCTCTCTAGCTCTCTGGCCTTAGACCTCTGCAGGAAGCAGTATACTAAGCAAAATTGATAAATTATTCCTAGGAGCTTACAGACTACAGCCAGAATTTTATAGGATAATAAAGTAAACTGCTCAGTGTATTTACTCCTAGGAGGTAGTATTACTATATAATTTTGCGGCCATTTATAATGTATACCTTTTTTAATAGAGTATTTGAGCATTCTAAAATTGGGACAGAGACTTTTGTGAGGGATAGCGTATTTTGTTTTATTGGGGTGCCTGAGTCAGACTGCTGGCTCTTATATAAGTATTGCACAGAGAGTAGATCAGAGTGATCAGAGAGCTGCTCAGAGCAGTCACGTAATGATCACTAATCTGCTCAGCGCGCTCAGAGACGTGCTCAAATATACTCAGTGAGCAAAAGCGGCGCTTACTGAGCACTAAAACGGAAGGGGAAGGCCAAGACCTTGCTTGCATGGGAAATCCGGTACCTAGGTAGTAATCCGATATATTTTAGCAGTTTCAAGATGAAGCGAGAATTTTTTGACTTACTTAAATGGTATACTTAATCCAGTAGCTCTTCAACCTTCACTGTTGGGGTAAAGGTCCCCACTCACCTTCGAAGATCTTGTGGTAGTGGTTCATTTGAGAGCAACTTGTACCGAGGATTTACTCGTACGGGAGATGTCCAGAGGGAAAGATGTCATGACTATCGCTAGCTTTTGGTATTCTTGTGGGTGAAACTTCCGCTCAGAAATGATTTGAGGAATGAGTGACCTAGGTATACATAAAATAGGCGACGAAATTGCAAGTTCGACTCACATTCCTGTCCTCAAATGCCGATATCAAGATACTAGTATGTTACATCCGAAGAGCATCGATCTGTCCACGGAAATCCCGCCGGAGAAAGCCATTGTTCGCATGGAATCTTGGACACAATCTCCTCGAAGCTTTCCGGTAATGTCCAGAAGCTCGAGTCAAAGTTGTCAGATGCACCATTCGTAGTTATTGTCATAGAATCATTGCTCGATCCGACTCCATTTGTATCCCTCGAGTCATATACACCATCCGAGTATGCGATGAATGGAGTGGGCTGAAGAAGCTCTCCTGGTATCAGTGGGTCCAATATCGAACAAGCTCGAGTACATATCTCGCTGTATGGGGCATTGTTGTGGAATCGCTGGAGACAACTTTGCACGGCTTGGGATATGAGATGTTTGGGACTTTGCGGGGCTCGAGGCTTCGCCAGTAGAACCAGTATGGTTGATATTGCTAGAAAGGCGTGGAATGACCCAAGGCCATGGATATACCAGCTATATGGTTTGAATTCATGACGCGAATTGAGGATTTCGTAATTTGAAAGGATGGCGACAGCAGCCTGCTCGCATTTTTCGTAGCTTGTAATGAGACCTCCGTCTTCAATACCCTCTGGTCTGAAGAGACGAATTCGATGTAAGAGAAGAACCAAATGATTGGTGTAATTATTCAAAATAAATGAATGTGCCTGATGATATGTTGGCAGATCAAATTGCTCGCGGAAGCGCTCTACCTGCGCATTCATTTCAGTCTGGAGCTGGTCATCCAACGCGTGTATCTTGCTCGTGCAGGGTGTAGACCCTATCGTGCTTAGAGCGCATATCTCAGATGCTAGAGAGTAGAGACGGAATTTGTACAAGATGTATGACATTTTTGTCGGATTCTTGCGCCCCGAAGTCGGTTCATTTCCATGCGAGGCTTCATGGAGCGAGTCTGAGACAATCTCGTCATCTTCCACGTCTGCCGGCAGCTGGACATTGTTCTCCACTTGAAACGGGGCCAAATTACCAAGACAGGTGTTTTGAATAGTGTAAAGCATCATTAACCCTGCCCAGGCTCTTCGCCTCTCTTGAACCTCAATGGGATGCAGGTCAAGAAGCGCGGGATCAACGTGGCACCCAATAGCAATGGCAATATTAAGTGTCGTTCCAAGGAGAGCCCAGGCTGGACCCTGAGCATGATTGATGGCATATATCAGCAGAATGAGACATTGCAGAGTGTGCAAATTATGCTGCCACATGAAGTTATCGGCGGCCAGGCATTTCATCGCTGCCTGTCGGTATTTTGCTGCCAATGACCTCACGCTTTCCGCCGTAGAAGCCTCTCGACCCAAGTCTGCTAGGATAGGACTTTCTTTATCAATGGCAGTGACAGCCAGCCCCAGGGCGACAAATATTAAACCAATAAATGGTGTGGGAGCATTTCGAGGGTCTTGTTTGAATTTGACGTAATTCAACTGGAAGGTCCTGTCGTGTAAGATGTGAAAGAGTGGGGAGAACACATCGAAAAAGACGACGAGGAGGTCGTCACAATGCCGAAACGGGGGTAATATGTCTAATAGTGACTGTGTGCTGGGAAGTATGTCGGTGAATAAACAAACGCCAGACGGTGATTCCACTTGTGAGCGGTTCTGCAGTGAATGGAAAACATCAGGGTCGCGAGAGGTACTATAAGGAACGTATCGCACATGACCCGACGAGGATGTGATGATACTGCCGACTTCACCACGTTGAGATTCGATGTTCCTTCGGAATGAATAGTGATCATATGTGTATTTCGAGACGGGGATCTCAGAGGTATCGTCCTGGGATTGAGGGAGATCATCATGGGACACGGGCGAGCGGAGCGCGTGATTATGAGCGTTAGAGGTCGACGTCAATTCAATATTTTGAATCAATAGCCTTTCCAAATCCGAGATCCGCTGTAGAAGAATATCCTGATTTGTTTCATGACGCTCTGGTTGGGGATTCTGTTCAACATCGCGCTTGAACTGGCATGACGACGCCACTCCACGCTTTCGACAGGTATCACATGGCACGCCCGATCCTAAACAGCGTATCTTTCTACGTCGGCAGTTTTCACAGCTTAGAGGTAGTCTTTTGGTCATCCTCTTTAGTCTTCAGGGCACGGGGAGAGGTGTCGATTGTTCCTGATGGGAGGCTCTCCATTCCTTTGAGAATGGTGCCCCCCACATCGGGGTTCATGCGGGGGAAAGTTAACCTCGGGAGAGCGGAAGTCGACTAAATCCGCACCGTATACAGATTCCCGGTGATATCACAGCCATTTTGGTCATATCGATATACTTCTTCATGCACATGATCATGACGGTCTGGAGCAAAGCATTGAAGTGTGCAAAGAGTGGCTGGTTGACTATATGCAATTCGCCGGATTCGACTCTCTGACTCCCCATCATGGACATATAAGGGCTTCCATTCAAACTTATTTACTTCGACGTGGTACATTTGTTGCCTGGCTCGTACGGTCACTCTTTAACATTCTATTAACCTTCAAGTTGAAACGGATAACCATAAGCAGGGGTCCAATTAAAAGAATTAGATCGAACCCAGCGGCAAGACAGACTCTATTTCTATTTCAAACTGGACCCGAAATCATAATGCAACAAGTCTATTCTATTTCCCCTGTTTTGGTGTCCAAAACCAGGCGGGAACACAGAGCATATCAATACAATAGTCTAAGTTACACTCGAGAAAAGATGAAAGACATAGAAGCGCAGAACGGGGGAATGAATATGCTGGAAAGATCATGGGAGAAGATGTAGCGGAGATTGGAAATCGGGGAGACGGCGAGGGGACTTTTATATAATACACACCCCCGATCTTGATAGATCCCCACTTGCATCGCGGAGGAGAGAGAGAGGGAGAGAGAGAAGAAGAAGAGGTTAAACCGTTAAACCGGACTTCACGGTATACCGACCTCTTCGGGTGGGGTCAAGAAGAACTTAGAGAAACTTTGAAAAATTAGACATTGACTCAGTTCTCAGTCTTCTGGGCCTCCTGGTTCTTGGTCTCGGCATCGTGAGCAGCCTTGGGAACCAAAAACTCGGGCTCAGTGGAGTCGACCTTCTCTGCTTCGTCGGCCTTCACCTCGGATTGAGAAGGGGCATCGATATCAGCGGCGACAGCAGCGGGCCGCTCGGAAGAGGGAGCGGGAGCGGGAGCACCGGCCTCAGCAGCCTCAGCCTCCTCCTCGTCCTCCAGTTCGGCACCGTACACGTCGGGGTGTGCGCGGAAGCAATTTTGCATGCCCCTACAATCGAATTAGTATGTGGAATTCAACCCCAGGCCAACGGTTTTATATCAGCTCTTCAACACGTACTGGAACTTCTCAATGCAGTCAATGCCCTTAGGCTCCTCCTCCGAGTACACGAAGCAGCTGAACGCGGCCTTGAACTCCTCTCCGCAAGGACCATGCGCCATACCACCCAGGCAAGGGCAGTCCCAGTTGATCTCGCCGGTCTCCGGGTTGAAGGCGGCTTCTTGGCCAGCCTCCTTCTCGAGCTCTTCCGGGTTCACGCTAGCCTTTCGGGCTGCGGCTCGCTCTTCGCGGATCTTCGGGGTGATGGAGTCGAGGGTTTCGGACGAGGCGTTGGCATTGTCTTGTTGGGTCTTGGCGAGGATGGAGACTGTGTTGCGAACATGGTCGTTAGTACGAGGGTTCGAGTGAATCAAATAAGCCATTGGCGCCGGGATGCGATTATCCGGGCTCGGTTTGCGTCCGCATCCCGGGTGCCGGTCGTGGAGGAAGGGAAGGGCCTGCCGCGGAGGACATACATTGGGGCTCTTTGGAGAATGCGCTGCTAGTGTTGTAGTAGTAGATCGCACCACCAGCCAGACCAAGTCGGAGGACGGTGTTCTTCCAGCTTCTCGACTTGGTAGGACCGGTGCTTATCAATCGTCTGCTGGCTGGGCCACAGGGCGTGGCGATGGGTGCGCGGGCAAGCGCTCGTACGGCGGGGCGAAACATGATGAGGTGAAGCGAGTGAGATGTGAATTGAGACCGCGAAGGACCTCCAGACGACGCAAGAAGGGAGGGAGAGGGAAGAGGAAGCGGAACGGAGAAGTTGGTGGAAGAAGAGTGGATTTCGGGATTTCGGCCTGAGGTTGGCGGGCCGCGCCAGTGGTGCACCAGTCACGTTGCTCCCACTGCGGCAACATCTTTCCAGGCCATTTCTACACCGTGAGACACAAAGCTTCGGCATCTTCGGCATTTTCTTACACTCCGCGGAGGGGGAATAGGAACTACCCCTCTTTATTGAATCATGGAGTGGGATCCTAGCCAGTTCTTTCGTCCGGGTGGTCATGCCTCGCCATATGCCTTGCTGGTGTTGAACCAGCCAATCAACGAAACGGCCTTTGGGGTATTAAGTGAACATGGTGAGCAAACAGTCCTAGCTCCCGATTCACCCTAGCAATGCGCATACGCGTTGAGAGTAATTTGAAGGGTTTTCGCATTTTGAATCATGGAGATCTAATATTTCGCAGCTTCCTACATCATTTGTGCTGATGGCGGGGCAAACCGTCTATATGACATGTTGAAACATCATGGGAAAGAATCTACAGTTGTAAGTTTTTTCTGCATGGGAAGCACTCCTCCGGTCTGATATAAATCGGACGAAAAGGATTTACTCCAGTCTTTCGAGCTTGGTGTATCCTAGTACTCCCCGGAGACATATATCTTGGCACATCACCATACATAAAAACTGACCCCTTTTATCAGCTCCCAGACAGGATAATGGGTGACTTGGATTCTCTCAAGCCAGCAGTAAAGGAGCACTATGAAAAGCTTGGTGTCCCAATCAATAAAGATCCAGACCAATACTCGACAGATTTCACCAAATGTCTGAAATATCTCAACGAGCACGCTTCAGAGATCATCGCATCTCCCCGCGAGCAGGCAAAAAACCCCGGCCTGAACGCAAACTCGACATTGGAAATGGTCATCCTGGGCGGTCTTGGCGGCCGCGTCGACCAAGCATTCTCACAAATCCACCATCTATACATGATGACGCAGACGCAGCGTGAACTACGCGAATCTAAACAGGACTCGAGCCAAGATAAGAAGATCAACACAAACTCAAGCTCAAAGCCAAACCAAGCTTCTGGCGGTAATCTCTACCTCGTCTCCGAAGAAAGCATCACATTCGTTCTACAGAAGGGGAAGAATATAATCCACACGCCGGCCACGAAACGTCCCCAGGCTGATATCCAGCAATCAGAATGCGATGACACACTTGAATCACGGAAGCGAAAGCGGGACCAGGACCAAGGCTCCGCCACTGAGACTGACAGTGCTGATGATTCTCCGGAATATCTGTTCGAAGAGAATATCGGTATTATCCCGCTCTCGGCACCGGCATCGATTACCACGCATGGCTTTGAATGGGATGTGGAGGACTGGCATACTGAAATTGGAGGACAGCTTTCGACTAGCAATCATATTCGTGCTGACGTGGTATCGGTCGAGACGTCGGTGCCGGTGCTATTCACGGTGGAATTGGCGGAGAGATTGAAACGATGAGGTTAATAGTTACGAGCTAAGAGGTAACTAGTATATGAGCTATGTCTGTTCAGTGCGAGGCGAGGCGATGTGATATGATATAATGGTGAAAGATAAAATCTCTTGGTTGTCTACTACTATACTTTGCTCATTGATACCCCTGCCTTCCTACTAGGTATCCCATAGACTCGATCAAGGAAGAAAGAAAACTAAAATGAAATAAAGTACTTCCAAACGCATTACAAGAGGAGACCCCCAAAAACTTAAACCAAGACCAGAATACTAAGAATCCCAAACCCAGGCGCCTTCTCTGGCTGAAACAAGAGACCAAGAATGTAATAAAGGGAGCATGAAGAAAACTTGAAGGGAGGGGGAGGGGGAACCATAGGAGAAGAACAAGAAGCAAATATCGCATATCGTATATCGCATCGTCGCATATCCCAAACACTAACACTCGAACCAAAAACTCGGTGTGGCGCATTAATTCGCAGGAAACATAAGGTAAACGTAGCATAAGGTCACGACGAGGACAGGAGAAAACCCACGACACGCCTTCAAAAAAACAAGAGGATATCATCCAACAGAGAAACCGATCCGAATCTGATATAACCAGAGTGGTACATAACAGAGTAGCAGACAACGACACTTAGGGGAGGGGACTTTCGAAACACGTGAAACATAGGGTGAAAAAACAAAACAAAAAGCAGATTCACATCCCGTCAGCGCACTACCATAACAAAAAAAAAACCTCTCATCCCAGTCTGCAAGCCCAGCTCGACCTCCTGTACAGCCCCGAGGCAGACGAAAGTAAAAACAACCGTTTTATTCAGCACCAACCAACAGCACCTCACACGACCTATTGGCGGCGCAAAATAGCCTCATAAAGAGTTCCGATAACTCCAATAGCGGTACCAGTCAGCATACCACCCCAGCCACCGGGCACGGAGACATTAACCTTGGCGATGGTATAGTGACTGAACAAATCAAAGAAGCCAAAGTGATCAACATAAACCTTGTAAACAAGCAAAGCCTTGGCAATATTGAACGTGAGCGGATCAAAGCTCGCGCGATCAGACGCAGCGGAAGAACGACCACGACGCACACCTGAACCACCGGTAGCAGCTTGATAGCTCAGATTAATGAAATAAGCCGCGACCAAAGGCAGAATCAGACCAGACAGCAACCACAGCGTAAAGGGAGCCCAGAATGACCCGCTCAATAAGACAAATAGATCGGGAACCTTGATCGAAATTGAAGGGAGGAGAATCGCGTCAACGGCCGGGGTGGTAGTCAGATAGCGCAACGGAACCAGCTCTTTCAGCATACTTCCGCCCTCTAGGAGGAGGACGATGGTTTCAACGGCCTTGAGGCTGCTTAGCGCGGAGCGCACGGCGTGCTGGTACTCCACGACACCCGAATCTGTCCATGCCGTCTCGAGACCCTCGCGCATACGCGCTGTTTGGCGGTCAATTGCGTCGGTCACGATGGCCGGGGATGGGGGAAGCTGTTGGGTTGTGGATTCAATGACGGATCGCACGCGCGACGAGGAGCGTGCGACTGAGGCTTGCGCCTTGGTCAAGGGAGTCTTGAATGCGGGGGATTTGGCGGCATCTTCGGACTCGCTGTCGCAGTTTGTTAGTTGTTTGCGACAAACTTGGCCGAGGTGGGATGGTTCTTACCTGCTGGCAGTCTCGCGTTGCTTGGGTTTGCGACCAGGCGTCTTCTTCTCCGACGCGGGGGGAGCCGAGTTCAACTCTGGGTTCGCGCTTGACGGGGGATTCTCCGCGCGCGGGCGCAGCTAGGCGCTTGAAGTAGTCGGCGAGCTTCTTGTCATTAGATAGAGTGGCTTGGTTATCGCTGAGGTGCTTGTCCAACGCGACGGCGAGATCGCCCTTGTTTAAATCGGAGACGCTGTGATACAGAAGATCAGATGATTAGCCTTAGAGTACAGGTAAAGATGACAAGGTATCTTTTGATCGGAATTTCGGGGTTGCGCGCGTGCGCGATAGAGGCAATTGGATAGTAAACATCAACATCAACATACTCGGTGAGCTTGGTTCGCTCGGCGATCTCAATTAGCTCCGGCTTGCGCAGCCGGTTGAGGGTGGGGAGGCCACTGGACATAGTGAAATATTGAATATGATGGAAAACCCGCCAGAAGTAATGGTAAAGTGGACCAATGCGCGAGGCAAAAAGGTAGATAATAGAGGAGGGGAGCGTGGAGATGCAAGGAGGGGAATTGGGGATTGGATTGAAGTGGATTGGACTGGGGGGGGCGTTTGGCTTGTTTACGCGCGATCACCAAAACAAAACACGCTAGCGCGTTTGGGGATTCCTCACGAGAATGAAGTCATCCATGCGGAATATCTTACTATATCTGCGAATTCAAAGTGCAGAACGGGTGTTGCGAGTATTGATTCAATTTATTTAATTCTTTTGAACTAGCAAGTATTAGTTCCGAAGGACGATTATCCGTAATATAATATCCTGGGGTGTGAACTGTACGGTGATCTCCATACGCTGTGGATCATGTGATCCACTACTACCATACAAACATCCATGATTACTCTGGGTTACTCTTTCCTCCCAAATCTTCTGCCGGAAAAAATTGAATGCCAGAAGTCTACAAGTACAATCGAGAAGAATCTCAACAGCAAATTGGACCCACGTATCTACAGGGATCGAGGCTAGCCGATCAGCCTCTTACTTGAACAGACAATCAAAGAATACAAATGCGACCTATTGTACATCCAATATGTCCGGGATGGACTTGTCGAAGCGCAGGATGGGAATAACCTCACACTCGCCGAATTGCAAGCCGAATTTGCTCCGTTCTTTCACAGCACTAAGGTCACAAAGGAAAAGTTGAATTTCCTAGAGGGTCAAAGAGAACTGCTAGAAGAAGACCTTGATGAGATGTCATTACAGAAACGCCAATAGCAGGCCACAGGACGGAGGCTCTAGCCTTGCTCTAGCGGTGCGATCGTATACAAAATCCATATTACCACGAGTCACGGCAGCATCGGCGCGCCAGAAGAAAATCCGATTTGACCAAAGTGGATTTCGGAAAGCGGCAGGCACCCCTTTCAAACTGGAGGGTTTGGTCGAGCTTATGGGACGAGAATAGGTGAGGCTTTGTTGAAGGAACTAGAGGTCCTCCTCCGAGTCCCTCGGGAGGACCCTCTTAAGCCGGAGAAAATCTGGATCAAACTTGAATGCCGATGGGAGTCTATACCGACCTGGTTCACCCTCGACACTGCACAGAGGGGAAGGCGACCTCAGTGTTGGCTTTACATTTCAAATAGGAATTTCGGTGAGAGTCGTGTTGCTCCTTCCAAGATTGCGATGGACTGTTTGAGACATCCGTATTGAATCAATCCCTTTATCCAACTTCGTTTGTTCCAGGGCATTATGTATATTATATATCGTCCAAGGTAACTTAACAGTAATATGATTATTTATACAGATTTCATGTAGCTGAGAGTAATATGGTACAGGTGGGCTTCGTGGCCCGTCTAGTCTATCACAAGAACAAGGATGGGAGCTGGTGATGTACAACGCGCAAAACAAATATGGCTCCTCCTTCTTCCGCCCCGATCCAAAAAAAGAGAATACAATGGATTCCAGAATAACGCCACCCAGATGAAAGCCGGTTAATGCAGAGAGTGAAGTGTGCTTCATGCTTCAATCACAGAGGAGACCAGTCCTCTACGCCGTGGTATGTCTCGAGTTGTTTGAGCAGATACTGGTACATGACCAGCATAGTCCCGCTCTGGATACTGGTCCACACACCGCGTGGGCCCACGCCCCGGAACCACCCCGCAAGTCCCTCGGTTCGGTAGATCATTTTCAACCCGGTGAACACAGACGATGTATCTAATCGAGGAGCCCCAGGGGGTACCACCGAGGTTGAAGGGGAGGAGGTCGAAATCGGTCGGGAGTGTGAGCGTGAACTTTGGGAATGTGATGAACCTGGCGCGTGCGGTCGAGGACTTTCCTTGGGTGCGTGGTCGTGGGAGTGTTTCGCACCCGATGAACTCGAGGAGCTCTCTGGGATATTCTTTTGCGTTTGGATGCGGGTCTTGACCACATCCAAGGGACAGGTGATCACTCCAGCCATACCACCGGCAGTAGCGGCAGTCGCAATCTCCAGTCCTAAACCAATATCTCGCTTGCCAACCCACTCCTTGGCCATAGTTTGCTCCTGTTCGTAGAAAGCGAATTGAAGCGCGGAGAAAGGTAGGTCGCGGAAGATGGTGGCCTTGTAGCCGTGGAAGAGGGCGGGAAAGCCCTCCTGGCGGACAATGGTTCGGAGGGCATCGCCCGTGCTGCGATAGTTGTATCCCGAATTGAAGTGGGGGTTGTTGTATCGGCCTTGCAGTTGAAGTCGGGTCTTGAGAACCTCGGACGGAACGTAAACCACCGAAGCAGCCAAATCTGCGAAGAAACCACCGGAAAGATACGCAAGGCTGGGGTTGATCCCCGAATCCAACATCAATCGTTTTGTGAATTCGTAGACTCCGAAGAAGATCACGGTGCCTGGGAAGGAGCCCCAGAAAGCGGGCGTCACGCCACTGTATAGACCTCGAACTAATCCTTCTTGGCGATAGATGGTTGAATATGACGAGGCCATCGACGTGTACTTGGGTGGGAAGGTCGGATCGCCCTGCTGCCTGGTCTTAACCGTATCCAATGAATGCATCAGCATGTCGCCACATGAGCCTCCGATTCCACCTGCCAGCATCGCCTATAGAAAGATATCGCATTAGCATTTGTGGGAATTGGGATTTTTGTGCACCGCAGTATTGCCGCTGAGGATTGATCGTACATGAAGATATGGCGGACGGGGTTCTTCTTCCTCCAACATCACGCTGCTCTGGGCATATCGGGATGCGCCGGAGGTCACCTCATTCTTGTGACCGGGTATGGACGAAGGTGGGACGTGGGTAGTGGAAGTGGACAAGTCGGTTGAAGAGGTGGTCGCTGGGTCGGAATTCGCTGTTGTCGAGAACAGCCCGAACACTCGCGAGGTCAGGCTCATGGCAAGGGCCGAGACGCTGCGCTCCCGCGACGATCGGGACCAAAGGGAGAGGGTATGGAGGGGATGCCTTGAAAGGAGAGGAGCACCCCCGGTGGAATAGGAAGAGGTCTAAAGAGTGACGAGAAAGACGGGGGTGAGGGGGTTAAGGTGGAAGACGAATGTCATCGAATCTCGACCCGAAGCAATAATAATTCGCTCAATCACCAATTTTGAATTTGACTTTCGGGCGGAGAAAAGAAAACACCGCCTTGGCGCCTCAGGCAGAAACTGCGTCATCATGGTTGATGACTAATGAACAAAGAGCCGCCAACTTTAACTTTCCATACTTCCCATGTACTTCGACGGTGGTGTTGCAAAAGTTGGAAACCCCTTGTTGACCTCCCGGATCTCTGTCTTCTCAAGGGAAACAGGTAGCTACCTAAGATGGAATATATTGGCCAACTTTTTCCATATCAGGTAGCTACTAGTCTGCCATTAGAAGGCGGTCGATAATGGCGGGCAATAGGAAGTTTCAAACTTTTGCATCTACATCCATGGCCCCTAAGGTATGCTATTGAGTGAGGATTGCAATTCCAATGCCAATGCCAATATTAGCAAAGGCTTTTCAAAACACAGCAACCCCGAGAACAAGCCAAATGTACGAAAATAGGAACGATATCACGCAACATCGAACACGCTCAGAAAACAACAAGATTGGCCAATTTTATGGCCTAGTTGTGCTCCTGACATCCTCCAGCTCACTCTCTACGGCATACTATCGGACCCCAAACCAAAAATTCAGAACCTGTATTTTCCTTTCATTTTCTTTTTTCCTTTCACTGAGAAGAATATCGGCACTACCACCAGCAAAGATACCGCTCTTGTGACTCGATTTGCCGGCTAGAGGCTCACGAGTTTGTTGACGACGATGGATACGAAACCACATGTATCATCGTCACACGATGGGTCAACCTCGGAGCGGGTCGTCACCCTGTTGATCTTTTTCAACTTGTGGGCAAGGGATCCTATTGACGAGTGGGAGGACTATGAGGTCCCTGATGATCTGGACGCCCGTGGGCGTTTTAATGCCGGAATTAATAATTCCGAGTATGTCATGTCTGAGGAGGAACTTTCTGAGCGAAATTTTGCCAGTTTGAAGGAGAGGAGTTACAAAGAGACCACGGAATACATCGGTGGTGGAAGCGAGGAACGCGAGTCGCCTGCTGCCTTTTACAGGTGCCCGACCTGGGACATGCGAAGTGATCAGCTGTGAGGTTGGCCTCGTTAATTGTTGTCAGTTATCCCGTGCAGATAGATTTCTATGGGGAACCTGGCGGCACGCTATCTTTCACGGCGTTTCCAAAAACAACCAAAGTTCAAGATGTGCTTGATTCTCCACTCCACAGCGAGGGATCTGCTGGTTAGTTCAGAAGTAGATGATAGGAACTAGAATGCAATGCCCGCTGGCATCAATTTTCCACCCGTAGGCGAATTTATTCTACTAGTAATCACATCCAGCGACTTGAATGTGTGGCATAGCCAAAACGAAGCCAAACTGTCAAAGGATTGAGAGAATGGGGTATTGCATCATTTCATTACGACATTGTTCAAGTCTTTGCCATAAGGCTTCGTGACAATTATCCTCCGAGCCTGTTTCAAGACGAGCTTCAGCGCAAATACAACGATACCCGACTACAGTTTAGTTCAAGATGACGCGTCCGCAAATAAAGACTTCGTTATCGTGAATATCCGAGAGTCGATTGCAATCAAGTTAAGACAGGTACAAAAACAATGCTTCGCGAGTTTCTAGAGACAAAGAGGACAAACAAAAGAAAAATAAATAAAAAAATAAACAAAGGGCATGGCGTTGCGTTGCGTATAGCTTCATCATGGTCGGGATTGATCCTACCCGTCCGCCTCTTTCTACAGAGACTATCTCCACATTTCCATACTGACACACAATTCGTTCAATTCACTGCTTCGCACCTCTCTCTCCTTTCATAAACTGGGGATTTCGGAGCCGGGGCCTCCTTAAGGTGAACCGAGCCCCAGGCTTTCACAGTCGCGATTCTCAACATTTTCTCTTGGTGGCACTGCGTTCCATTGCGAGTTCCAATTTCCAATTTCCAATTCAAGACTTGACTGGCTGCAACTATCCATGATCAAAAGACATTTACCAACTTCATTCTCATAGACAGTGCCCAGCCAATCACCTATCTCTCGCAGTCATTTACTGCGGCTTCTTGGCGGCGGTAGATCCAGAGATGTAGCGGGTAATATCAGTAGCCTCGTAGCCCTGGCGCACGACGCCCTTGAAGCCCTCCCAGCCCTGGCGGACCTGAGGGGGAGTGCTCTGGTGGGAGAGGGATGCATCAGCGCGGGCGACGAGCTGACGAACAGCCTGCTGGACGAAGGAGCTCTGAGCGTAGCGGGCGCGGAAGAAGGAAAGGTAGACAATCAGGAGAACCCAGCTGCCCTTGGAGAAGGTGACAGCGGACAAAACCAGACGGACAAGCAGGGCGATCTCAAGGGTGGCAACAACGCCCATGCTGGCATCGTAGTACTGCTTGATGAAACGGCCAATGGTCTCGGCGAGAGCGCTCTGCTTGCCGGCGGGCTTGGAGTTGGGGGAGCCGGGCGAGGTAGGGCTGGCGCCTTGGGCCTGGGCCTGGGGCTGGAGGGTCGGGATCAGGTACATGCGGCTGTAGGTAGCCACATGGAAGACGGAGTAAACGCTGAAGGGCAGAAGGGCGAGAATGAGCTGGCGGGAGTACAGCCAGACGAGAGCCATGCCTGTGAGAGAGATATCAAAAATGAGTTTGTCTGGTTCCTTCACATGCGAGCGGATATTGCCGAAGAAAGCGCAAACTCACCTAGGTACTGCACGTTCTCATCGGAGATGAGCTTGGTCACGATCTGAGGAATACTGCCCTGCACACCGCGGGCAAAGTGGCCCTTGTAAACGACGATTCCATAGGTGACGGCGGCGGAGACGAAGGCAAGACGATAAGAGAAAACGGCCCACGAGGAGTAGAAGTTGAAGGTGATAAAGGACAGAGAGTAGCGGAAAACCGAGATGAGAAGCGTCAAGTGTCTAAATCCGGTCAGCGATTCTAAATTCCACATGCAATTGTCGATGAGATCCGAAGGTCGACATACCCGACAAACCAGGCAAACCTGCAGAAAGAGATCGGGTCAGCACTGAAACAGCATCCATTGAAGCTTCACGCATCTGCATGAGCTAAGCTAGGGATAGAAAAAACTTACTGCAGGGTCTGGGCCAGAGCTTTGAGCCTCTCGACCAGAGGCAGGTTGGCGGAAGGAGGAGGAGCCATGGAGGTGACTCTTTGGGGTGTCGAGGGGAAGGGGAATAGATATGAAGAATCAGAGTAGAGAGAGCCTAGGTATAGAGGAGAGCAAGGAAGAAGAGAGGACACGAGAGAAGAAAAAAAAGAGGTCGTGAAGGAGGCTGGGGAGCGGGGATGAAGTTGTGTGTTACCTGTGCTTTCCAGCTCGGGAGCTAAGCGCCCTCTCCGCCTTCTGCCGCGGTGACGTCGGATACTTGGATGATGCAATCCAAGTCTTTATCTGGGCAGTGGGTGTATACTAGGACATAATCATGATTGTTCTAATTCAATTTTAAGTTACATACTGAGTAGAGCTTAGCAGATAGCTGGTGGAAGTGAGAGTCAGCTCTAAAAACTGCTCTCTCTTCAAACCAATCGGCTCCACTAGGGTGTTCGAAGCACGGAACTTTCTCAGATCTCTTGGGATCTCCATTGCTGTAACTGTCGCTATGCATATGCAAGGCCAGGGTCACTTGGATTGCCGCGAGTACCTCGAAAAAGGCTTGTGGTCGCAACATTGGGGTTTAGGCTTGACCGCTAGTTGTGGCCTTATCTCGACCCGATATTATCAGAACAAATAGTAGCTACAAGGTACACCCAGATACCCCGGGAAGCTTGTATTCGATTAGACTAGGGGATCAAATTAACTAGTTTCGATTGAATCTAATAACTTCGGCTTGCTTACCGGCGGTCAGGTAGATACATCCATGGATGAAGATAGCATCAAGTTCTTCAAGTTGGAGATTGATGAATGATGCAAACAGGACTACCAAGAGCATTACCGGGTCGCCGAGCGAAACTTGAACCGATAGTATATTGTCGGAAACCAACCTACGAACTTCGGCTTCTTTTGATTCAGAATCCTAAGAAATATTCTTCCAGTGCCGATTACCGCACACCTGGGCATAAAAGAAAAATGACATTTGCTCATCACCCGATTGGACTCAGATTATGCCTTTAATTCAGTAACATCGGTCATGCAAAGGGTATAGATCTCTCATAGTATCACTGCATCCCAAAGTGATATCAAAATATAGGTCACGCAAGAAAACAATAGGGCACTGGTCCACGCCACGATACGCGCGCGCATGCGTGGAATTAGTATCTGGCCACCACTCCAAAGGTTGGCAACTCCACGAAGAATCCACCACCTTAATATTCTTGCCCTCAAATGCCCTATACTCTTCTAGATGATCACGATCACCCTCTACTTCTACAAACTCGAGACTAGCAAGCATCGAAGCGGTTTCCCCATCAAGAACCAAGCAAACCATATTCCGCGCCGGGGGCCATGGAAAACCATCAGAGAATGAGTGAAGAGTCCGAAGTTGAGATCTAAACTCTTCTCTGATCCGATCATCTGAGGTACCGGAGAGAATCTGTTCATCTTGAATCACGTCTAGCTTGAAGCGACGGGCTACTTCATCCATGTAGACCTTTTTATTAGATCGTAAGTGTCGTTCGACGGTCCTGACGAGGTTTTTCATTGCCCGTGGGATATTCTCGAGGGTTTCGGGAGAATAGTCGGTGACGAAAACCCAGAAACCCCAGGTATAGTCATAGCCTAGGTATTCTTGTTGTTCAGTGTAGAGTTTCTCGTAAAATTGTACTTGTTCGAGCAGACGGCGCGCTGTGTTATCGAATGGTCCGGTGTACTCTGGGGTTTCTGCGGCTGACTCGGAGAGCGCATCCAGCTCGTCTAGGTGTCGGAAGGGCAAATCTGATATAGCACCTTGTCCAAATGATCGCGGAGAAAAGTTGCGATACTTTGGCACGGGGTGAGTTTCGAGAGTTGGATCTGTTGGGGTTGTTGGGCGGAGGCGGCTGCCATTGGGCCGTCCTCGGGTAGACATTTTGATGGTGCGGAGATGACGGGCGAAGGATCAGAAAGGAGATGAAGCGTTTTACATAGTTTTGTTCTCGTCACCTGACGCTAATAGCCGAGTCTTTTGGTATTCGCGACTGAGGGTAATTACAGTGAGACCAGTAGGCCTTTTTCTTTCATCAACACAAGAGCAGGTTGGTAGTTTGGAAGCGTGACTTGAATTATCTTATGTTAGTTGTGCACCATAAAACCGAATGATACTTTCGTGGAAAGTGAGAAAGGTCAAATTCAAGTCTATGGACGAAAAGCAATATTCCATGATTGTAGGATTTACTGCCCAGGTGAGGTACTAGTATGATCGAATCTAGTTATATCCTAGCTAAGAGCTTGACAAGTACTGTGAGCTTTATGATTCCCAGTAGTTAAAAGAAGCCGAAAACTCCTAATTTGGGAGCCAAAATTCTGCTGCTTTTAAAATTTAGATTTATATATTGCCATGAAAATATGTTCAAACAGAGCGTGCGGACGTCTGGCGATGGTGTTGAGTGGAGAAACAAATCATCTCTGATGTGTACCAAGCAGTGCTGTAACACTTCAGGTTAATAGCGATACAAAAAACTCTCCCCCCCTCGCGTAGAGAAATAGATAAAAAGAATATGCAAAACCTTCGAAGATTACGAGATGAGACTCCAAAACGGAACAGCAGGCCGGACACTGAGCTCTTCAGTCCTTGAACTTGAATGTGCATGTATGTATAGGTGGAAACGAAAGAGGCCTTCAGTACTATCAAGCTAATATGTTACTATTATTTCTTGCCTTAAGAATCCAATTCACAAACTTGAATTCAATTTAATTGACCCCGCTCTGCAATTTTCCTCAAAGCTACGCCCTAAGAGTAATCAATCATGTGCTCTTAGGGAAATTCCTCTGGTATAAGTATTGAAGAGAGAAATGACACCCGATTGAATCAAGCCATCTCTCCGCCAGACCACAGCAAACCAAAAGACCAAATTCTTGAAGCCATGTCATCAGCTTCTATCCGTCCGATGAGCCTTTGTCTCTCTTTACCTCTCACAAGTTAGTAGCCAGATCAATCTTAGCCCGCAAGTATCTGCCAAACATGACTCAACGCCCATTCCTAACAATCCCGAAACGCACATGGTAAACAACCCCGGATTCTAGGCCGCTCGCCTGCATCATTCCCCAAACAGTCGGCATGATCTCCCCCGCCGAACCCCGCGAACTATAACCAAGGCTAGCACGCTGCAGCACCGACAACCCCACAACAGCAACCACACAGCCGCAGAATTACGATGCAATACACAACAGAACAGAAGATGGAATAGAATACATAGAATACTAGTACATAAAAAGAAAAGGTGAAAGTAAAATATCCATCCAACATACGACGTCAATCGTAGATCATCCAAAAAGGGCATGTATTGCAAAAACGCTCAGACCATTCAACCTAAAAAGAATTGGGTTTAGGTTACTCCTAGTGGCCACGTTTGATAGATTGAAAATCACATGGGAGCCTCGGTTTACGGCACCGCACCCGGAAAAGTAAAAATTCAAAGTCAAAGTCAAAGTCGAAGTTAATAAACAAGTTAACTTTCCTCCCGCATAGTTAGTTCGTCTTCTAGATCATCCTAACCCACGCCAGCCTTGCCCTTCTACAGTACCGCGCATGCAGTATGATGCCAATGCAAGCCATAATGTAGAAAACGCCAGGAGGCTCGCCTCGCCCTGCGACGCCTCAATATCTCCACGGTCGGAACTCGCCTGTCCAAATAAATTAATATTCAAATTATATTGCGTAAGCAGCTACCGATTCCCCGTAGGATAGAACACGGAACCGACAGGCACTGGAGGCTGGCGATGGTGATCCAAGCCAAACTAGACTAAGCTAGGCAAAGGAAGGAAGGTTCTTCGAAATCCCTCATTCCAGTACCACTCCAGTGGGAGGTCTACATACTGTACATAGAGCCTTGTGATCGGCGACCGAGGTGGCCATGGCCATGGCCAACGAACGACTTCAAGGCAGGGTAGAAAAGAAATCGTCCAACGTATCCCGTATACGCGAATATAGTGATTGGTGGCAAGAAAGTAGGTTTTCCCCCGTTACTCAATCGATGGGGTATATGGGGTAACGGTACTACGGATAGTGGCACGATTTCATTTGAAGAGTCCCCGCTTCGGCTTGTGATCGGGTTCTGTACCTGGGGTTGGGCTGGGGTTGTGGGATGGCCCCATTCCAACTCTGTTCTATTCCCCGTGGGGTCAATGTAAGGGGCTTGAATTTGATGTGATCTACGGAGTATCCATGGATATTCAGATGGAATTGACTGGTTCGGTTCGGTTGTTGGAACCAGCTCATGGATGAGCCGAGCTGTATTGTGATGCGGGGAAGTATACCTACTAGCACTCAGTAAATGATGGTAGTTAGGATTGGTGATAGGAAAAAAAAAAATTAATTGCTTACTGTCTGTAAGGGAATTTGGCAAATTCATTTCTAATCAAATCAAATCAAGCCCTAGTTAAATCCTCGACATACTCGTAGCTCACCACAACCTATCGCCACAATTAACTCCTGCATTTCTATACTCTTCTCTGCAAGACACCCAATCCCAACCCTCTAGCTATAAGCCGCAGCTAATAGTAACACTCCCCCTTCAATATAATCTAAGAAACTCCATCCAAGGCCCTGCCAGCCACGCACCCACGTAACTAAAACCCACACTAGCACTCTTACGCGTCGCTAGCCTGACACCCGTTGAAGAGGTGGAGTCTTGCTATGGCTAGCAGGCCAGTAGTACAATACTAGTCCCGCTCCCCTCCAATCCCGATCCGATCTAACGGTTAGTCCACCAATACTAATGCAGGGTACTATTCCGCGCACGAGACGAAACGAGACGAAACGAGAGGAGAACGAGGCTGGCAATGCTGACGCAGGAACGGCCTTTTTACCCCGTTCGGCATCCACAATGCCCATACCTAATCTAGACACGCCAAAGCCAAGACAAGACATCTCTGGGGACTGTTTCAGTGTTGTCTAGATGGGCCCTTTTTTGCTTTCACATACTGGGAGTACATTTGTCTAAGTCTAACTGAAGTGGGGGAATTCTTTGGTGTTTAGGATGGGTGGGGTGAGTGGAGGGGGTCAGTTTGGAGCCGGTGGTCCTGACTCCTGACTCTTGCTTGACTCCTGACTGCCCCGGCCTTAATCGGTGTAATCGCCAAGTTAACTTAGCCTTCGGGTGTGGGATGGGGATTGGGGTTTACTCAGCCTCCGCGATTGCGTTACAATGGGCCTTGGTGTGCACGCGATAAGGGGTAGGTTAATTTTTTACCCTACCCTACCCTTTGTCCGGTACGTAGTATCTGTTCGCGTTTATTCTCTTCGTTTTTTTTACAAGCTTGCCTAGCTGTATTCTATCTGATCCGTGCGGCGGGTCAAGATGCCGTGTTCGTTGCGTTTGAGATCGTCGTGGACGGTCCGGTCGGTTGGGACAGGCTACGAAGCAGGGACCATTTGGGCTCAGCTGGATTTTGGGTTGAAATTCTCTTTTCTTGAGTTGAGTGATGGACTCGGGAGGGGAGAAAGATGTTTCGTTTCAGGACTGTGATTCATTTATACAAGAAAGTATACAGAAACAGAAAAGTTGAAGTAAAGTCCAAAGATACATACACATTATCCCAATCGTAAATCCATATACATAGACAAGTCACACCAATACCAGTGCCACACTCACAGTCACAGTCAGTCACAGTCGTACGCCGCCCGTTACCATTTCTTTTCCGTAACTCCGAGACAAGAACAGGGGGGGTTGGGCTAGGGTAGTCTGGATGACACGCCAAGTTCGCCTCCTCTTCCGCGCGCCCCTAGACCCTTTTTTCGTAAGATTTTCGAATGAAAATTTCAAAGCCCCCAAAAATGTACGTAGTGAAAAAGAAAAGAGAAAATAAATAGAAGATAAATAAAAACTCCCGACATATGGGAAACCCAACGGCTATCGTGCATAACCCCTCGCAAACGTAGTCGAGGGATCCCAATCACGACCCCCGGCAGACTCACTAGGTGGCCGGGGTCCACTGAAACTCATAGACGGACGCACATACCGCGCCTCCTGCCCGAAATGCACATTCCGGTCATGGTCCTGGTCCTGATCCCCGTCGTGACGGTCGAATGCCGGACTCGTGACGGAGCTCCGGGTGTGGCCGTGGCCGTGGCCATAACCCATCATATGTGCGGGGCTGGGCGATCGCATATTATACGACTGATACGAATTATCAGGACCCTTGACAGAGGTAGTTGTAAGCATTTCAAAGCCCTTTGAATCGTAACGATCTGCGTCTGCAGAAACGAAGTCATTTCGTCGGGTGAAACCTCGGCGGCAGAGATCGAGCCAGCCCGAGAACATAGTTGGGCGAACGTAGAGGATGAAGTTCCAGAATCCGACAAGCGAGAGGAGATAAACGACTGCGAGGAGGGTTGCTTCGTTGGGGCCGAGGGAGGAGGCGTAATTGATGCATTTGTTCTTATTGCCGCCTGTTTCCATTAGACACATTAGCCATGGAAGGGCTTTTTTCATATTTGCCGGTGTAGGTTCGACCTCGCGGTCCAGATCGAGGAAGACGACTGCGAAGAAGATCACGTTTCCGATAATGATTAGGACGAGCGCGACGCCACGCCATTGGAGTTGAACGACCCGCTTGACGCGGCGGTAGGCCTGGCGGGCTGTTTGTGTGCGGACGCTGGATGTGTATGACGGGATGCCGGAGCTGTTGTCGGTAGTAGAGGCGGATTTGTCGAAGAGCGAGCGCAGGTAGATGTGCATGCAGTAGGCCATTGTCGCGAGCTGTAGAATGAGAGCCGCGGCGGAGAAGGCGATTAATGGGAACCAGTAGTCCTGCTGGCCGTGCTTGATATTAATATGGCAGATTTCGCCGAAGCGGAAGGAGACGCCTGTGACTATCATCATGACTGTGAGTCCGATGGCGGGGATGCCGAAGCCGCAGAGGAAGGCC